CGGAGGTGGCGGGCTGCGGCTTCTGAGGAGCTAGATTCAGGCCATACGAGAGAGTTGGCGGGGCCATCGTGCACGGATAATAAGGCTGAGTCCCATGCGATTACAAATTTTGTATTCGTCACTCGCCCTGATTCGTAGTTGTCTTGGGGATAGATAGCAACGGCTCAAGGGATGAATTGAATGCGGGCGGAGGAAACGCCCCAGCGCCCAAGATCTCTATCACGTGATCCTTTTTTAAGGTCCCCGGTCTGCAGTCAACACAGGACAGTAGAGGATCAATTTGATATCGATTCCAGAGTATTTGGCGAATTGCCTGAAGACTCTCAACAAATTTCAAATTTAGAATGTCCTACTACTTTATCATTTTATCACCAACCGACTCGCCACTCTTCAGCCAGGCCTTTGGTACATCAAAAGGGGGTGGTGATGGCGTCCCAAGATTCCGCTTCCCTGACGGCTCAAGATTCATGAACCAGTTCATCGTCCATGCCAGTCTGGATATCGTAGAAGAAGTACAGTGGACTAATGGCGCCATGTATACTCCCCCAAATTCCGGTTGCACAGCCTTTCAAATCTAATCCAATCTCAATAGGTATCTCAAGCATATCGATACCTATCCTCCCGCATCAGCCTACGTCTCCGCCTTCCTAACCGGCTCCGGCGTACGCTTCCTCCTGCTCCATCAGCCTCTTCAGCCCTCACCCTCTACAGCCCTCGCCGGCACCAGCCGCGCGTCTTCCTCGTCGATTGCGAATAATCCCACATCTCCACAGACCGAAGAGGCAATACGCCAGTTCATGAGCGAAGTGTATGAAAATTGGGTCAAAACTGTCATGAGCCCATTTTACCAAAGGGGAAAGGACATTACAAGCCCTGTATTTCGAAGCAGGGTGCTAGCGGCGGGGAAGAAGTGGTTATAAGCCTGTTTAATATGACTCGGCGTAATGTATTTTGGGCTTGGTGGTGAGGAGCCGTATCACGGGCTTCAGTATGGCATTAGGGGAGCATGTGGTGGGAGTTGAAAACACTAGGATCACGATTTGTCTTTGGCCTTTTATGTTTGATGACTTGCTTTTTCGTGGACTTTCAGTTTGGTCAGATGAGTCCGGCAAATACGGCGAGATATGATACCCCTTGACGTCAAAAGATTATTGTTAGGTACTAAGTGTAGACAGAATTTACCCACTTGTGCCAACCCATTCTCCAAATCGCTGCAAAACACACCAGATAACAATGCGCAATAGCTAATAATATACAACAGCAGAGGTCCCGTTGACCAAAAGAACCGCAAAACTAAAAAAGGGGAATCCTTCGGCACCTTCGTGCTTTCGCACCCAAAAAGGTTATCCCATTAAATGGCCAAATAAATGACGTATTATTAACTGCTCACATGGTCATGTAGCCATTTGTGGGGCAAGTCTTTTGACGGTCGTTGACCTGAAATTTTCCACTGCCCGTACAATATCATCAAGCTTGCCTACGGCGCCAAGAACACCTCCTTCTTTCTTGATCGACTCGCAAACACTTATATGCGAGTTCGGATCGTGTGCTATCGTTCCGTCTTCCAACAGGAGACAGTCAAACCCGCGATCGGTGGCCTCTCTCATTGTAGTAGAAACGGCTACATCCGTCATTAGGCCAGCAAGAACAAGGTTCTTCACGCCTTTATTTCGTAAAAGAAGCTCGAAATCTGTGTGTGTGAAAGCACCCCTACCAGGCTTGTCAATTACTGGCTCGCCGGGAATAGGGTAAAGCTCCGCTATAGTATCATGCCCCGGCTCCCCGCGAATTAAAAATTTCCCAAGAGGGCCGTCTGCGCCTATGCCAGCGCCGGAGGGATTGTTGCGAGATCTGAAATTCTCTCTGGTTGAGAGAGTAGAAAGATCACGGCGGTGGCCTAAGAAAGATTAATAACTTTGGACTATTGGACAACGACGCTTCGAAAAGACATACCTTCACGGGTGTGATAGACAGGAAATCCTGAACTTCGAAATGCGCTTAACAAACGTTGTAATCTTGGCACAAGGATCTGGGCGGTTGCGACATCGTAGCCCTGGTACTCCATATAACCCCCGTGTGAACAAACTGCAAAAGTGGCGAGTTAGCATGTCAAGGAGGTCCTGGACTACACAATACTATTAATATGCACGTACAGTCGCGCTGCATATCAATAACAACCAAAGCAGTCATAAATGGGGTGAAAGTCGCGTCATGCGGCCAGTCATACGGAATCGCGTTGACTTGGCCCTTTTTCACTCTACTTTGAGGAGCCGGTCGGGGCTTTTCAGTGACCGGGCCGTGATTATGAGTTGGGTTCAGAACCGTGAGCGTCCAGATGCCCGGGTTTCCCGCAGCAACCATCATGAAAGGACAATCCATAAGACGGGACGTTCTTTTCCGTTTCCGTGTCTCTTCCGTCAGCCCATTCCGCGGCCTGTATTGGCCACCGCGGTCACATCGTAACCACACCTTCGCTGTCCGGCCGGGCTTCTTTTCTGTTGGAGTGCTCGAGGATTTCACTACGACATTGTAACCGTGGGCCTTTCCATGGGCTTGAACGGCCGCGAGTAGAGTAGCGCGGTCTGGATATGTGCCCTCTGGCGGTGGAAGCAAGTCCATGGAGATGTCAGGTATATCCTGGAGGTCACTAGGAGCATCGAGGCTCAAATCGGTTGTGTCTGCCATGGCGCCGGTGCCGGCCATGCCGGGACAAACTGAGAGCTTCCACTAGGCTCCATTAGCATGAGACAACGAGTCCGAGGGAGAGTTTGGATGTCAAGAGAAACAGGCGCGGCTTAGCGCTGGGAGGTCCATCAGCCATGGGGCCAAGATGGAACCGTGCGTGGTGATAGGAGAGGTGTGTTCAAAACAAAGGAGAGATGCGCATCGTGCAGGGCAAACGACGGAGAGAAAAGTGGAGTGAAGTGACCAAAAGAGACAGCGGGTATACAAAGCGTGGAAATAGAAGACCTACCAGAGCAGATTCAGATGGATTCGCAGGGCCTGATGTCAGATGCGGATGGATTGCGGTGTCGACGATAGGCCGCCCGTAATGTGCACGTCACTTTGCCTTCGATCTCAACGTCAAAAGCGGCTAGCCGTCAGGTGACCGCGGATGGGCAGCGCGCTAGCCCGATCGGGATTGACGCCGTTGTCGTGGCTGCAGGATTACATAAGCGCATGTGAACCCCAAACATCATGCCTGACCCGAACGCAATAACGAGGATGCACCCGGGACGATACCGTCAACAAACAACAAACCATGGTCCGGAACTAAGGAGTCAGAACGGTAGGTCAGCTTTGAGAGCGTCTTTTTGTCCGTGACGAGCAAGTCAAAGGGGATTTCGACGTGCGCTCCATGTCCTCAGCATAGTCTGCTCGCTGTGGTCGGCACCCTCCTTTCATCATCGCCTGTTTCATCTCCCTCCGTCACGGCTGGGATCCCCTATCACGACTGAACTGCGGCGACGTACCGAGATCTTTTACCCAAAATACTTGAAAGGAGCCCACCACCGCTTCTGCTTTGATTCTCCATAGCCTACCCACGGATATTCTTGATCTCGGTTCCCCCAGCCAACGTCCTGGTGATCGCGATGCCTGACGAACCACCATCTTCATCGCTCAAGAACTCTACATCTTCTGACGAGGCCATTGCCTACTACAAAGCTCAATATGAACAGTTGGAGGTCGAGCTCGCCGAATTCCAGGCCTCCAGTCGAGAGCTAGAAACAGAGCTAGAGAAGGACATCGAAGCTTCGGAGAAGAGGGAAAGGAAGTTGAAGGAGAAAGTGGAAAGCTTGGGCTATGAAGTCGAGGAATGGAAGGTGAGAACCCTTGACTTTAGGCTGGCGTATCCGTTCTTTCAGCGCTATGTGCGGTCGCATCTTCCGAAAGATCCCACTGACTCTCACAGACAAAATACAAGCAGGCCAAGGCGGAGGCCAACTCGGCGCAAAATCTCCTCCAGAAGGAAATAACTACTCTGCGAGAAACAAATCGAAGCCTTCAACTGAAGCTACGTGATATCGAAGTAGCTAACGATGACTTTGAGCGCCAAGCTCGACATACCACCTCCTCTCTGGAAGATCTCGAGTCAAAATACAACGTCTCAATCGAGCGGGGAGTGCTTTTGGAAGGGGAAATCAAAAATGGAGAGCAGGAGCGCGAATCGCTACGCATTGAAAACCAGCGCCTGCGTGACGAGCTCTCTGATCTAAAAGTTGAGACGCACATTGTCCAAGAGAAGCTTCGCAAGGCGGAGTCACTGAAGAGGAGGGGAAGGGACTTTTCTATCTCTTCAACTATCTCCAACCTACATCCGCTAGAAGATTTGGAGCGCTCGCCAACCACAACTACCACATCCTCTCCCTCCATCGTAACCCCGCCGGCGAAATCTGTTTCTTCTGTGAACTCTGACGCAGTCACTCCACCGTCACCACCTTGCTCCGAAAGATCCGCTGAGGTGGATAAGGCACCCGCAACTCCCACCCTCTCGCGGCCGAGAACTTCGATTTCAGATCTTAAATCCTTTCAAAAACCTTCATCGCAGTCACGGCCTCCGCGACACTCTCGCGGAGCCCCCCCTCCTGCCTCGAATGGACGAGGTGCGCCCACCTTGTACTACCGTCGGTCTACATCGAATTCCCAGTCGCCTCATACTACGATTCCCAAATCGGGTTCACTTTACCAAATTCGTGGCCTCATCGGCAAGATGCAAAAACTTGAGGAAAGGGTACATTCAGCCAGGTCGAGGCTTCCTGCACCAAACGGTACCCCACCAAAAATGTCACCAAGGGCCAGCACAATGCTTGCACAGGCTTATATTCCCTCCACTGTCACCATGCGAAATGCAAGGAAGCGCGTAAGCGGGGGCATTTCTAGTACTAGGGAAGGCGACATCACTCCATCACGCATCGGTCCAAGCCCATTCGGCATTCCACAATCAACGCCTTCTCGGTCGCGAACCGTTGATAGTAGGCCAAGTAGCCGTACGAGCGCCTCTAGCCGTTACTCCAACAGCCAGATTTCAGGCCCTATCCCATTTCGCCGGCCTGAAAGCCGCCAAAGTCTAACCAAAACGCCAGTCGCAACGCATTCCACAACCAGCGAATCGGAAGGCAGGCGGCCAAGATCATCACTCAGCAATTACAACCCGTCGACCACCATGTCGTACATTGATGAAGATGGCGCAGAAGTCTCAACGCCAACGTCTCGGCCTGCTACTATCAATACGCGACAGTTTCCGCCGTCAAGCATTCCGGCACCTCCGAGCCACAGGAAGAGGCAGAGCGCGGGATCAACGGCATCATCAATCTCGCATGGGCGACACATTAGCGTGAATTTAGACCGCCGAGAAGGTGAAATGATATCACCGGAGCGGAAGAACGACATCAACGCATTTGGAGAGACATATTGATTCCTGAGCTCTGTCTGCGCACGTACATGTCTCAACCTCCTTGCTTTTCTCTTTTTTTCCTTTCCTTTTTTCCTCGGGACCACTGCTCATGGCGCTATGAATTTTACGGCTGGCATATATCCTCCTTTTGTTAGTTCAGGTCCAGGGCGCTATTAATCACACTTCCCTTTAATGTGCGATATGAAGATTTTTTTCCCACACTTATTTAAACTGCGATATGGGATGGATTAGGCATTGCTGGCTGCCTTTCCGGAGTTTGGCAGTGGAGTCCTTGTTCACAGGAGATTAGGAGGGTCCCGTGTTTACTTTCCTTTATAAGCTTCATAAACCACAACTTAGACCCCGGCAGCTCTGTTATTGCTTTTGCTGGTAGCGGGCAGTGGTTTGCTTTTCTTTTGTACCAGATCAAATCCGCGTCGGTGTGTATATCACTGCACTTAGTTTCTCGTCGCTCGCTTTATTCCATTTGTTTAACTTTTTTCCCGCACCTCCCCAGAAGGGTCTAGAGTGTCGAATTGAAAGATCGAGGTCAATTTAAACTTGTAAAGACTGGGAGGTAATAAATCTTGGTTTATATAGTTTAAACCCAACCTTTGGCGCCAGAATCTCGCAGAAGCGGTGGAGTTTTCAGATCCCGCCGCCCTGTCACCACCGCCCACTTTATCAGATGTCTGCGGAGCTTGTGATTGGTCGAGATCGATTTAAGCTCCGACGCCTGCACTAGTCCTGTTTAAGCAAGGCTGAAACAGGAAAGTTCGACTGCAGTTTTTGTTGGGGTGGAAAGAATGCGGTGGGCAGCCAATCAGAGCGATGGAAAGGTCCCGCTTTGGCACTGAGGGCGAAAGATCGGCTGATGCTGGGATGGAGCTTTGAAAATACGGAGATGGCAGAATTAATTCATGTGTGCATATTTCTTACGTGAGATCTCAACAAGGTGGGGGCATTGGTTAAGGGGTTGGGTTGGGGGGAAAAGGGGGAGCAGGGTGGTGGAAGGCCCTTGCGAGGCTTATGTGGTTTGAGTGACATTTGGGGAGGATGGCATTGGCGGAAATATGGTTTCGAGGGCTGTTGAAGGTGTGTTGGTGCATCGGCGACTTTCTTTGAGCTGAACTGAGGTGACAGAGGAAGGATTGAATGGGCTGGCGGGTGCAGGCCCTTGAAGCTGGAGGAAGTGTTGCATCAAAGAGCGATGTGTCTGTTTCTTCTCCTTGGACAAACAGTTGTTTCGAGGACAGATGAAGATTCTATCCTAAAGCTGCGTCAACAATTTGTTGAAATGTTGTGACCGAGCTGTAAAGCCATACCAAGGACCCAGGACTTGATGACGTAAATTACACTGGAAACCAATCAGAACCCCTGGATGCGGACGGAGCGGCTTCCCACGGTACGCAGTTGTGTATTTCCGCGTTTTAATTACAGGCTTTCAGGTACCAGCGGAACGGAGGATGGAGTGCGGTTTTCTGTGCTGAACCTTCCTCAGCTCTCTTCAACGACATCTCTTCCACCCTCTCCCGCTCCTTGACTTCCTCTCATTCAGTCTCCATACCCTCCCTTCTTCTTCTCTTCCTTCTCACCCGCCGTCTTTTGGGAGGCAGCTTCGGTTTGATTGTGCTCCTCCGAACAAACACCAATTCTTCTATGATTCTTATCTCGCGGATGAGCATCACGGCGGGTCGGGTTTTGCGGTGCTAATTCGGCGCATTTATTTCGATTCTACTACGCGTTGATACTTTGGAAATAAAGGATTTCGATTCCAGCTTTGACACTATTACGCTACTCACTGCGCTGTCGGATTCGGAGCATTGTGCTGGTGTTTCAATAGAACCTCGTTACTCAATAATCCCCTTAGATTAATCACCATGCCAGAGACCACGAATGGCTATGGCAGCTCCTATGCTGCAAAGCACAACCTTCCCTCGCATTTTATTGGCGGTAACCGCTTAGATCTCGCTCCGCCAGGTGCGGTCAAGGATTTCGTTGCCCAGCATGATGGTCACTCTGTCATTACTTCTGTACGTGCTTCTCGGCAACGCGTCTCTAGTTTTATCACTTGTCGTAAGCTTGAGGCACTAACTTTCTCTTTGTTTTAGGTTCTGATTGCGAACAATGGTATTGCTGCGGTGAAAGAAATCAGATCAGTCCGGAAATGGGCCTACGATACATTTGGTGATGAGCGCGTTATTCAATTCACGGTTATGGCCACCCCGGAAGATCTTGAGGCAAATGCAGATTATATTCGAATGGCTGATCGATATGTGGAGGTAATGAACTTTGGATTGTGAACTTGGAAGTTGTGGAGGATCTAGAGGCTAATTGTGGTACGATAGGTTCCGGGAGGCACGAACAATAACAATTTCGCCAACGTCGAGCTTATCGTCGATATTGCGGAGAGAATGGGTGTCCATGCGGTGTGGGCTGGCTGGTAAGAAACACTTGTAGCCACGGGTTTGCGCGCATATTCTTAACAGACTTTTAGGGGCCACGCATCTGAGAACCCAAAACTTCCTGAATCTTTAGCGGCTTCGCCAAAGAAGATCATTTTCATCGGCCCTCCCGGGTCAGCTATGAGATCGCTTGGTGACAAAATCTCCTCTACTATCGTCGCGCAACATGCTGGGGTGCCGTGTATCCCGTGGTCCGGTACGGGAGTCGATGAAGTTAGAGTTGACGATAATGGCATTGTTACAGTTGAGGATAGTATTTACGACCTTGGATGCACACATTCCCCACAAGAAGGCTTGGAAAAGGCCAGAGCTATTGGTTTTCCCGTCATGGTTAAAGCCTCGGAGGGAGGTGGTGGAAAGGGTATTCGTAAAGTGGAGAGGGAGGAGGACTTTGTCAACCTCTATAACGCCGCTGCAAGTGAAATACCCGGGTCTCCCATCTTCATCATGAAACTCGCTGGGAATGCCAGGCATCTAGAGGTCCAGTTGTTGGCTGATCAGTATGGCAACAACATATCCCTTTTCGGTAGGGACTGCTCCGTTCAACGTCGTCACCAAAAGATTATTGAAGAGGCACCTGTCACTATTGCGAAACCGGCTACTTTCCAGGCCATGGAACGAGCTGCGGTGAGGCTCGGAAAGCTCGTCGGATATGTCTCGACAGGTACCGTGGAATATTTGTACTCCCACGCCGATGACAAGTTTTATTTCCTAGAGCTGAATCCACGATTGCAAGTTGAACATCCAACTACCGAGATGGTCACTGGAGTTAATTTACCAGCTGCCCAGCTTCAAATTGCTATGGGTATCCCCTTGCATCGAATCCGAGATATTCGACTCTTGTACGGCGTTGATGTCAACACCAGTTCAGAGATCGATTTTGATTTCGCCAACGAGGATAGTCTTAAAGCTCAGCGACGCCCTCAGCCAAAAGGTCACACCACAGCCTGCCGTATTACCTCCGAAGACCCCGGCGAAGGCTTCAAGCCATCTAGCGGAACAATGCACGAGCTCAACTTCCGCAGCAGCTCTAATGTGTGGGGTTACTTCTCTGTTGGGACTTCTGGTGGCATTCATAATTTTTCCGATTCTCAATTTGGTCATATCTTCGCCTATGGAGAGAATCGATCGGCATCTAGAAAACACATGGTTATGGCTCTGAAAGAATTGAGTATCCGTGGTGACTTCCGAACCACTGTCGAATACCTCATCAAACTTTTAGAAACCCCTGCTTTCGAAGACAACACCATCACCACCGGCTGGCTCGACGAACTTATCACCAAAAAACTAACCGCCGAACGCCCAGACCCTGTTGTCGCGGTTATTTGTGGAGCTGTTGCTCAAGCTCACGTAGCAAGTGAAGCTTGCATTGCGGAATACAAAAAGGGCCTTGAAAAGGGTCAAGTACCAGCCAAAGATGTCCTTAAAACAGTGTTCACGATTGATTTCATCTATGAGGACACCAGATACAAGTTTACCGCGACTAGGGCAAGCTCCGATAGCTATCACCTGTTTATAAACGGATCGAAATGCTTGGTTGGCGTCCGCGCCCTGGCCGATGGCGGACTTCTTGTTTCGCTAAATGGACGAAGCCACAATGTGTACTGGAAAGATGAGCCTGCTGCCATTCGCTTAAGTGTGGATGGCAAAACTTGCCTCCTTGAAGAAGAAAACGACCCCACGCAACTTCGAACACCTAGCCCAGGAAAACTGGTGCATTATACCGTGGAAAACGGGGCGCATGTTAATGCCGGTGAAGTCTTTGCCGGAATTGAAGTCATGAAGCTATATATGCCTTTGATTGCTCAAGAAGATGGTGTCGTACAATTCATCAAACAGCCTGGCGCGACCCTGCAGGCGGGAGATATTCTCGGTATCCTCACATTGGATGACCCGTCCAGAGTGAAACATGCTCAGCCGTTCCTCGGACAAATGCCAGATATGGGTCTTCCTCAAGTTGTGGGTAACAAACCGCCGCAGCGGTTTAAGCTGCTCCACAATATCTTGCAAGACATCCTCCTTGGCTTTGATAATCAAGTTATTATGTCTCCTACGTTGGCAGAATTAGTTGACGTATTGAGAGAGCCTGACTTGCCATACGGCGAATGGAATGCACAGGTTTCTGCGCTTCATTCCCGAATGCCACAGAAACTTGATGCCCAGCTGACTCAAGTGATTGAAAAATCGAAAATCCGAAAATCCGACTTCCCTGCTGCGCTTTTGATGAAGACGTTCACTCGCTTCCTAGACGACAATGTTTCTCCTGCGGACGCTGAATCACTAAAGGTCACGCTGGATCCTTTAATCCAAGTAATTCAGGACTATAGCGAGGGTTTGAGAGTCCATGAATACAACGTGATCGCCGCCCTTCTGGAGCAATATTGGAATGTAGAGCACCTTTTTGCCCAGAGAAATATCCGCGATGAGGACGTGATCCTGAAATTGCGAGACGAACACAGAGACGACATTGGCAATGTGATCCAGACCGTGCTTTCCCACTCCAAGGTTGGTGGAAAAAACAATTTGGTGCTCGCGATTCTTGAGACATACCGACCAAATAAACCAACTACCCCGAATGTTGGGAAGTATCTGAAGCCAATACTGAAGAAACTGGCAGACCTTGAATCCAGAGCTTGTGCTAAGGTCGCCTTAAAAGCTCGAGAACTCCTTATTCAATGCGCTTTGCCGTCTTTGGAAGAGCGTATGGCTCAGATGGAACATATTCTACGATCTTCTGTCGTTCAGTCGAAATACGGTGAGACCGGATGGGATCATCGAGAACCCGATATTGACGTGCTCAAGGAGGTTGTGGACTCCAAGTACACAGTCTTTGACGTCCTTCCTCTTTTCTTTGGCCATCAAGATCAATGGGTTTCATTAGCAGCTCTCGAAGTTTATGTTCGTCGGGCTTATCGGGCTTATGATCTCCAAGGTGTTCAATATCACAATGACCAGGACAGCCCATTCTTCATTTCATGGGATTTCGTCCTGCGAAAAGTTCCACAGGCAGAATTCGGAATGCACAGTGCTTCGACTAACCCATCCGTCCCGAGCACCCCGACTACAGAAAATAACCCATTCAAAAAGATCAGCTCCATCAGTGACATGTCGTATTTAGTCAATAAAGCTGGAAACGAACCGATCCGAAAAGGTGTGTTGATTCCTGTGCAGTACTTTGACGAGATTGAGGAGGTACTTTCTCGGGCTTTGGAAGTGTTCCCACTATCAGACCGTGTTCATAAATCCGGCTCAAATAACGCTCTCGACTTGGCTGCGAAACGGAAGCCACTACCACGACCTGAACGCGATGAACTTATCGGCGTTTGCAATATCGCTATCCGTGATATGGAGGGTCTTGACGACAAGGAAGTTGCTTCCCGACTCAGCAAGATTATGTCAGATTATAAGGACGAATTGCAGGCTCGCCGTGTTCGAAGGATAACATTTGTCTGCGGCCACGGGGATGGAACCTACCCTGGATACTTCACTTTTAGAGGCCCTTCATACGACGAAGATGAGAGCATTCGTCACAGTGAACCCGCCTTGGCCTTCCAACTTGAACTTGGCCGTCTGTCCAAATTCAATATCAGCCCTGTGTTCACGGAGAATAGAAATATTCACGTTTACGAAGCAATCGGAAAAGGTCCCGCCAAAGAGGCGGCCTCTGATAAACGATATTTCACCCGTGCTGTTGTCCGACCCGGCCGTCTACGAGACGATATACCCACAGCAGAATATCTGATCTCCGAAGCGGACAATCTGATGAACGATATTCTGGATGCTTTAGAAATCATCGGAAATAATAACTCTGACTTAAATCACATTTTCATCAACTTCACGCCGGTTTTCCAGCTTCAGCCATCTGACGTGGAACAAGCGCTGGCAGGCTTCTTGGAACGATTCGGTCGACGCCTTTGGCGCCTCCGTGTCACTGGAGCCGAAATTCGAATTCTTTGCACTGACAATACCACCGGCATGCCTTATCCTCTTCGTGTTGTGATTACCAATACATCAGGGTATATCATTCAAGTTGAGATGTATGTGGAAAGGAAATCTGAAAAAGGAGACTGGGTATTCCATAGCATTGGTGGTACCACCAAAATTGGGTCAATGCACCTTCGTCCAGTGACTACGCCCTACCCGACGAAGGAATGGCTCCAGCCTAAGCGTTACAAGGCTCATTTAATGGGAACCCAATACGTTTATGATTTCCCTGAACTTTTCCGACAGGCCTTCCAAAATGCTTGGGCTGACGCTGTCGCTTCTCAGCCGTCACTCGCCGACAAGCGGCCTCCTCAGGGCGGATGTATGGACTACAGTGAGCTCGTTCTCGATGATTCCGATCACTTAGTCGAAGTTTCCCGAGAACCTGGAACCAACACTCACGGCATGGTTGGTTGGATTATCACTGCAAGGACCCCAGAATATCCCCGTGGTAGACGATTTGTCGTTATTGCTAACGATATCACCTACCAAATTGGCTCTTTCGGGCCACAAGAAGATAAGTTTTTCCACAAATGTACCGAACTTGCGAGAAAACTAGGCATCCCACGAGTCTATCTGTCGGCCAATTCTGGTGCTCGTATCGGCATGGCTGAGGAATTGATGCCACACTTCTCTGTTGCTTGGAACGATCCCGAGAAACCAGAAGCTGGGTTCAAGTACCTTTACTTAACACCGGAAGTTAAGAAGAAGCTCGACGAGCGAAAGACGAAGGATGTCATCACTGAACTCGTTCATGACGATGGTGAGGACCGGTACAAGATTACCACTATTGTGGGCGCCAAAGATGGACTAGGTGTTGAATGCTTGAGAGGTTCTGGTCTCATCGCTGGCGCAACCGCGAAAGCCTACGAAGATATATTTACCATTACTCTTGTGACGTGTCGCTCCGTCGGTATTGGTGCCTATTTAGTTCGCCTAGGTCACCGTGCCATTCAGGTGGAAGGCCAACCTATTATCCTGACAGGCGCCCCGGCGATCAACAAGCTTCTTGGGCGAGAGGTGTATACATCCAACCTGCAACTTGGTGGAACTCAGATCATGTATAAGAACGGCGTCTCTCATATGACAGCCAACGACGATTTTGAAGGTGTTCAGAAGATTGTTCAATGGATGTCCTTTATCCCAGATCGCAAAGGCTCTTCGATCCCGATTCGGCCAAGTTTGGATCCATGGGATCGTGATATTGCGTACTATCCACCTCCTAAGCAAACCTATGATGTGAGATGGCTCATCGGCGGTAAGGAGGATGAAGAAGGCTTCCTCCCCGGTTTATTTGACAAAGACTCATTCCAGGAAACGCTTGGAGGCTGGGCTCGAACTGTCGTGGTCGGCCGTGCTAGACTCGGCGGAATTCCAATGGGTGTCATTGCGGTCGAAACTCGTTCAGTGGACAATGTCACCCCGGCCGATCCTGCTAATCCGGATTCTATGGAAATGGCCACAACTGAAGCCGGCGGCGTCTGGTACCCCAACTCAGCCTTTAAAACCGCCCAAGCTTTGAAGGACTTCAATTATGGCGAACAACTTCCAGTTATGATCTTGGCGAATTGGCGCGGTTTCTCGGGTGGCCAGCGTGACATGTACAACGAGGTCTTGAAGTATGGTTCCTACATCGTCGACGCGCTTGTGAAATATGAGCAGCCTGTTTTCGTTTATATTCCACCGTTTGGCGAGCTTCGTGGTGGCTCATGGGTATGTATCTTTTCATTTTTACGTATTAGTCAGCCTACTAATCTACTGTTCAGGTCGTTATCGATCCTACCATCAACCCGGACCAAATGGAAATGTATGCCGATGAAGATTCCCGTGGTGGCATTCTCGAACCTGAAGGTATCGTTGGCATTAAATATCGTCGCGAGAAACAACTTGATACTATGGCTCGCCTCGATCAAACCTATGGCGACCTGCGACGATCGCTTCAAGACACGTCTCTCAGCGCCGAAAAACTATCCCAAATCAAGAACAAGATGACTGAGCGTGAAAGCCAATTATTGCCTGTGTATCTTCAGATTGCACTTCAGTTTGCTGATCTCCACGATCGTGCCGGTCGCATGGAAGCAAAGGGCACAATTCGCAAACCCCTTCAGTGGAAGAATGCGCGTCGATTTTTCTACTGGCGTCTCCGTCGCCGCCTTAGCGAAGAGCTTATCCTGAAACGCATGGCGTCTGTTACTACTGAGCCGACCCTTGATAGTCCAGAGCCATCAAGAAGTCCATCTCCTACAACTTCTCCCGGAGCCGCGGAACCGACTGTTCGGGAAACTAATCTTCTGACGCTTAAGGCTTGGACAGGATTATTAGATAGGGACTTCGAAGACGACGACCGCCAAGTGTCTCTCTGGTATGAAGAAAACAAGAAGACATTGTACGACCGGGTTGAGGCGATGAAAACCAACAAGGTTGCAATGCAGGTTGCGCAGTTATTGATGGGAGACAAAGAAGGCGGTTTGAAGGGTGTGCAGCAGGTATTGAGCATGCTACCGCTGGAAGAAAAGGAAGCTGTTTTAAAATACTTAGGCAGCTCCTAAATCTGTTGAAAGTGTCAAGATAATGGGTATTCTTTCCCCCCCTTTTTTGAGTCGGGCTTGAGGGGCTGTTGAGTTTCAAAGTGGTTATTGTGCCAAAATTTGTTTACCTGGCTTACAATACGGTTGGGACTGTTTGCTTTCATCCTTTGTATGTATTAATGATGTTCTTGCGGCTATGTTGTATCTTGATTTTATTGGTATGCTTATGTTCATTTCTTTTGCGCCTTCAATTTCTTGTCTTCTTATCACATTCGATGGTATTGATAAAGAAGTAAATGAGATAATGACTTAGATAAACAGTTCTAGATCCAATTAGCCTTTAAAGATTCCAATGGGTTAAGATACATATATTCAAATTGTGGCTGAGTTTGCAAAAGGCTCTATATAATCAAGAAGTGGAAGTTCACTGTAGCCGGGGCATAATAATAAATTCTCGAATAGAGACCACCATGGATGGAGTAGATTACATGTAGTTAACAATCAAAGGCTGAGAGCGGCTGGCCAAAAGGAAACTATGGTAAAAAATCAATCATTATCATCATCATGGATAGCATCATTGTGATCATTGTTGGCATTATCATCGGATATCAAGCTAGTTGGTGCTCCATGGTACGAGAATGAGACATCAGTGCATTCACGCCTTTGTACGACGTTGGTCTCGAGACGGGGACATCCTTTATACCAGCAGTGGTCGAAGTTGTTGTTCCTGGATTCCTAACACCGGTCGTAGTAGGAGGTCCGGAACCCTGCAATGCACGTGGCGGCTCGTCTAGGCGATCCAATGCCAGTCTACCCAGCTCCAATGGTAACTGGTCTGTGACAACATTGAGATTATGTTTCGTGGGTGCTGCGGTGAAGTTTGCACGAGAGGAGGCCGCGGCGGTCATGGCGCTTTGCCAGGCTAGTTCTTCTTCACTTCCTGGAAGGGCGACACTCCTGGCGCCCAGGGTGCGGGCAATGTCATCGAGGAGGATCTCCATGGGTGCGATGTATGCGGTTCGGTTCTTTTCGGACCATGCGAGAACGTGGCCGCAGACCTGGCCAGTTTTGTCGAATACCCATGCACCAGAATCTCCGGGAACTGTGGAACAGTTTGACATTAGCAGGGAAACGGAACTGGCCTGCAGAAGAGGGTATGGTATACCTCCGAAATTGCCATCAACGCAAAAGCTGACGGAGAATGAATGCCGACCGGGCATTTTTACAAGAGTCATTGCCTTGGATATACGTCCGCTTTGCAAGCCACTTGTTCTTCCACAACATTGCACATGCAAACCTCCTAGTTCATCGACCTTCGCTACTTTGGTGAGATTCTGGAACTGGCCCTGAGGGTTTTGTTGAAAACTGCTAGACGGATGATAATTTCTTTGCTGCTGTGAAGGCGCGGAGGAAGTGGTGGCAATCGGTACCACATTTGTAGCATCGATACGCTCAGGGTCAATTTTAATGAGCGCCCAGTCAACTTCATGTTTGATTCCATCCCGGGTCCATCGTCGCAGGCCAGAAGATGCGTGGACATATCCCAGTGAGTGACATGCAAGGTGCTCATCGTCTCTATCTTCTGGGTCAGGAAAGAAGCCGTCCTCCACGTCGTCCAAAGCCGGTTGAGTGACTATGATCCGTGGTTCGTCGAAAGGGTCCACCCCTACAGTATCTCCAATTGAAGCTGCATCGTCATCAATATCAAAGTCGCCAACATCCTCCGTTTCATCGCTTGAATAGCCATCAGACAACCAGTTGTCATCAAAAGACTCGTCAATGCTTTGAGCGATAGATTGATCGTCAGCACCCTCACTGTCAGTGATTTCAAACGGGTACAGAGCCTCTGGCGGAACATCATCGCACCAAGAATAAGCGAAATCCTGATCTTGCATTTCCAGGTTCTGCGTGTAATTACCTGCCGATCGAGGAGGACAGTCGTCCTCTTCGTCCTCATCGCAGGGATTGTCTAGCATATGATGAACGGTCATTCCATAAGGCATACCATCCACGAGAATTGCACCTCCATACGAAACTGGTGGGAGGTGCTCATCTGAACGAAATGCGCCAATTGAGGCACCGCAGATAGGCCTTTGACAGTAATGAGGGTTCAAATCCATATAACTTGTGTCTGTTGCTTTGTTGTTTTTAGCCTTTTTTCGACGTCGTCGAGGTACTTTTGATCGCGTGATATCTCCTCTGATAACTATTAAATCCCAGTTTTCGCGGTCATACTCAAAGTGCTTCTTCAATGCGGCTTTTACTTTGCGCACATTTGCGCAAGTCACACAGATTGTCGTTTTGGCGGCTTCGGCAGTCTCACCGGCAACCATTAAAGTAGCACTGCAGGATTCTGTTGAATCTTTCAGAATCTTTTGGAGCAATTTGCTTAACTTTGGCATCAGTGTTTTGTTCCAGGCCTGTAAGTGGTAATCTGGTATTTCAATGTTCGACCACTTTTTGAGAGTGCGTTTGCGAACTTTTCTCTCGTTCGGTTCAGACTTCAAGTTGGATCCAGCGTGATCCATTGAGGGCACAGCTTCATTCTCAAGGTCGATGGGCACAACGGGTTCAACCGTAGGCAGACCAAGATCTTGCGGAGGTATTTCTTGGAATGAGTGCGACTCATTTTCCAAGCTCAAAGGAGGCGGGAGAGATTCTTCGAGATCGGTATCAGGAGGCGGAGCGAGTATATCGAGGCTACAACACCTAAATATAACCTTTCCGATTGTATAGGCGAAGTTCTTTGAGAAAGTGTCCCACTCGTTAGCTTTTGCCGGTTCGTTCCATGGATAATGGTACGTGTGTGGAATCCGCAAACTCAGGTCGGACATAGGTGATGTCGACAAGTGAAAATTGGGCGCATCAAGGCAGAGCTGAACCGCTTGTAAATATGCTCCTCCACACTTGGCGCCGAGTTTCTTGATGTAAACATTTTCAATCCTCGATTTGAACATAGAATTGGTATACTTCATTTTCCAGAGCCTGCTAATAGGCGTCCATAGGCCAATTTCAAGTAGGACCAGGCCTAGGCTATAAAGGTCATATGCCCATGACGATTGGTCTGCGATAATTCTTCGATCGTCCGGGTGGCGGTACATGCTAGAGGAAAGAGGTTCGGGTGGTGCGTTCTTGTTTTCACTTTCGAGTTGAACCATCGAGGTCAAGTATGGATGGCGAAAATCAGCAGGAAAGTTATCCACAGTGCCATGATTGGATACCTCGATGCCGGGAAATATCAAAACATTATGACTGCTGATATTCCCGTGAACGAGGTTTTGGCTCCGCATATGCAAAACAGCAAGAACAAGGCTATACGCCAGTTGGAAACGGATCTCGAGATTCGGAACCGGGGCTTCCTGATGATCGGTACCGGAGAGCAGGAGAGATACAAGAGGCTTGGGCTGTGTTGGGTCGGAAGGTTGCCTTGGTAGGGAGAGGATACTCGTTGGCATTTGATAAATGAATGCATAACGAGAATGCGTCATATCGATGAAATAACCCAAGAACTTCAGTAATCCAAGATGGGAGACCCTAGCATTGTCAACTAGTCGCTGGAGGGTTTGACTGAGGTGCTGCAATCTTTGCTTTTTCGGTAATACCAATGAATGCTGCATTTCCATAAGTATCGGCGAGAATTCGACCAAGACAGGAACCGAAGTGCCGTGCACTCCTTCAGCAAGGAGGGCTGGAATAGCCGACGAATGCAGGCGCCCTGTGATTCGAGAATTCGACGACGCTGCAACTGGTTCATATGGCGGGGGATTCGAAGCATGGGTGATTCCGCCATTAGAAAGGTAAAGGGCTTCACGCGCAATGTAAAATTCTTTGGTGAAGGATAAGGCGGGAAGGAGTTTTTCGTCAGGGACGACACTGTGGCTCGGAGTAGACGTGTTGACATGTAAACCAAGGCTGCTCATAGAAAATTGCTCGGAACCACCAGCTAAACGGATATCTCCTTTGTAATTATCTTTCCTTGAATGGGAATTTTTGCCTGAACCTGCTTTAGAGTCGGACGACATTGGGTACATCGACATCTTTGACACCTTTTCCGATCGGCGTAAATATGGAGAGTGAGGACTCTGTGGCTGCGATTGGTTGTTTGAGATGTTCATGGTCATATTTCGTCGAGATCGAGACAGTAGATAGAGCGTATCAATATTCGCCGTCAGCTCGTCCAGCAATACCTTGGACCTCGATATTTCGCTATCCGTCCACGTCGTCTTGACAACCCCAGTCGTCAATCCATCTGAAGAGGATTTGGGAATGTCGGGCTGCTGCATCCTCTCTGCTTCATTCAGGAGCCCCTGAATAGAAGACATGGTGCTGGCGACCACATCGCTGAAGCCAGCCTCAGCCAGGGCTTCGTCGATATCATTAGGCTGTGCCGCATTTGCATCGCTCCAATCTAGGCCCCATGCTAGCAAGCGGTCCTTTTGCGTCCGAAGACTCTGGTTAAGGGATATCAACTCTGGGTCATCATTCGGCCTTGAGGCAGTAGAGACACTTTCGCATGATGATTTGGTATCTGTATAGAGTTTCGTGAGCCGTCTCTGGAAGAACGAGCCACCCCTGAGAACTGACATCGTGGGCAAAACAGCGGGAGATTCAGTTCAGGAGAGGACAGCTGCCATCTGTGTGGAAGACGAGGAGTTAGAAGCGAGTTTTGTCTGAGGTTTTTGTCTTCAGCGAAGCAAGCATCATATGAAGTTGCCTGGACCGCGTGTTTCCACTGCGGCGGCGACGACAAGCAATGGGCGGAGGCCGGTCTGGCCAATCAGCGCGCACAGTTATTCAGCAGCCTGGCGTGTGGGGCTGCCGCATTGGGCTTAGCGACATAATGACTGTGCCACAATCGCTAGCCACAGACTCAGCCACAGCTAGATAAAACAGAACAAACAACTTATGTAAGCGGTTCACAGCGACAGATTGCATTGAATTGAATTGAATATGTACATATAGAAAACAAAACCGGAAGCTAAGGACTAAAGTGAAATGTGTTTACATAGATCATGCGGGGTTAATCATGCGCCTGGCAGCTCCCACATCTCTCGCTCGCTTTTCACCGAAATTATGCAGCCGTTCCCCTATCAAGTAGACATCATCTCTAATGCTCATGCGCCAAACGGTGATCTGGCGCCGAAGAAGATGCAACCCCCAGCCCAAAAGAACGAGGAAGAGAAACCCCGGGTAAGAATACCGGTAGACTTGCGTATGCAACGCGGCTGACTCTCCTTTGAAAACCGTCGCATTCACCAGCAGCCCGATCGGCAGAGGTGTTAGCACAGCGACCAGAGTGGCCAGAATTGCAGGTATAATAAAGGCCCTTGTTGCAAATTTGACGTCAGGGCGAAACCAGCCTTTGCGGACAATGGCTTTGAGAGCCGCAGCAGGCTGTGAATTCTCGTTTCGTAGCATAAGACGTGCCATCATCCGGGTATACAAAACACCCAGCGTCCAGTCCTGCACAAAATGAATGATGTGCGTATCCTCACTATTGAGATAGGTATGGATCGGGACAAGAAAATACAATTCGGTAATGATAGCGAAAAGTGACGGTATCACAATTGCAAATGCACCAAAGGTATATGCGAGATTGAAAACATAAGTCAGGATTTTTAACGCCCTGTGAAAGAGTCGTTTTGGCGAAGACACCAGTTGCATTTGGTGTCGCAGATAGCTGCTTCCCTGATGGCAGTGATAGATGGCGTAAACGATCCCGCCCAAGCTATAGATTCCCGCGGAGAAGGCATATATGTCGTTAATTCGGTGATCGGTCGGAATCAGAAACGAAACGATCCTTCGTCCAATTACGAGCGGCAGTATTGTGGCGCCCACTCCAGTTGTAGCCGCGAAAACCCATATCAAAAAAAGGAAAGCGGCAATCCTTGTTCTGAACTTTGGCGGAACATACACTTTCGTGAACATCTCGTTGGCTTTACCATGCAAACCTTCGTCAGAATCGGGATTGCCATCTAGCCGTTCGTTCTCTTCGTTAACTTCGAGGAATACGTTCGTTCCTTTCGGAATCCGAACCTGGTCGGATGCGGGAGTGCGGACAAATCTACCATCGCGCACGAATTTGTTTGAGTCTTGCGGTTCCATTGTCGGTTTGCTTGAAGAAGCCGATAGGGGCTGCCACCATGTCCTATTGGCGTCGTATCCTTCCTCGTCCTGCTTTCTCTCACCAAAAAGAAAGTCGGTCAACCTTAAGAACCGTGCGCACTTATGGAACCACCAGTCGTACATATTGTGTAGGACATCGGGCGGGTTGATAGATCGAATGGTTAGTGGCATGACGATATTATAGAAGAGTAAGTCCACAGGAAATTCTAGAACCGGTTCGTTTGATGACCAGTGTAACGGCAGCACTCCTCTCAGAGTCAATGATAGAGTCCACACCACACCACCCATGCAGACAACGACGAGTGCACCGTATACTAATGCACTGAACGCAATCTTTCGAAGCTGGGTTGACACGTTCCGTTCGAGGACATCACGCACAGGGTGAAAGGTCGGGTCGTCAGGGTCTCGAATGAAATCTAAAAACCTGTTAGCCAAGAGTGACGGGGACGCATGGGACAGGGGATTATATTTACAGAGGACACCATTGCGCATAATCTTCCTGCACATGGACACGAAGAGAGCAAAATGAAACATATAGCAAGTGCCAATGAACCAGTGCACGAAAAGTGATGTTAGTGGTGAACCTGTAGCAAAGGCGAACCTTGTACCAAAAGTGGCATTTTCAAATAGAGGCATGAGAGCAATATCCAACAGGATACCACAGTAAAGTGGAAAGACAATCATTTCGATGCCAATAATGAGAATCACCTTCATCACCCCACCAGCTTGGTGAAGAAGCTCGGCCACGGCGCCGTTGACTCTCGGCCCACGCGGTTCCCCAGAGAAATACGTGGAAAGCCGAAGATAAGTCAGGCCCACAAGCGATGCGAAGCAATAACCGACGAGAATGGCGATGACCCGATCTTTCGTATCCCAGTAAGCTAATCAGACTCCATGCTTGCGGGTAATGCATAATTTTTGGTTTATTTAGGCTCGAAAATCGCGGTATTTCAGTCAGATTACACCGCGTTGTGCAAGACTTTCACAATACCTGCAATAGCAGGCAGTAGTTTGGTTGAATCCACTATAGAAAGCCGTTCAAGGAGTGGCTTATTGGGGTCTTGCGCAAGTATATGCACCGGGATATCGTAAACGGCCATTTTAATGCTCTTGAAAAGAAACTGGTATATCGCCGTAATTCGAGCCTGGTGTAACCGCAAAGCTTGATGAGCCAGCACAGAAAACATCGGCACATCTGAATCGCGGAAGGTGAAAAACGTCGTCATAATACGCTTTAATCGCTGACCACTTCCATCAATCAAACTCAGTGAAGCATTGGTAATAGCATTGCTCGCAGAAAATTTGGCGAGGGCAGGGATTCTCTTTCCCAGCTGTGCTAGTGCAACCCTTATTAAAACATTGCCAATGTATACCAGGTAAGCGAAGCTTCCGATAACTGTGTCGACAAGAACGTCGGCAATGATCGACAGAAGTGCGAGAGGAATTCCAATGAATAATCGTATCGGGTTCGTCAAGAGAACTAGAGCAATCTTGCCCCATAGGTAAGGAAGCCAAATGCCCACTGTCACTGTAAACGAAATGAGGAGAGCGCTAAAAACTCCATTTTGCAGCAGGCCAAATATTGCCCCATGCATTCCAATCAGCTCAAGTACGCCTTCGAGGTCGTCTGCGTCATCTACGGCATCTGCATCGTTACCTCCCTCGTTCGCAGGTTGCGCTGCGCGGTTTGCATGGTCATTGTTGCCCACTTCATTAGCATCGGGTATGCGTTGGCCATGGCGGAAAGGTACAAATGGCCGTTCTTGAGCTGGGTTTTCAACTCTGCGCTCATCGTCGTTTCTTTCATCCTCCGGGTCTCGTTGAGGGATGTTGCCCCAAAACCATTCTATCGCACGGTCTTTTAGACTTTTTGGGGGGTGCACATGAGGGATAGGGGCTTCACGTCTCAGTGATTCAGCTAATCTGGCTGGACGGACGCCTGTAACTTGAGGTGGTATCAAATGTGCAGCCGAAGGCTGTTCGTTTTCTGCACCGTTCGTTTCCCTGGCACGAAAGAGACGAGAATTTTCGTTGACGCCTGTTTGTAGCTCAGGTAACTCAATATTCGAGCGGAAATCAAAGCCATTTACGGGCAAATTATTATCGTTATTTCCAAAAATGGGCGAGGGGAGTCTTGCTGGCTCCTCAAAGGAATCATATGTTGGGGCATGACGTGAAAACGGGCTCCGGTTTTGAAGGTCACTGTCATCGTTCGGTCCAAGATCAGTGGCGGGTTCAGTTGGCTGATTGATGGGTATGGAGTCGTCCCCAAGACCTTTTGCTGTAGTATCGGCCTGGGGTAGCATTATTTCAAAATCGGGGAAATGGTAAAGGTTCTCGACTTGATCCCGGCGCGAGGATTCATCTAGGTTCAGTTTAACATCAGGATACCTTGGAAAACTTGAACTTCTCCTACGGGATAATGGAGTATCGTTCGAACCCTCGGCTCCGAAACCCCATGGATATTGGGAGTGACCGTTAAAATTCAAAGGTGGGCTTGGAGCAAACGAACCAGGGGAAGTACCCTGAGATGGACTGTCCTCGACGGCCACATGAGGGCTGATATCAGCGCTGGAGGTGAGGCTGTCGTGAACACCATTTTCGACAGCTAGAGGTGCTTCTCTGATTTCAAACGGAGGGTCTGCCGCAGGATATCTATCGTGCACGCCGTGATCAAGATTTCCACTCTGAACAGGTGCAACGATCGGTGGTACTTCTTCTGCAGGGGGGGGATCCCCAGCGTCACCATGAGCAGGTTCCGGTTCCACAATAGGATTAATTCTATTTTCCTGAAGCAATTGAGCAACTGCTTCCCGCTCACCTTCCGCGAGATTCATTGCTGGTTGTTGCTGTACGACCCATTCCCGAATAAGAAATACGTGTATGAACAGAATCACCACAAGCAGTGTGATTAATTGACCCTCCAGAGTGTCAATTAGTATATTGTTTATGGTAGGGTACGGCGTTAATTTATTCAGGAAATCAACGTCTGACAGCCATGACGGTTGCCTTAAGCGGCGAGTCGTTAATGCGGTTGCGTTGCCAGCGTCCATCGGGCTTGAAGTCGAAGTTGTAAGTACAACAGCATTAACTAGCAATCGTTTGGCAATAGAATAGATTAAAGGCTCCCCGGCGGTGAAATTTAATATCGATGAAACAGGGAACAGGAATTGCGGAATGGCAGACTCGAGGCTCGGTGGAATGGCGGCCGTGGTTGGCGACATGGGAGCGAAAACGTGAGAAACAGGCGATGTGCCCTGAGCAGCAAGGCTACTTAAGCTCTCACTAGCGGCAACTGCTGCTGTGACCTGGATCTCCTCAGATGCAGGCCAGCGCCCATCAGCAAGCCAGAATAATCCGCGCCAGACTGCCCTCATGGACCAAGGCAACCAGCCTAACCAGACAAACGCGACGAGTAAAAAGCGTAACCAAGTTAGCAGCGAGCGGCCAGCATGAACCATCAACTCCTTTAAGAATACCGGGGCGGGTAGGCTTTCAGGCATATTTGGGTCATAGAGCTTTGTGAACCGGAACGGAGTCTTGCAAAGCTCGCAATACTTCTTTTGCGAGTGTGAAAGCCATTCCATCAGGCAACTCTGGTGCACAAACTTGATACTCCCACTACATTTGCAGGGATAGAATAGCTCCTCTTCTTCCGAGCCTTCCCCCCGGCATATTCGACAGGTATCTGGCTCATCCGGCCCCCGCCCTTTCTTCCCAAAGCCGGAGGCGAACGCCGGATCTCCCATGATTTTGGGCTTCGACGCACGGTCCAGACGATTGACGGATGAGCTCGCTCCAGATTCCATCGCTGCTAACTCACGAAAACGGGTGGGCTTTCAGCAGATCGACGTGGGACCGTGATTAGGAGACGAGGGCTGGGGATATCCGCATCGCTTTTATGTGAATGCTCGACACAAAAGGAGCGCCGGAACGAGTCAAATGAGGTCAAATGATTCCGGAACTGAAAATTATTAGTCTCATCAGATGTCAAAGGGAGATATGCTTACTATATATCAAATTATGAGCTGGATGTCCTTCGTGGCTTACAAGCATCATCATTGCAAAAGGCACAAGAACAGTCAAGTGGCAACGATGAAATCGCGGGTGAGAAACCGATTTGATTGGATAATACAGCGGGGATTTTATAATTCCAAGCTTTTGAGTGGGCAAACAAGTCAGATGTGTGACCGGTTATTGGCTGATATAAAACGGAGCTCCTTCACTCTACCCAATGAATGATAACAGAATTCAAAATTACATAAGCCAAGACCGGTTATCCGGATAAAGGTTCCGCCGGACCAAGGCACCAACCCAAACGCGTGATCACAAGCAAAATGACCTCACCCCATCGCGTGGAGCTCCAACCCCAAAAATTCATGAAACCGAGCATGCAACAGAGCTCTCCTTGCCGTCTTGCTTTGCTGTGCCGGTCTGCTTTGTGAATGGCGTGGACTAGTTACAGGCCTCATCTTTCCTTGAGGCCAAATTATTCTTTTTAGAATTCCTTCCCATCCGTAAGCGATGACTCTCCAAAGCTGCTGCAAAGAGCGAGACTAATCAATGGATCTTTAGGGATTGCGCCCGTTTGATCTCATATCGCCCTTCTTTTATCAGTGATTTTTACCAATATTACGTGGGGTGCCTAGTACGCCGCTGGCGTCGCCGTCTAAAAATGACGAAATTAGAGAATGGCATTGCGCTTAAGGAAGAACAGTTTAAGACACCTTTCAGATCAATTCCTTCCAATAACCGATCTAAAGCTAGAGCTGGGTTTGTGCGAAGCGCACTGAGTGTCATACTCCGGTACAGTACCTCTCCCAGCTTTTTCATCTTGATTGGCGAAGCTAAAGCTACTTTATGAGACTAGACTCGCAATATGGTATTCATTATGGACCGCCTTCTTTCGATGTCCGACAGACCTTACGGGGTTAAACGAACAATCTCCTTTGGTTTGCAAGCCGTACTTGATCGCACGCTCTCGTTTAGAGCCTCATGTTACTCCATACTACCGCATTTACGCTGAACCCTACGCTATGGCGGTGCGGCCCTACGCACTAGCCCTCCAAGATCGGGTGTACATCCCCGTCGCAAACATCTCCTCAAAAACTTATCGCACATACGGAGCTCCTCGTGTCCAGCGAGTTCTACTATATTCTAAATGCAAATGGGACGCCCTTGTTTCTCCTCAGTTACAATCATTTAAACTAGCTATGACTAGTTTTTATGATTCCACAATTGGGCCTTACGTCGAATATGTGAAAGCAACCGTCATTCCTCAATATGTATCCGCTTCGGGACAGTTGGTCAGGTTTCGGGACGGATATGTAGTACCAGCATATTCTCGATTGAAACCTGTTACTGATGCGGTATACGTTTCCACCCATCGATTTTTAGCTAGAACTGCGATACCCTACAGTCGCAGGGGCTGGTCCGGTGTTGTTGCTTTTTTTAATAATACCCTACTGCCACGGTTGGCCGGCTTGTATTTTGAGAATGTAGAGCCTCAACTACTCAAGATTGGTGCAAAACTTGCAAGCTATCGCGAAGGCGGGAAATTCAAGCGTTTGCAGGAAGATGCCGAGAGGTTTGGACATTCCCCGCCCTTTACTATACACGGACAATGTACTCACCCAGAATCCTTTTGTAGCCTAACTGAAAGCTTTGCTTCTGCCACAAGTTTTCTCAAGCCAAGCATGTCCGTGACACCTATGCCTTCAGAACAAATGAGCCCTAGCACCGAAACGGCAGCATCAGCTTCGTCAACCCTTTCCCCAACTCGAGAACGAGCTCAAGAGCAAATAGGCAGCGATCTAAAAACATGGCAAGAAAAGTTTGCTCTTGCCGCCGATAAAGGCTGTGACGAGCTAGAAAAGGAGGTCGTGGCCGTTGTAGAGAATTTGCGAAATAGTGGTACTATTGACGAAGGCGAGAAACTTGTATCTGAATTGGGAAATGTAACGCAAATCGAGCTCAAAGAGCTGAAAGCACGCATCAATGACATCGTTCGCGGTTTATCGGAGGATGCTGATTCTAACGAGGAAAAGGCGGCGCAACAGGCCCTGACGGAGGCCGTTAGAGCTTCGGGCTTTACCATTAGGGAGCGAGCCCACTCCTTACGAACATGGTTTGACGAATACGATGGCGGTCTTATGCAACACATCTCTGCGGTTGTGGGATCCACGCTCGACATTCTAGATAACATCCGCGACTTGGGGCTTCAGGAAATTGGTATGAGATGGGCGTGGATGGATGGGGTGACCTATAAGGATTGGGCTAAGTTCCATGCCCTTAAAAAGCAGTTCTCCGAGTGGCATGACGAAGTGAGAAATGTTGGCATGGAAAACGAGGCTCTCTTGGAAGCTAGAGCCACTGGTGATGATATATTGTCTCGAGGGATGGCGATTGCAGAGAAGGCCGCCAAAGAACTTTTGATGATCAAAAAAGTTGGAATTTGGAAAACCCAAACCGGTGACACCAGCGATAATTTTGATATAAGTGTTATAGACCCTGCTAAAGTCCGCTCCAAAACGAAGTCGAACACGGGATTGGGATTTACCCCCGTCATGGAGTCCCGATCCAGCTCCCCACAGGCTTCCGCGGAAGAATTACCTGCCGACTCAATTGATGAACGACGTTCTAGTTCAGAGAACATTCCTCGGGAAACCAGGGATACATCGGAGACGACCGTACCGACTCAAAACGCGGGCTCCCCAGTTCTTCAGGAAGCTAGCGCGATTATCTTGGATGCCGTTGACCGCGCGGAAACTGCGAGTAGCATTGCTGAAGCTGAGGCCTTACATCATTACTCTACCATACCTGAGGCCGCTCAGAAGAGTATACATGAACGGGTGAACGATGTCTACTCCGAATCGCTGCAAGAAGCAGCTGTATCTCTCGAATCTCGCGCGCAAGAAACGTCAATGGTATCCGATGCACAACCAACATCAAATATTATTGGCGACAGGCCACAAGAATTAGTGGCGGATGGTTCGCGACCCGAGAACACTGCCACTATCGACGAGGTCGATGCCGATACCCCAGCTGAAATATATATGGATGACGATAGTGTTGTTTTCGGGGATGATCAGGCTACTCCTTCTATTATCAAATCGTCTGAAATGAGCCAAAGGACTTGGACCCCAGAGCAACACTCGACGAAAGCATGGGAGGTAGACACCGAATCCCACCCAGCGTCAACCGACGTGAATGATTCCCTGGACGACACCGTACTTGATGAACAGCAAAATCCCATCTCACCAACCTCACCGGACCACAGCCAGTCCACCGGATAAATCTTCACACAAATCGCCGAAGACTGTTCGCAGCCGTGTGTTCATGACTAGTGGTTCTTTGATTGGATGAACCTTGCAAGAATCAACTGCATGTACGAAGGCCTAGGAGTAGGTTTGAAAATGAACCTGCCGCGTGAGATTCTCATGTTGTTTGCACCCCGGAAGCCAACGTACGAACCTAGCTTTGGAAGAGAAGAAAATGGATCCGAGCCGGACGAGCGCAATTAGCTATGGATATCTGAATTTAGAGGCGTTTTCTGAGGTGGGATATGGCTATATCCTAGTCTGGCGGGTGGATTTATTTATTTTTTTGCTGCAAATGATCTATGTGTGTACCATAACTATGCAATTTGTGAATCCTACCAACGGAACAAGATTGTCCAAGTATGTGTCTATGATACATTCGATCACTAGTATATATCCTACAGCATCAGAACAATTCCCGAACCCGCCTAACGGTACTTTACCCGCTGCCCTCTCTTTTCCAACTTCTTCTGCCTTTTACTATCCGCAGCTGGAGCAGCATCGCCAGCATCCCCACCCATACCGGCAAATCCCTTCCTCACGCCCATAAACGTCGTATATGCCGACCAGGCGGAATACAGCGGGACCACAACCCACAGCCACCAGGCCTTGTCGCCAAAAACGCACACGGCACCCATGCACCCCCAGGTCCAGTAGAGCACGTCCCAGAAATACTCCGTCAGGCCGGGCGCATCCAGATCTTCGCCGGGAGATCGTAGCGAGTTGTCGCCGGGGTTGTAGCGCGGGCGGCCTAGGCGCTCAAAGTAAAATTCTATGATTAGAGTTGGGATGGTAAAAATGGCGTATGGAGTGAGAGAGCGCGGGCGGCGGAAGAGGAAGTGAAGGAGGAGGAAGATGGCGTGGATGGTGAGGGTGGTGAGGTGGGTTTGGCGCAGGAGAGCGCTGTTCCTCGCCGCGAGGGTTTTGGCTGCTTTCTAGATATCGTTAGCAGGTAGACGGGGGGAAGATGCCATGGGGGCTCGCGGACCTGGGCCATTTTTTGGTGCTGGTCTATGCCAATGTCGAGGAGAGTGATTTTTGTTGATAGCTGCAGTGAAGAGCTCAGTTGGCGATTATGTAACTAACTAACTTGCACCCTTAGGTGTGGGCAGATATGAAGTCTACTGGCAGGGGAGAATCAATGTGAGAACTGCTCTAATTCACATAGTTAGATCATGTAAGAAAGAGAGACGGAGACCAAGAGGAATGCACGACTGGTAACGAGTTAAGCAGGGCTCTCTTGAATGTGATTTAGTTTGCTTAGGATAAGGAACCAGCGAACCACCACTGCTAGTGAGGATCCTCTGGATATCATGAAAACAAGCCCATCACTGCTCCTCCGTCAGTTGAGATCACATATTCCAGCCCACAGTCTCTCTTGAATCCCCAATATCATCTATCCTTAGTTGCTGTCTGGCCGTCATCTGGCGTTGCCCTCCACAACAGCCCTGGCACTAGCCAACCAACTAGCCTCCAACCAAAACATTCTTACCTGCACTCACTTTTGACAAAGCCCGGATCTGCAGCCATTCTCTCGACTAATTAGAAGATATCTAGCACTGTTCACACTCTGCTGCAGCACTGCTCATCAGTTCTGCTTACTTTTACTCTCGCTCCAGGCCGTTTCCATTGTTCAACTGCCTGCTTTCTTCACCATGTTCCGTCAACCCAGTGCAATCCGGTCAGCTGCCAACTAATGACCACAGAATAGCTTCCCTGGCTGTCTTTGAGGGTATCAAAAGAGCCCCTCAGGTGCGTTGACATCTCTTTTCGATCTGATCTCTCTGGCATCGGGTTGATATTTGTTGCTAACAGCCTCCCTACAAGCAGTTCCCGCCTGACGTCCCGGCAACCCCTCAGCCCTGCACGGATCGCGCTTAACACTCACGGTTCCCGCCGCTGTCCTAATCTCCCGTCGCTCTATTGTCGGCATTCTCCCGTCACTTGTACCTTTACACGGCCTACTGCCGTCCTTTTGAGCTACCTAGATATCTTCCCGCTTCCGCCACCCTTTCTTACTCCTTCGCTCTGGCAAACATGCCCCCGTCAGCCTCCCATATATCCAGCCAACTGCGGCAATTGGTCTACTATCACCTCGACAACAACCTAATCCGAAATGCCCTTTTCGTTGCGGGTCGCCTACATGCGTTCGAGCCGAGATCTTCAGAATCTGCCTACTTGCTGGCCCTTTGTCACCTTTTAGCTGGGCAGTCGAAAGCGGCATGGGAAGTCAGCAGGAATTCCGGCTCTAGAGGCACTTATCTCGGATGCTCGTACGTTTATGCTCAGGCATGTCTGGACCTTGGGAAGTACATGGAAGGAATCACCGCTTTGGAGCGGAGTAGGCCACATTGGATATCCAGAAACAATTGGAGTGCGTGATACCTCTCTGGTTTTGAATATATACGAAGAGGTCATCACTGTTTTTGGAGTGCTAATTGACTCTGGAACAGACAAACATAGTGAAAGCCGTCGCCAGCATCTACCTGATGCCGCAGCCGTTCTATGCCTCCAGGGACGATTATGGAAAGCTCACAAGGATATACATAAAGCTGTGGACTGCTATGTTGAAGCGCTGAAATTGAATCCCTTTCTTTGGGATGCGTTTCTAGGCCTTTGCGAAGCAGGTGAGGGGTCCAGGTAGTGCTGTTTAACATTCGATATTAATATCGTTTCCACTAGGAGCTAACGTTCGAGTCCCAAACATCTACAAAATGACACCGGAGATGATAGCGGTTCTGACAGCATCCCCTTCCGCAGAGAGCCTTTCCTCCTTCGTCCAAGGAACGGCACAAGTCGGTCCGCTGCAGACACAACCAAATTCCAATAACGTGGACCCTTTCGTGTCTCTCAATCCCCGTGCTGAAGGAGTCAGTGGATCAGGTTGTTCCGCGCTTTGGGAAAAGCTGAATGGGAATTCTTTGAATGTAAATTCGGGCGGCTCCTTAGCTACCGAAGGCATGGAAACGCCTATCGCGCAAAGTGATTCCGATGACTTTCGAGTGAATGGGAGCGGTGGCATCGGATCAGGGTCTTTCGGAGAACCACCACTCGCTCCAGCCCGAAAACAGCGATCCATGCAGGTTTTGGGTCACGAATACAACCTTGATCCACCCCCAAAGATGAAAACTACGATTACCAGATCGAAGACCCGCTCCCGAACTGAAGCTGAGGAAGGGGTTTCGACTCGTGAAGCCCCCGTACCGCTCGTTGCTGACCGTAAGAGGACTGTGTCGGGCCACATTGCACCTAGTTCCTCCTCTCAGCAAACCGAGCCTGGAGCTCCGCAGAGGCGAAGTGTCCGGCTTTTCAATCAAATTCGTCCGTCTTCAGCTAAAGTTTCTGCTTTAGCAGGATCGAAAGAGAGCCGCGAGATCAAAAAGGTCAAATCCACGGGCGTGAAGTCTCGAAATGTCTCTGGTTCGAGTATGACGAGGGCCGTGAGCGGCAGCCGAAAAGCGGTCACAGAACCAATGGACATTGATAAAAAGGAGACCGCCGGTAGTCAACATAAGAGTGCACAGCCCGATAGGTCGAAAGAGATAGAGGCTCTTGGCTGGACCCTTGAACTCTTCTCCAAATTTGCTAGTGGTTTCAATGCGTTATCCAATTATCGATGTCAAGAGGCTATTCAAATCTTCAATTCATTGCCGCAAAGTCAGAGAGAAACTCCATGGGTTTTATCACATCTTGGCCGTGCGTATTACGAGCAAGCGCAATACAGCGAGGCGGAAAAATTCTTTGTTCGAGTGCGGACAATCGCACCATACAATCTGAAGGATATGGAGGTCTATTCAACAGTCCTCTGGCATCTGAAAAATGCGGTTGAACTGGCATATCTAGCACACGAGCTTATGGAAATTGATCGCCTGTCCCCCCAGGCTTGGTGTGCTATAGGGAATTCATTTTCCCTTGAAGGAGACCATGATCAGGCATTAAAATGTTTTCAACGGGCAACTCAAGTGGAACCCAGGTTTGCATACGCATTCACTCTACAAGGCCATGAATATCTTTCAAATGAAGAGCATGATAAAGCCATGGATGCCTACCGACATGCGATTGGTGCTGATAGCCGGCATTACAATGCGTGGTACGGGCTGGGTAAGGTATATGAAAAAATGGGTAAATTTAAATTTGCGGAGCAGCATTACCGGACAGCGTCCAGTATCAATCCAACCAACGTGGTGTTGATATGCTGCATTGGCTTGGTTTTGGAACGGATGGGGAATCATAGGGGCGCATTAGTACAGTATGCTCGAGGTTGCTCATTGTCGCCGCAAGCAGTCGTTCCGCGTTTGCGCAAGGCTCGCACCCTTTTGAAACTTCAAGAGCTCAAGCAAGCTCACTCTGAGCTCAAAATTTTGAAAGATATTGCACCAGATGAACCGAATGTGCATTATCTGCTTGGGAAGTTTTATAAAATGATGCACGACAAGGGGAATGCCATCAGGCATTTCACGACTGCATTGAATTTGGATCCAAAGGTACTAGGCATACTAATGCGTTTATCTGATTAGGCTTTTGAAACTGACAACTCGATACTAGGCTGCCCAGTTCATCAAAGACGCAATGGAATCCCTTGAAAACCCTGACGATTTTGACGACGATATAGCCTAGGCCTCGCGATTACGTTAAGCTGAGGTTGTACGATGGCGTTTCCGTTTGCATTTCCGCTTTTATATGCATTGGGCTGAGCGGGATTCCTTTGGAGGTCGGTTGTGATTACTCCCGATCCCATGCTCAACCGGGCGTTGGAAATACGTTGATATTCAGCATGAGCATAGGTTGGAGCTTTTGGGAACAGGCGTTGGGTTTCGACGACTTTTTTTCTTGGTATAGCCGGCATCTGCAAGCTTCCATTTCCTCATGAGCACTGAGTTTTCCATAGTAATTGTTCCTTTTTTTTTTCTGATCCTGGATTCTGAGGGAGCAATAGCTGCTGGGTGAAAAAGGGGACATGAAGTGCACCTATCGGTTGGCTATATCCACTTATCATTAAGAATTGAACCAGGGCGAATTTGCAAAATGTAATCACTTGAAGCTTCTCAAGGGGTCACTGGGTGTTGGTCTCAGCGAAGAGACTGCTGCTTCACCAATTCTTGGTGATGCCGAGGATACGCCGGATTGTGACCAGATCAGATGCTCATACATATGGTCGATACTGATCAGCAGCACTGGAATGAAGTAGAGGCTTTTAAACACCACATGAGTGCGAATGTCTGCATATCTACTCTGTAGTAATAAGACCCCCGAACGCGAAGTTTCGAATTCTGGTTTCTGGCATTGCTCCTCAACATTTTGCAAACACGGCTAGGAACAACCCCAAAATTTTTGAACCCAAATCCCTTTCCCGCCGAACATCTTCTTCCTCCGTCCACGATCTCCCCCGGCGAAGGCCGTCCCACTAGCCCATTCAATCGCAAGAATACACGGAAGGATGTCCGTCCTTACATACGTCGTGTCCGGGCTCACGTCCTACGTCGCCCTCACCGTCGGCCTTTTCGGTCTCTCCATCAAAGTCCCCCGAGCCGGCTTCTTCGCCCGCTGTCTCGCCGCATACGCCTCGCTCCTCCTCTGCGCAGCCTACGGGGTCCTGGCGTCCGTCGTCCTTCGCATCAGCGGCCATGGCGGAGTCTCGCAGTGGGCGGTCGCCCGCAGCTTCAAGTGGGTGATGTGGCTGACGACGGGGACATACTTTGACATCATCGAGGGAAAATCCCACCTGTCGACGCGCCCGGCCGTGTTTATCGGGAATCACCAGACGGAGCTGGATGTGCTGATGCTCGGGGCGGTGTTCCCTCCGTACTGCAGTGTGACGGCGAAGAAGTCGCTGCGCAACGTGCCGGTGCTGGGGTGGTTCATGGCCCTGTCGGGAACGGTGTTTATTGATCGCGCGAATCGGCAGACGGCGCTGAAGGCGTTTGATGGGGCGGCGGAGCAGATGCGGAAGCAGAGGCAGAGTGTGTTTATTTTCCCTGAGGGGACGCGGAGCTATTCGTCGGAGCCGTGCTTGTTGCCGTTTAAGAAGGGGGCGTTCCATTTGGCGGTGCAGGCGGGGGTGGATATTGTGCCGATTGTGGTGGAGAATTATTCGCATGTGTTGAATATCAAGAAGCTCAGGTTTAATGCTGGCGGGATCAGGATCAAAGGTTCGTTTTTGAAAAGCTGCCTCCTGCTGCTGTGGGCACGCTGAACTGACGTGATGCATATTAGTCCTTCCGCCTATTAGCACAAAGGGCCTTACTCCCGCAGACGTCGATGGCTTGACACTCAGAACCAGAGATTCCATGATGGAAGCCCTTACGGAACTACACAAGTTCCGGGAGTCACATTCGAATGGGACTCCAGCCAGATGCATACCAGTCAATGCCGCCAAATCCAGTGCCATCGAGATATGAGCTATGGAGGAGGACTTGAGCATACGAGCACGAACTCAAGTTATCCCTTAGCATACGTTACAAGCGACGCGAGGAGAACGTTGCTTCTTCTACATCCAGAAAAGGACACGACATGAAATGACTCGATGACTGGGTTAATATCAAAACATGGAGCTTATAAAAGGGCGATCTAAACGCAATAGAGGGCTTTTTTTGCATGGCATCGGCGCTCTGGTTTCGTTCATATATTTTCGAGTCTGAGTAGGGCTTATACGCTTTTCTTACTTCCACCACATTTGTATTTAGACTTGGGGTGCTTTAACTTCTTTATTTGATCTTCAAAAGAACAGTGGATATCACAGATCTACCCTGGATATATTTAGTGGTTAATCCCGAATTTAGAGGTTGGCTCGATAGGCCCTGATCGTCTTGATGAACTTGCTAAACCGAAAGCTTCTCAGTATCCAACAGTCACCTTAGACATTGACATTGGCCGGTGGCACAAGGGGTAACATCACGTTCGATATCAACAAGCCTGAAATCACCCCAAGGGGCCAATTCAACTGAGCTAGCTCCAAAGCCAGAGCCTCCCCTCGTCGCCGTCGCAACCAAATATTCTCTGCCAAACGCAACCATCTCGATCCTCACATCCTCCACCTGCCTCCCATATAGCCACACCTGCACCCCGGTCTCAGGTGGCCCCCACACCGGTCGCTCCCCGTCCATCGCCGGCTCCGGCGGATTGACATTGAGAAATTCCAGCTCCTGCAGCCAGGGCGCTAACAATGCTTCGCCCGTCATTTTTATATATGCTTCTTTCAAAGCCCAATACGCGTAGAAGCGGCGCAGACGGTATTGAATCGATTCTCCCAGGCTCAAAGGCACAGTGCGCGGAGGGCAGAGAGGGAGGGATTTCATAGTGTCCAGTTCTCGAGATGAGAAGACTTGATCATAGATATCTATGAAAGAATGCATTTCTGCTTCCGTTGCCGGAATTGAGTTCTGGCCACGCCGAGAGCGCTCGTCTGTGCAAGTTATGTCGATGCCGACCTGCGGCGTGGCAGGGGCCGTAGTAGGGGAGGGTTTAGCAGGTGTGCTTGCAGTTGCCGGAGGTGCTTCGATTATAAAATCCCCAGGGATAACGCAGCCGGCTAACGCGATGAGCGAAGCTTGATGGCTGACGTTGAATTCAATGTTTGGAACAGGTGCTGTGCTTTCATCGCGATCCTCTGAGACTAACGGGATATAGCACGGTCTTTTGTGAGGCGCTGGAGTCCGACTAATGACAATATTATCCCATGGCACACGACAAGCACGATGTATAAATAAATATTTGAGCAAATATGATGCAAGAGACATATGCCTGTCAGCCAAATGGTAGTACGCCTTGACGGTCTCTTGGTCTTGCGGGCGGAGGGTCGAGAGCAACGGCAGAGATGGGGAGGTGGCAGTCAGCCATCGCGTGTCCATGTACCATCGCGACAGTCCATGGAGCACACACGGCTGCTGAACACCATCCGCAGAGGGCGCCATTCTCGTTCCCAACGACCTCCCTCCGAAATTGTCGTTGGTCTCAGCCGGTTGATATTGATAGTGATAAACCCGCATCACGGCCCGACCTATATCCGAGGGCGGTTATCCCCGCTGTTTCTACCAGAATTGCTCTTCGACTCACTCTTCACACGAACATGCAATGACGATTACTGTGGGTGTCCTCGCCCTTCAAGGCGCCTTCGCTGAGCATCTGAAGCTGCTACAAGCGGCCTCAAGGAGCCTAGTTGCAAAGCAACCCCAGACATGGAGCTTCCTTGAAGTCCGAACCCAGGCGCAGCTTGAGAGCTGCGATGCCTTGATTATCCCAGGCGGAGAGAGCACTGCCATTGCACTGGTGGCTGCGCGGTCGAATCTGCTGGAGCCGCTTCGAGACTTTGTCAAGTATGAGGCAACACTTGCTCTTCGAGTCTTGCACGAAAAACTCACATGGATTCTCTAGGGTACACCGGAAACCAACCTGGGGAACCTGTGCGGGGTTGATCCTCCTGGCGGAGTCTGCGAATCGAACAAAACAGGGCGGCCAGGAGCTTATCGGTGGGTTAGATGTGCGCGTGAACAGGAACCATTTTGGCCGTCAAACCGAGAGTTTCCAGGCGGGCTTAGAGTTGCCATTCCTATCGTCCGTGGACAATATCGAGCCACCCCAGCCGTTCCAAGGAGTCTTTATCCGAGCCCCAGTTGTGGAAAAGGTGCTTCCTCACAGTGACTCCATACAGTCTGGAGAACAAAAGAAAGAGGATACTGTAATAGCACCCTCGCGACAACCGGAGAACATTGTAGCGCAAAAGGCCATGAGCGATCATGTGGACGTGCTCGCAAAGTTACCAGGAAGGGCGGCTAGGCTAGCCAACCGCGGCTTGGATGTTGCGGCCGATCCAGATGCTGGCGACATTGTTGCAGTCAGACAGGGAAACGTGTTTGGGACAAGCTTCCATCCCGAATTGACCGAGGATCCTAGAATTCATATGTGGTGGCTCCAGCAAGTGCAAGAGGCAGTGGAAAAGGCTCAGTCCGAAACCACCTTGGCTGTCGATAAAATGGTCAACTAAAATTTTTGTACATTCTGTACCGAATATTGGATATTTTAAATAGACCTTGTTTGAATTATTGAAGGCTAATATGCTGCTGCTGCTTTACGCCGTTTTGCGCCAGTAACCGCTGAACCTCACCCTGCCTACCTACCTCTGCCGTACTGCTCTTCTTCTCTTCGTCTCTCTTCCGCGATTGCACGGCCGTACCCTCCGCGGCCAGGATCGTATTCATCTCGGTATTCGTCTCTTACTTGGCCCCCCGACTTACCCCGGCTATTCCACATTGTAAGCTAAAACATTTGACACTTTGGGTGGGGAGGTCATACCCATATTGCCTGCCTTCCTGGAACCCAGGGTCCAGATCAGTTCTAATTATTCTTTCATCCAGCTTTGTTCCTCCGATGTATTTCATGCAGTCAAGCGCATCCTGATGTGTGTAGTACTCAACGAAACAGAAACCGCAGGGCGTCTTCGAAAACCGGTCAAGGCCCATTACCAGGCGCTTGATCTCACCGCACCTAGTACTCGTTAGCCCCAAACCGCTTATTTATATTCGCGCTCAGCGATTCGTCCTTACTTAGCGAAAAGTTCGTGTATTTGTTCTTCAGTCGTGTAGAATGACCTGGCGGCGCAAAGCGGTTAGACTTGCCAACCCGTCGACGATGGACACGTACAAGTTCCCAACATAAAGGGTAGTCGCATTCTTTAGAGGATCCTCAGTCTCGATTTTCTCCTCATGCTCGTCTCGGCCTTGACCCAGCTTTCGTCTTTTGTTCTATGCAGTGGGCCACAAATTAGCAGGCAGCTCGTGGAGAGTCGCAGCATCAAGCAACATACCTTTCCTAAATAATACGTGCTGGGCTTATCAAGCCTATCGATAGTGCCCCTCATCTTCCTTTATTCGAGGTCGGAAACGCAAAGGTCGAAAGGATGTTGTTGCTGCGAAGCTGTGATGGAAGTTTAGGAGCTTTTGGCTTGGCGCGCCTGGCTTCGCTTTGAGCTCCGATCAAGTGAAACTATCAAACGTGAAAACCACCTTCAAGACAAAGCTCAACCGTCGCTATAGATTGCTTTTGTCATGACTTGGTGCTAACGAGCATCAATTGGCTACGCGCTGTTACCCTTGGACGATCCTTTTGCGCTGTCACTTCACCAGTCGCTTCCCAATGCCGCGAGTTGTCGACTACGCGCCAGCCTGGCTATCCAGGCCTTCGCCGGGGGCTACTTTTTTTTCAAGCTCGAGCTCGAAGAAGCCAAGCGAGAATGACGCCGAGTCGTATTTTGGGCCCACCAACATATTAGCCCGGAGGGGCACTGAGGTGTTCGCAGTGGTGGACAATCAGATTCGGTGGGCAAATCTTGCTCTCCTAAAAGATCAGTGGCAGGAAGGCGTGAGGCAAAAGAGAAGAGAAACGGGCTATGGCTCTGACGAAACCGACACTGTGTCTTCAGGGTCTGTAAGGATTTCCAAGAATGGCGCCGGGAACAAAACGAACGGGGGCAGTTCTGAGGTTGAATCAAGATACAGGGTATGGCGAAATTCACAACTGGGCGCTGCGATTATTTCTAACATGTACAGGTTCTTACGGCACCGATATATGGCCAAATAAGACAGCTTATACCGTCTCCGAATGGCGCATTCCTCGCTATCCTGACTACCCACACTATTCACATCGCCATCTTACCGGACTCGTCGCATTTGTCAAATCCTGATTATTCTCCTCTCAGGCTACGAACATATCAACTTGGTCCTGCCACACATGTCATCCCTGAATCACCGGTGGTTAAGGCGCTATGGCACCCGCTAGGCGTATATGACAATTTTGGAGGCTGTATCGTAACCGTCACGGCAGACTCAGCAGTCCGCGTTTGGGAAATTGATCGAAGGGATAATTGGTCTTTTGATCGTCCTACCCTAGCCATTGATTTGAAAAAGTTGGTCGACGGAACGTCTTCGGACGAAGACTTTGCACCCTCTGGATTCGGTCAAAATAAAGGGTTTTCTGCGGACGTGTTTGACATGGAAGCTGCTTCAGCAACTTTTGGCGGTCATGGATACGACGACGAGGATGCATGGGCATCGATGACTCTGTGGGTGGGAATGAGGCAAGGCGATGTCTACGCGCTTTGCCCTCTATTACCTTCAAAATGGCGGGCTCCTGCCCTAGCCATTTCTTGCTTGACAACCTCGATAATCCATAAATTAGCCTCAGTGCAAGAGGACACTGCGGAGGAAAATGACGATCGAAAAGCTGTTGAGCAGCGGTATACATGGCTTCGAGAAATCGACAATCAAGAGCCAATACAAGTTGAGGATGACTTTGGACTCGCAGAAATACGGGTTCGCCCAGCCCAGCCCAGTCCCATACCACGGTTGCAGGGCCCATTTCAATTTGATATTGAAGAAGAGCCGGATGACCTTGACATTACGGATATTTATGTTATTGCCGCCAAGCCCGAAACAGACGATCTTTTGGCCGGTGAAGATGATCGAGATATTATTGATGAGAGCAAACAGGACGGCATATCTGGAACCATCATTTGCCTTGCTACTGAAAAGGGGATGGTGCACATAGCTCTTGAGATGGATGGGGTTGAGGGTCAGTGGCTCCCTGGCAGCAGCCAGGGCACCTTTACCACACCGATGTCCGATGCTTCAGAGCTATTACTACTTGAGTCTTTGGAGACTGTTCGAGAGAAGCATCTTCAACCGAACTCTTGGCCTATTTTCTCAGAAGATTCTGGATCGAGGTATAATTTTTTCCTGACAACAGCCAACAATGTTACCTTCATTTCCCTCTCTTCGTGGGTACAGCGGCTAGAGCCAGAGTTACAGTCGGCAGATACAGCTGGGTCGGCCTTTCGGATCAGCGTCATATGTGACGGCTCTATTGCAGAGCGGGAGCAGATCATTCAGATTTCTGCCTCTAGATCCTTGGGTGGTCCCGAACACCTTACAAACAGTCTAGTGATGTACGACTTTGATTTAGGTTATATGTTGCTCACATATGTGCCGTCGCAAGTATACGCTTTGGTGTTGGAATCCGCTGCATCTGGGGAGTTGGAGAGCACTCAAGAATTGGTCCCGTTTGAACCAGACGCCGCCAACTACCAAACCCATATGCCTATCCCTCAACGGGCTCCGTATCAAGTCCCCTCAATATTTTACGCTACCAATCCATTGACAACGTTTATCGATGATCACGTATCCCATGGCCGCAAGCACACTCTAAAAGAGCCCATTCGCCTTTCCCCCGCGACACTCGATATTATTGCCACTGCCCATCGAATACTAAGTGCATATACGCATGCGCTTGAAAAGGCCGCTTCGGTTCTTTTCCGCAGGTGCGAGAGACTGCAAGGGGAGATGCGCGACCAGTTGAATCAACTAGTAGACCTTGCAGAAAGAATCAATGATGTCTCGCAGGGAACCGTCCGCCGTGGCCCAACCACTTGGTAAAACCGGGCCGCGAAGAAGCACTTGATTCGAGGATGACCGCTCGTTGAGTCCAAGCAAAAGCAGCTGGGTACTGCGGTACAACACTCTTCGAAGCAAGCTCTTGAGAGCTGGTGGACGACCAATAAGCGATAAAGAGAATAGCTGGGTTCGAGAGGTGAACACGCTCGCGGATTCGATGGGGGGCGTAGAGAGCGATAAGCAGTCAAAGCTGATCGAAAGGCTGAACACGGTATGGAACTGGCATTCGTGTGTACTGTTTCTTCGAAACTAGCGGTTGCTGACAGTGGAATTAGGTCAAATCTTTAGCTGAAGAGCTTGTTTCTGAAGCGAAACGTTCACCTGAAAGCTCCAAAGAAAGCCGAACGTTCAGTCCGGATGCCCGTTCAAGCCCACTTAGGGTTCCGCCTTTATTACAAAAGGCTAAAGTTGCAGAAGCAATGGATATGGTTGAAAGAGAGTAGGTTTCCCTCCGTTGCCGATCCTTGCAGGCTGCGACTAACAAGCTTGCGAAATACAGGGCTGCAGTCATCGACGCCATAACCTCACGGCTTGAACGGCTGAGTACGAATATACCCGAACAATAGGTTGTCGATTCAATTTGCTAGGCTGAGATCTAAGTATGGAATTGTTTTGATAATGGATGAATTGGCAGAGTTTGAATGATACACTCGCTTCGGTTTAGAGGCATGGACAGATATTGAATGATTACTTTTATTGATGAAGAAGATGACTTCTCCTTGAAACGGATTCTAAATGATAATAGCCCACTGCCCACAGCGTTGAACCTGTTCGGGCGAATCTTCCTTGGAGACCTTTTTCTCGATACCAATCCCCGCGATCGAAGTGCAAATCCTAGTGATATCTAGTAATGTCTCAAAAACTTTTGCGCTTTTCAAGCTCCGTATGAAAGGCTCGTTCAAATCTACCTCTCCATTGATGATGTTCTAGATCCCCGATATCCAGCAGAAGATTGGGCGGTGACTACAGGGATCAAATGAGATTTATTGACTATGCAAATCCGAATTACACCTCCTTCACTGTTTTCTCACTCCATCGTACAGGGCTTTTAGAGCCTCTAGATGTCAGAATTATCGAGCCCCTTCACAGGCACATTCTAGATTCCCATGCGCTGGAATCGGCTTAAAATGAAAGGAATATATCGGCGTTTTGGTCAATTTTTGAAGCAGCATGGACGGACTCTTCCCGGATAAAATGATAAATCCCATCCTCCCCCCAGAGCCACCGGAATTCACACCATTAACCTGTACTATCCGCCATATGGCAACAGCGCCTCTGGCATGATCGCCCGCCGTCTCGCCGCCCCAGCCCAATGATCCCCCAGATCCACTCTCTCTTCGACCAAAGCCGACAGTTTCGTAAGCACGGCATCCCATTCAGGAACGACGAGATCATCGAGCTTCGATTCCCACTCCGCCACCTCTGCAAGAAACTTATTCCACCAGTCCCAGCACATGCTCTTGTCCATCGGAGAGATCTTGGCCTTGTGCAAGATCACTTCGCAATTGCGTCTAGTCTGTCTCCAGTAGGAGAGCGACCCCTTGAAAAAGGATTCCCTCATGGCCTGGTGGCGTTTGGCATAGTCTCTGTACGCCGCTTCGTCAATGTGGAATCTCAGCACGAAGCTCGGTATCTTGGCCGTTGCGGTGAGCGTGACTCCCAACTTGGAGGTATTATTAGATCGCGCGCCTACCAGGCCCCATCCGAGTAAGCGGTCGATTGCAGAGCAGTGCTCATGGAAGTCGGAAGTGTCGTCGACCCGGCAAAGTCGGTAGAGATGGTTGCTGATGTTTTTCTGAAGGGTTTTGTAGTGGCTTCGGGCCTGTTCTGCGGCGTAGTATGCTTGACCCAGTGCGCAACGGATGTCGAGCGGTATGACGGAAGAAAGGTGATGAGGGAGGGAGGCTCCGCTGGTAATAGGGATGAAATTCGATTCCATGGGCGCGATGCCAATGTCCATAGTGATGTTAATCTTCTTTTGACCCCCTTTTCAGTCAGGCATAAAGATCAGATTGATTGCTTTACAGGATGAAGGAATGGGTTGGAGACACTGAGATAAAGCATGGTTTTCAAAGGCTTTCACATTTACTGGGTCTTATAACAGATACAGAATAAGAATAACAAAAGAACAAAAGGTTGAAAAATCACAAGTTGTGCCTTTTGAAAGCTCGGCGTAACATCACTGTTCAAAGAAATTTACAAGTGCAGTCTGCCCTCATATAGCTGCATGGAAGACCATCATCAAGGACTATACCTGGAGGATGCGCTTTGGTGGTAGTCTCCGTAACTTCAAACAGGGCGGAGGCCGGAAGCCCACAAGAAACCAATGATAGCAGCGAGTAGGGGTTCAGTACTGGATCTGAAGACCAAAGAAGACTTTTCATATCAATTCAAGCAATTAGAGTGGAGAAAACATCAATGTTGAGTAAAAAAACAGTAACCTCCCAGGGAACCCAGGGGGCAATCGAATCCAGATCCTAGAACAATCGACGTCAGAAATAAGGCGAAACGAAAGAAGCTAGGTGCACAGCTTACCTCATAGTCCTCTCGCTGGAATAAGTCATGCCGGAGGATGCTGCTGCTGCTGCTGGCTAGCGTTTTGCTGTGCGAGCTCGAGAGCTGGATGTTGGTGCCATTCGGGGAAACGATATGCCACGACATGGTGTTGAAGCTCCGCGTATTGTCGAAACTCGTAGTGGCAGTCTCGAAGGGTGTCGGATTTGAGTATATGTTGGTAATACTTGAGCCAGACTTTCAAGCAGCCGCAAATCGATTTATAGGCCTGCATCTGATAGTCCCTCAACATGTTGTAACTCAGGCGCATCTCCTCCAAATACTGGCTCCAATCGGCTCCGCCCTCCAGGGGCCGCTGGACACAGCTCATATAGAAAACCAAGGAGTTATTATGCTGCTGGCGCAAAAGATCCCATCCAACCAAGCTTTGCACCCGAATGTGTCCCATTGTTGCGACCATCGCTTTAGCCTGTTTGTCAATCTCGTCCACGCCCGTAAAGGGCTTGATGCCGGATTCAGCTGGGCTTTGTGAAGTATGACCGGAGAAAGTAGTCACTGAGCCATGGGGATTATTGGGCAGAAATGGCACTTGAGAGAGCACTGCGCTTGTGTTGCCGGGGCCAGTGCTAGCTTGAGGAGTAAATCCGACATTTGACTGAGGGGAATCGGATTGATGCGCGACCAAGTTATTGAAGTTGGTGTTCAGGTTACTATCTGAGGAAGTCATATGATGCTCTTCGAACATAGATAGAAAGTCTTGGTCGCTCATATTGGTGAGAGCTTCAGTTCCAAGGTCCGGGAGTGAATCATCAGGTTGCATTTGGCTATCACTATGCGTCTCCAGAGATATCAGAACCCCACCTGGAGTGAAGGGTGGAGGAGTATTGCGTGGTTGGGTGGCCTGATTGCCATTCTGGCTGCTTTGGGAACCAGTCATCTGCAAACAAATGATGAATTTGAGTACATAGAGCGGCAGTTGCCAAAGGTAGAGAGACTTACAGTGATATTTGATGATATCCTTCAGTTTTCTAGCCGTTAGTAGTAGTATATCAACCCAATGAAGATGAGGTTGGAGGCAATATCCGATAACAAGAATCCAGATTTGTTTATGTAGTATGAAGGAAATTGAAGACGATGTTGATCAAAATGCAAGAAAGAAAAATAAATATTGGTTTCCAAGGCGATATATATCTCGGCACAATCATTGGTATATTTTGATTGAAAAGTACGTAGAAAGAATTCAGATACAGGATGCACATGACGGCTAAGAAGGTCTTGTGAATAGCATGCTAGGTACACAAAAGATTGATTCACTGATTCATTCAATCCTGATTGTGCTGTGTCAGTGATCGATACCTCAGAAGATAGAGTCAGTGCAAAGTACCTTTCAATGAGATGAACGCCAGACTGTGTTTCTACGATCCCGCTGATCTGGCCTGGCTTGAGCGCAAACGATGCATCCTCAAATTCCTTTTGCATGACACCATGGGTAAAGAATCCACTGCGCTCACAGTTAGTAAAAGGCATAGCTAAAAGGCGATATTTTCACTTACAGGTCTCCCTTCTTCCTTGCGCTGCTGCAATCTGATTCGGTTGTAGCAATGTCCCCTAGAGTCGCCTCTCCAGCCATGATACGTTTTAAATGGCCGTTAAGAATTTCAATGGCTTCTTCCTTGGTCCGTGTAATATTTGCTTCTCTCCAGCTAGTGGGCCGGCGGCTGTCTCGGTGTTTGATAAGTAGATGGCTTGCCCTAATCTGGCCTTCCTTTTGACTGGCACTTGGATAGCGATCTGGCGGGCCACTGTGGTAGGTGGCCATGTACACCTTCAGCTTCTCTGTATCGGTTTCCGCAGGAGGCTCCCAGCGGGATTCCTTAGTATTGGGGTTGAAATAATAGGGTAGGTTCTTCGAATTAGAATGACGAACTTCCCAGCCTGCGGGAAGGCCTGACTCCGCCTATTAACAGTCACCAATACAGTCCTTTTGATCGACCCAGGGAGTGGGCTCCCGGGCATAATCATCAGGAACTCACCATGGCTTCTACTGTCAACAACTGCTGACGGGGCACTTGAAAAAGCAACTGTCCAAAAACTACTGCTGTTGGTTGCGAGACGTTATAGCTCTAGCTGGATCAAAGAATATCCTTGTTCGCTTCCTATCTCATTCACCTATTCTTTAGCAGTAAAAGTGGCCGTTCCGCAGATGAAGTTGGATGAACGTTGCCAGTTTCAGGTGGAATAATAGGGCTGACGGTCCGTGCGGCCGCTTCGCCAGAAGCAGTCAAGCGTCACTCTACCTCTTCACTGCGCAGTTCAAGCAATCGACCATCACCATCTGGGATCCTAAAGTCTTCAACAGCTCAGGTACCGTCATTTCTCAAGGGACTTATAGCTACTGATCTGCGCATCTTCCGTCGAGCTCTTACCCGCCATGTCTGCTTCTCCCTCGTCTACAACCGGTGGCGACCAGTCCCAGAGCGTTGATCAAATCCACTTTCGATTCTGTCGCGAATGGTACGGCCCTTCTACTCAAGAATACTTTTGATCAGGCAGCTAACGTGTATGATCCTCTAGCTCTAACCTCCTCTACCCAAAAGAAGACCGCACGACGAATACGTTGATGTTCTCCTGCCGAACCTGTCACGTCGGCGAACCCGCAACCTCACACTGTGTTTTTCAGAATAAACTCAACAGCCAAGTAGGCGATACAGCAGGTGTAACACAGGATGTTGCGTCTGACCCTACGGTTGGTCTTCCTTTCTGCACTCTCTGCGGAGAGCAGATCACTTTTGAGCAGAGTGACCAATCTGGCGACGATGAATGCCAGATGGACCTCGAGCAGGCTCTACAGTTATTATGAAAGAAAACCATTGCATTTTTGCTATAGCTTCATCAATATATTGGGAGCAGCTTTGGCTAATGAACCCTTCTTCTATCAGCTGCCAAGGTCAAACAAGCTTTGTCCCAGCTGCGGAGAAAATGAGGCTGTCTTCTTTCAGTCGCAGCAACGTTCTGCGGAGACCGGAATGGTGAGATACGCCGTGCAACTTGAATATGATTATATGTACAAAGCGCAGTTTCTAATCCGAACATTCGGCTTGCAGAAACTGTACTATGTTGCTGCGCGTGTGGCAAGGTGTTTATGTGAGCTCAGGCAACTCGAACGATGTAACGGACCTTTTTATCTATTGACATTGCATCGGCGTTTGGACGGGTGTTCAGGGTTTGGAGTGGATCAATAATGGTGATTTTGACTCTGGTTCATTTTTTTGATTCTAGAATTACATTGAGAAGGCAGAACTGCAAGTGTATGAGACGTGGTATATTACAAATGCATTGGTGCTAAGGATAATATCTTCGACCATTTTCTATCTCGTAATTCCGCCCCAACGACACCTATTCCGTAGCCTATCAGCTCAGTTCCATGGGCGTTCCCTGCGAAAGAGACTCACCGTTCAACCTAGTGCCGATCGGGTCCCCGGACTTGTTGATCAGGACACAGGCATTGTCGCCAAACTTCACCACACTTCCATCGGGTCTTTGTATATTCTGCTTGGCTCTCACAACAACCGCGTGCCTGACATCGCCGCGGCGGACTTTATTGGCGATTGCCGTGTTCGCACTCGATGACTCGGGTCCAAAGTTTCGCTGTTTTTGCACTACGACGACGATCCGGTCACCTATGCCAGAGTGCGTCAGACGCTTTGTGCGATTCTCAAAAATCGATATAAACCAGCTGCTCACCGATTGTCGCGGCTCCTTTCTTCTTGAGGACGTTTGCGCATTCGACGATGGCCGCCCCGGAATTGTCGATGCAGGTTAATAACGACTAACGAGACAGAGATTTAGTACGTAGAATGGGCTGGTAGAGAGTACCGTGCTTACCTTGATCTGCACACTCATCTTGATAGCATCATGCACTGTAAGACACTCTCCCCTGCTGCCGCATGTCTTTGAAGCTTTTCGATCCCAAATTCTGAGATACGCGGATATAATATCCTCCGCATCCCGGGCAACGGCCCTTACATAAGCACGCTAGACTCGAAGCATCCCAGCCGCCGTGTTTCTCCTTTCTCGCGTATTTGCAGTCCAGCAGAAGAGCAGAACAGAGGCATTGTCCGAGCGCTGAGGCATATGAGGACAGTATCGCTGCTTGCTCGCATGCGTGCGTCCCTTACAATGGTTGAGCTCTCAGGGAGCTTAATCTTATCCCCTGACCTGTAACACCGTCTATTTTCCTTTGGGCGCGTGGTGTTTTTCGGCTTTTCGTCCGTTCTCCAGCCTTTCCGCCGTGCTTGTTTGCTTCTTCAATAGATCTATAGTTGATATTCATATGCTCAATTCATGGATAAACTCCCACCGGCGCTCTGCGTATTCGTTCCACCCTAATGGCACCTACTCCGCCGTCGAAGCAGAAAGAACGGTTGACCCTCGCTCAGCTTGCAGCCTACGATGACATTCTGACGGACACGTTGGTCGATCGCGTGAGATTTCAGCTCCCTTCTAGTGTAAAGATAGTGCCTCTTCTCTGACTCGAAACTGTAGGCGTTCTTCTGGACCAAGATCCGTAAAAATCGACCCAAATATTTCCCGGTTCGAGGCATTGTAGAGGAAGATGTCACATCGATACTACTCCACGATGTTATTGTTGCCAAAGACCTGGCAAAGGCGGAAAAAGAACTGCTTAGCCTTTCAGGACTCAAGAAATATGTTGAGAAGCTCAGATCTGAGAAGGAAAGGGAGTGGTTTCGCCGCCATTTGCGAAAATATATCGCCATCTACTTGCCAGATTGTCCTTTCGAAGTTACTACTACAAATCGCTATACTATTACCACTCATGAGGCAGCACTTTCAGCGAGAAAATATATTCGCACCGGCGATACCATCAGGCACCTTTCCGGAACCCTTGTCGCGATAACTGCTGAAGAGGAGATGAACCTCGATCTCACAAGAAGGGATTTCAGCATTGTAATGTCCAGCAGGAGGAAAACCCCGTCACTATTTCTCGGGCCTGCAAGATTTTCGAATCACGACTGCAATCCCAATGCAAGATTGGTTACAAAAGGCTCAGAAGGCATGGAGATTGTGGCGATCAGGGACATTGCCATCAATGAAGAAATCACGGTGTCATACGGAGACAATTATTTTGGTATAGACAACTGCGAATGCCTCTGCCATACCTGTGAGCTGGATCTGCGCAACGGGTGGGCTCCCGATGGGCCGGCGGAACATGACAGTCGCGCCTCCACGCCAGAGCCTTCGACTGAGGAAGAACAGACAAAGGCACCCCAGTCTACTGCCAAAAGAGAGTGCCCCTCCGAGCCCGCTGCACAGCCGTTTCCTGATACGCCCGCGAAAAAGCCCAGGCTAGAAATGAGGCCGTCAAATCTGCGACTGGAATTATCGCCACCAAGCAGTCCCGACCCCATTGCTGAACCTCTGATCACAATCAGTGGTGGCTTGCGCGGGCTACGAAGCCACTTCGCGGCCGTTATCAGCAAGCCAGAACTGCCACACTATCCATCATCCAACTCAAACGTCACCTCGGTTTCATCTTGCAGCAATGACACTCCTAACTCTACAAGATCAACTTCGGCCACATCGCTCTCTGATTCTACTGTTCAGGTAAACGCTGATCCTACGGTGGCATCAAAATGCGAAGCGCCTGCTGCAAACATTCGGCCAAATGGCCTCCCGGATCAAAGACTCCGCATTGACACCATCATCCGAGATAACGATGAATCAGATTTGTCAGACCTGTCTGCATCGTGGGAGATCAATGATAATGAAATGACAGTGGTGAAACGGGGGTCGATTAAGAAAACTAGAAAACGCAAAAGCCACATCATTCCCACAATCGAACATGAGCCACCAAAGGTTCGAACGGCTGGCGATTATACCAAAACTCCCAAACTACTCGCGCAGCGGTATGATCGCTGGGTAGACTGCCAGACCTGCAATGCGTGGTTTGTTCAGGGCGATGCATACCTCACGCGAAAGGAGTGCCCGCGATGCGAGCGGCACTCAAAGCTGTACGGTTATCGCTGGCCTAAGACCGATAAAGAAGGCCGGAATGACACCGAGGAGCGTGTCATGGATCATCGCACCATTCATCGGTTCTTGACAACAGAGGACGAATCCCGTGTTCTGCGACGAGGTCGTGGTGTTAGCAACGCCACGAGTCCTACGCGCGATGTTTCTGAAAACAGGACGGAGACGGATGCCAGTGAGTTTGGAGACGAAAGACGGGTCACGCGGGCTGTTCGACGTGCCAGGAGTTCTTTGCATTTGGCAATCTGACGGTTCAGAATAGCCACCCACATCTTTATACCCTATCCATGTATTTTCTAGGAATATTGTGATATCTTCTGGGAGATACCACTTGAATCAGCCGACATTGTACGATAAGTTTCTAATGCGTGCCCAGTTGGGGGTACATACCTGTCCATATACAGATGCATGAATTGAACAATTTCTGATCCATTCCAGTCTCGTCACCAGACAAGCACATGGTTAACCGGGTCATAATAGACAATCTCGCCAAACTCATTCACATCCACAACCTCATACCCCAGCGCCTGCATCTCCGCCACCACCTGCCTCCGCCGTCTCTCCTCGCGCACCTCGTCCAGAAAGTGCCGGTCGTACCTGGGCGTGTGCGGCCAAAAGGTGCCCTCGGGATAGTTCATGCGCACCCTGGCCTCTGAGCGGCCGTGTTTGCGGGCTCGGTCGAGATCGCGCTGGCGGAGGAAGCGCTGGCGGCGGGATTCCATCCAGTCGCGGCCGGACCAGAATTCGGGAGGGGTTCTGGCGATGCGCGTGAGGGTGGCGTGGGTGTCTTCGCTGGGGTGGTGGAGGGTGTCGCGGAATTTGGACCACCAGGCGAGGAGTGGCATTTTTACGGGGGGTGAAGGGGGATATGTTTGATAGGGGGGGTTTGTTGGTCGGTGACTGGTGAGAGGCTGGTTTATATTTCGTTTGGATGATTTGTTTGCTTTTCACATTTTGCCATGCTGTGCATCCTATGGTCTCTTGTCTCTATGCCGGATGCCAAATGAAGACGTTCTTATATTTCCGTTTGAGTTGTTTGCGCAAATTCATACAGACAAGCAGGATCCTCAAACGGTCAACAAACATGACTATCAGGCAGCAAATGCAACGCTACACCGAATCCCTCCGTGCCGACTCCTGGTCAGGACCAAAAAACCTCGCAGTGCCCTCTTCTCTGGGAGGCATCGGCCTCTGCGTCTGATGGACCCTGTTGGGCGGCGGTCGCGGGTTGGCTTGCCATCCGCCTTCAAACATCGAGGAATCTTCGTCGGTATCAGGGGGCACTTCATGTCTGGACATTTGAATGTGAGCAGTGGGTGCAAGACAATACTCGTGGGAATAGCTCACCGCCTCCCTCCTCGCCGTCTTCTCATCGAGTGCTGTTGCTGCGGTTGTTGCTGCTGCTGCTGCTGCTGCGTTTCTCGTGCCGTGTAGAAAGTCTGCTGAGTGCCTGGATAATAGACAGAATGCCCCCGCCGATCCGTGGGCGAGACAGACTCATGGCCTTGGGCGTCGAACATGCCATAGGCATTCCCTTATCCTGTCAAAATGCATTTGAATATAGATAGCAATTCCCCGCAACACTCACCATGACCGTCCATCACTCTAGAACCATTCCCAGCGCCTCCTGCAAAGTCGTTGCGCGGCATCGCATGGACATCTCTCAACGCTCCCGTGGCAAGCGGAGGCACATATACCCCTTGGGAGACTGGCGACAGTCCCGGTGCAGGCGGAGGAGCAGCCACGACAGGTTCAGGCTGCCTGTCCTCCCTCCGGTTCTTTTTCCTTTGCTCTGTGCGCACTTTGACGTGCTCAGTCTCAGCCTTGAGAAAATCGGCCGCAGAAACGAGGAGGCCGTTCAGTAGGCTATCAGGCGCCTGTTTTTTCTTCTTCTCCCTCGACTTTTGGCGCCGCCGGGACCTCGAACGGGGCCTGCATTTGTCGCAGCTGCAGTGCTTGCGTGTAGACTTGCGACCCCGGTCGTCCTGTGCTAGGTCTGCTAGGGTAGAGAGAATGTTGCCCATCTTCTGGCATAGTAATAAAGATGAAAAGGATGAATCATATCTGCTGAAGAATCACCGTAAGAGGGTTTTAATAGGCATAGCATTGTTTGGCGGCTGTAGCAGCATGCTGACTGCTTGCTTGCTCAAAGGCTGTTTGCTTCAAGATGTTGTCTTGTCACCTTGAGAGCAAGGCTAGCAAATACCTGCAACGCAAATGAGCTCTGGAGAACATCCAAGCAAGCACAGACTAAGGAGAACAACACGACTGTAGAAGAGGCATTAGATGTGTTGAATTGAAGCCGAATAAATAACTCCAGGACCCCCCCTTTTATACCCAATCTGTTTAATACACTCCCACAGCACCTTGCACATGCATATATAGCTCTAGTAATACAAATAGAAAAAAAAAGAGTAAAATTAAATCAACGCCTGGCCGCGGAACATGGCATCCCTGACTTCGCGGACAACATCCTTTCGGTCCTTTTTGCCGACCAGGACAATGCCCCGACCGCGTCTGCCCATGCGACCCAGCCGGCCAAGGCGGTGGATGAAGTCGATGGTGGAGTGGGGGACGTCGTATAAGATGACCGTTTTCACGGCCACCGTGTCGATGCCGCGCGAGGCCAGGTCCGTGACGACCAGGACCCTGGTGTCGGCGAGGCGCTTGCTGTTACTGTTATTGCTGGCGGCACCGGGCTGGACGTTGACAAACGGGACCGAGTCGCCGTCGAACTTGCTGCGCTTCAGCAGTTTGTAGTCCTCTGGCACGGGCGGCGGTTTGCCGACGGTAAAGTCCTCGAGGATGTGGGCCTGGCGCTTGTCGGGGGTGTCGCGGGTCAGGGACAGGGCGTCGATGCCCCTTGAGACGAGGAACTGGGCGAGTTCGTCAGCGGTGTCGCGCTCGTTGACGAAGACGATGATGGCCTTGGGCTCCCGGAGGCCGGTGACCTGGTAGCCGACGTCGGAGTCGTAGGGGTTCCCGGACTTGCCCAGGGACCAGATGGCGTCGGCGCAGGCGAGGGCGCGGCGGCCGCGGTAGGGCTCCTTGTCGATGTCGACGACGCCGAGCTGGACTCTGCGGGGGATGGCGTGCAGGTTCGGGGTGACGAGCCTGCGGATCTGCGGGAAGCGCTCGCGCAGGCGGGTGTCGAGGGAGCGGGGGATGGTGGCGGAGCAGAGGATGAGCTGCTGCAGGGTGGGTGCGGTGCGGTCGATGATGGCGTTGGTGACGGGCGAGAAGGACTTGTCGAAGAGCGAGTCGGCCTCGTCGACGACGACGTGCGAGACGCGGCTGAGGATGTAGGGGTTGGCGTCGGCGATGGAGGCGACGAGGTGCGGCGTGGTGACGAGGATGTCGAGCCCGGCCGGGTTGAAGAGCGTGTTCCTGATCTTGCGCGGCGTGTAGCTGGAGGCCAGCAGGGCGGCGCGGTACTTGACGGTGTGCGCCAGCTGCTTGACGATGCGGCCGATCTGCTCGACCAGCTCCGACGTGGGCACCAGGATGAGCGCCCGCGGCCTCACGACGTTCTTTGGGCCGTCGGGATCCTCGCCCACGGCCGGCGGCACCAGCTCAAACACATCCTCTGTTGCTTCTTCTTGTTCTTGTTCTTCTTCCTGCTTCGCTGCCTTTTCTTTTTCCTCTCCTCGCTTGATCGCGTCGACCACCGGGGCCAGATAGGCGATGGTCTTGCCGGAGCCCGTCTCGGCAGCCAGGAGGAACTGGTCAAACTGCGGCATGCCCTCGTCGCCCTCTTCTGGCGCCGGCGTCGCGGAGCCCGTGCGGAGGATGGCCGGGATGGCGAGGCGCTGGATGGGCGTCGGGCGCACGTAGTCGAGGTCGGCAAACACAGTGCTGCAGATGGCGTCGCGCACGGCCGGCAGCAGGGCGAAGTGGTCGAAGCTGCTGATGTCTGCGATCTTGGCCTTGATGGCGGTGCGGCGGCCATACGACACCGGCGCCAGGGCCGTCTGCATCTTCAGCGCCTTGAACAGCGGCTTCTCCTCCTTGTGCTGCTTGTCGGGCCCGTACGCGGCGCGGTTGAGCTCTGCCCGGGACCGCGGCCGCTGCCGGTCACGCAGGTTCGCGCGGGTCTGGTTCATGGCGCCAAAGGGACTGTTCTGCAGCCGGGGGGCCGTCTTGCGTCTGTCGCCGTACCTGAGCGTCGGCTGGGCGACATCTGGCGAGAGCGTCATCCGCGAGGGCTTGCGGCGGCGCGCGGAGGAGGCCAGGCGCGAGGACAGCCATAGCGCGGGAATAGGCGACGGCGGGGATGAGAACTGGCAGAGCAGACACGGGCGAGCGAGCAGCATGATTGTATGATATTCTCTTATTGTCTGTCTATCTTCTGTATGCTATTCACTCGATGAGTTTTCACGCCAAGAGGCGGCGCGTGTTGCCGGGCCAACAGGCGGCACAAAGTCAACATTGACGCTTTGGAGATCGAGATTGCGATGCGTTGATTGCAGTTGGCGGGTTGTTTACAGATAATCATCTCTATCTCTATCTCCATCTCTGTCATTCCATCTCCTCTCTCTTCTCTTCTTCCCTTTTCATTCCCTCGCTTCAGTTGCCGCATCCATCGTCGCTTTGTTGCTTCGGCGGTCACTTTGTTATTGTCTGCTTCTTTCAGCCCAATTCTCGCCTCACTCTGGATGCCGACTTGACTCTCTTGTCTCAAAGGTACCGCTGCTCAATGCCGGCACGACATGGAATAGCGCAACTGGCTAACATCTCCAGTCCCCTTTCTTTTTCTCTCTCTTGTTGCAGCCATGGCCAGCGGACAGCGCCCTCTATCAGAGATCAGCCCTGTTGCCCCCCAGCGCAATTCGCCTGGAACAAAGGTATGCCGGCCCTCCATCCCCCTTCCGCTGTCTCACACTCACGCGCCTCGCAAGGGGTCGTCGCCGTTTGACTCGTCTCCCCTGAACGCATCTGCGTCGCCGCGTCTCTTCTGGCAGGGCCGCGATCCGGCGTCCCCCTACCGCATCAACTTTGAAAACAGGCACCCCTACGAGGGCTCTTCTCCCGCGCCGTCGGCCAAACGGTCGTCCATTGAAAACCTGAAAAAGGCCTCGCGTGTGAAAAACAGCACCATCTTTGCCCGCGAGCAAAAGAGCGAGTATGATCCCGCCCAGGTCCAGGTGCTTGAACGGCCCTTGGCCGGCGGAAGGCCCCTGAGCCAGCGCAGTTCAAACACCAGCACCAATGCCAGTCCCGATGCCCGGCGCCAGCTGCCGTCCCAGGCTGCGGCCGCCAGACCGAGCACGCAAGAGACCCCGTCTGCACAGGAAGCCGCAACGCCACGTCCAGCGCAGAAGAGCACCGCGGGCACACTCCAAGGATCTCCGGCCAGGGCGCAGCCGCAGTCTCCCCCCAAATCTTCTTTGAACAAGAATGGCCGTTATAGCGGCAGGTCGTTTGATCCCCATAGCGAAATCTGGTCTGATGACGAGTCCACCGCAATCGACAAGTCGTTTGGAGAGGGCCGCAGCTTTCATCGCCAGACCAAGAGCGTCACCTTTGACGCTGCGCCGCCCCAGATCAACGAGTATGAGATGACAACGCCCGTTCCTTCGTCCGTCGCATCCAGTTCGCGCGAGGGGAGCTACGAGTCAACCGAGAACGAAGAGAGTTTTGAAGCGAGCTTTTCCCTGCACGACGATAGCTTCGATGCCAGTCTTGAAGACACCGACAAGACACCCGTGATGCTGCCCGATCAATGGGGTTATGAGAGCCACGACGACACAAACGACGATATCTCGCAGAATGAATACGATCCGTTTAGCCCAGACTATGACACCCCCGATCCAGAGGCACGGCCTCCCTCTTCCAATGCCTCCAGTTCATTCCGGTCGCGAATCGAGTCGTTGGATTCGAACGGAGAGTGTCGTCCGCTTCCCCCCCTGCCACTCGCAAATCTACAGCGAAGCCCAGATCACCATCGCCGCCTCACCGCGACCCTGGAAAGGGCAAGCAGCGTGTCTCGACCAGCACCCTTGCGTCCGGCATCGTGCAGCAAAGACGACCTCAGCGGCCTCGGACCAGGCTCGCTCTCCCTGGAGGATCGGCTGCGCCTGATGATGACTCAAGATAACGACCATCAGGCCTCTGAAGCTGAAACTCAGCGTGAACGGAGGATGCGTCGCGCAGGCATCAAGGACAGAGGCCTCGAAAAGAACGACGAAAAGCTGGAGGACAGCATCGTCAGCGAGCTCAGCGTGTCCCCTGACTGCTCCACCCCGCGCATCTCTAGGGATTCCATCCTGCGAAACCTGAAGCGGGAAGAGCCCTTTGATGAAGAAGTCAGCGGCATCTCCTCGATCCGCAGTGCCAGTCCACATCGCCCGCTTCCCCTGGACCCGGATACTCCCATCCCTTCTCTCGAAAGTGACGATGTGGCTGAGGATGATGTCCCGATCAAAGAGGAGGAGGACGACCACGACGAGATTGACCTCTATACCATTCCGGAATATCGAGACCAAGAGGGCGAAAAGGATCGCGCAGAATACGATGATGCCATGCACGGTGACTATGATGATGAAAGCCACTATTCTCAGGCTTCGAGGGACGAGGACTCGCGCATCGAGCAGTTTGAGGATGCTGAACGCCAATCCACCCCGGTTCCAATGCATATCACACCGGAGCACACGGCTGACAACAGCGAGCACCACTTGCAGTCGAGGTCTCCCTCTGTTGACGACGACCACCAATTCGACCTAGACCTGCTCTCCTACGTGGATCGGTCAACGCCTCCCGTCGACGGCTCCGACGACGCTCCGCCCCCGCTTGACATGGCGTCTATTCGCGACTCCCTCAACAGACCAGAGACTCCAGAACAGAATGCCGACCGGGCGGCAGCCAACGACGAACATCAAGAATGCCCCGACACCCCCGAGTCGGTTATCAGGCACCCAGTTCCCGAAGAGGTCGTCGAAGAAGAACCAGCCCCAATCATCCCGGATCCCGTGGCCACTGTCAAAGCACCTGGCGCCGGTCTCAAAACCAAGCCTTCACTGACCCCAGCAGATGCCGAATCGATGGCAGCAGTTCGCCGCAAGGTGAGCGGCCAGGAACCAAGAATCCCGTCAATTTCGGAAAATCCAAACGATACCCTTCGCAGCACCGCTTCCGAACTGACGCTTGGATCGGTCAAGTCTGATCAACCGGCATTCAACCCCATGTCTGGAACCGAACAGCGACAGTCCTCCCTGGTCAAGCTCGATATTCCCGTCAGTGCCAGCGATGAAGGTTTGGGATTCGGCCTAGACGAAGAATTCGATCGTGTCATTGAAGCTCAAAAGGTTGCGTTTGAACTCTCTCTTTCTCAGATCCCTCCCTACATGGACGTCCAAACCTCTGGCCAAAACAAAACTTGTGACAGGCTTGTGCACGGAGCCCACCATGATACCCCTTGCAAACGTATAGAGAACAAAGCTGACAGCAGATGGATGAGACAGAGAGGTTACCTCATGAGGCAAAACACAAAAGTCATCGTTGCCAACGACGATGCAAACTCCAAGTCCGCCAAAGGGCCGCCGCAGGTGGGTAGTACGCAGCGAAAGGCCAGCCAGCAGACCTGGACCACGGAGCCATGGAATCCAAAGGCTAGACGGCAAAGCATCAAACTCGCCGGCGCTGCCAAAAAGAAAATGGAGCCGGTGCCGCCCCTGCCAGGTCAAGAGAGCGTGGTGAAGGACAGTTTGGGCGCAGTGGACGAAGTGGATGCCAATGGACAAGTGGATGATTTGGAAGAACGGAAAGGATAGGGGCCGGCTTTTTGTAAAGGTCATTGGAGTTAAAGACCTTTGATCTTCCTCTTCCTAGAGTGAGTTCTCTTCAGACTACTCACAAAGCAAGCAAATTGACTGATTCTCCAGGTGAACGATCTTATTTTTTCGCTGACGCTCGATAATGGACCTGCACTGTGTGACTACATCCTGGCTCGAAACTGGGTAAATCCGCAACCAATTGGACAGGAATTTGAGCTCGTTGTTCTCAACGAACTCGAGTTCCCAGTTGACTCTTCAGATAAAGCCGGACCAGCTCAAGCCAAAACCTCAGGTTGCTCCGCCGTCACCGCCCAAGGTGCCAAAGCCTCAAAAGACCTCGGCGTTCAGTCGGGTCTTTGCCTCCCCCAAGAAGAGACGGGAGATGGAGTTGCGTCAACAGATGGAAGCGCAGCAGCTGAAGCAAAAGACTGAAGAAAAAATCCTGGCTGGACCTGATCCCTGGGCCAAGGTCCGAAATCTAGTCGCCAAGGACGGCAGCTTTGCGCGTGCATACGTGTGTCTGGGAGACTATGAGCAGCATGCATTTGGGCGGCCGCTGACGGTTGACGTTGCATGTTTCAATGAATGGGCAGTTGACGAGATCCCGGCCAGCACCAATAACTCGAAAAACAAACGCAACACAGTAGCGCTAGGGGTCCAACGTCGACCGCCGTATAGAGTCGGAAATCTGGAACTGCAGCTCCTCTATGTCCCAAAACCAAAGGGCGCGACGGATGACGACATGCCCAAGAGCATGAATGCTTGTGTTCGGGAGATGAGAGAAGCGGACAGTAGTGCGATGAGGAGCTGGGAAGGTTTTTTGTCTCAACAAGGAGGAGATTGCCCGGTATGTATCCATCCGGCTTATAGGGGAAGGTTATGTTGCTGATATTGTCATCCCTAGTATTGGCGTCGCCGCTACTTCAAACTCCAAGGGTCCAAGTTGACTGCATACCATGAGACCACGCGACAACCACGAGCAACGATCAATCTTGCCAAAGCATCCAAATTGATTGATGATCGCTCCATCTTGACTCAAAAAGAAACGTCTGCCAAGGGCGGTGGACGACGCAAGTCAGCCTTTGCCGAAGAGGAAGAAGGATACATGTTTGTCGAAGAAGGGTTCCGCATCCGCTTCGGCAACGGCGAGGTCATTGACTTTTACGCCGATAGCCGCGTCGAAAAGGAAGGGTGGATGGGCGTTCTCGCCGAGACAGTCGGCAGAGGATACGCTGCAGGAAACGGCCAGGTCAAGGCGTGGACGGAGCTGGTCCTGAGACGCGAGCGCAGCACCAAGGCAAAGCATCCGCCGCGCGAGACGCCGGTGAGTGAACGGCCGATGAGTGCGAGGAATCCAATGCCGCCTGCGCCGCCGACTCCGGCAAAGGATACAATGCCCATGCACTCGTCGCGGCCACCGATGGCGCCGCCGCCGCGGCCTCGACATAAACATCACCAGTCGCAGCCCACCGTGAGCTGGGACGATGCGAGGAGACAGAAATCGCGGTCGCTGATTTTCTAGAAAATCCGCTCCCATGCCGATCATATGAATTTTCTTGTATCAAAACTTTTTGCCTTTCGTTTTTTAGTTGATTGGTTTTTTCTTCCTGCTTTGCGCTGTGCGCCATGCACTTAATGATCCGACCCTCGATTTGCATGTTTTCTTTTCCCCTTGGTTCGCTTCCATGTTTGCCCGCTTTTTTTGAATTCTCTGCTCAAATTTGTTCGGTTTTCCTTTGTTTCGTGATACGTTGTCTGGCCCCCTTCCCGTCGGCGCTCCCTTCTCGTGGATTGCAAAACAGAACCCCCGGACTATCAAACACGTCGATATGAAAAATTTCGGAACGAGATCAAGAGACGATAACACTGAACTGTCCTTTGAAATTAAGCCGCGTGCCACTTTTCTTTTTTTTATTTTGGTTTCTGACCTAACTAATCGCCCAACCCCTCGTCAATTGCTCCCGGAGCCCGTGTCCCCTTTGTGGAATTTTATGGCCTTTTTTTTTTTATTTTTTTTTCTCCTCGAATTTTTTATGTCGTGTACCTATCAATTCCTTTGTGTTTGCTAGTTTGGTAGTTGTTCTTCCGATCATCTCAATAAAGAAATTGTTTGGAATATTTGAGGTTGTGGGAATGCCGTTGTGTAGTCAATTTGTTAGTGTGAGGCGGCATGCAGCTGCAACCTGACCATCGCCTGTGATGCGGCCCAACTGGCAACTGCCGGTTCGATGCATGGCCGAATATGCAAGAGGACCAGGGGCATAGAAGGCCGGTTGGGTCTAATTAATATGTCCAGGGGAAATTCGATTTTTTGAAGTTGCCTAGCTAATACATATTGATGGATATACGCCGCAAGGAAAATTCTACTTCAAAATAATCATCTGCTTCCCCTGGACTCAACCTCCTTCTTCACCGCCATTTACAACTTCATCTTCAGACTCCGATTCCACCTCCGCCAGGGCATCCTTATTCTTGCCAGCTTCGGCGGTGGAGGGCGCTGCGCCCTCCGGAGCCGCCGGGACTCCCGACGACGTGACGTAGAGGAATGCGTCTTCGCGGAAAGTGTCAATGTGATTGAAGAAATTGCCGAAACTATATGGAAATCCGCGGTTAGCAGTGAAGGGGAAAAAAAAAAAAGGATGGCTGGGGCGGACGTCGTACGCATTCGTCTCCTCTTCCTCGCGGAAAATCCGTTCATATATCTCTCTATTTTTGAACTCGTCTATCTCTTTCTCGTACTTGCTGAAGTCGATTGGGTTCTTGCCCAGATCCTTGGTGGCTTTTTTATTGTATGTGTCGAAGATCGGTCGCTCAAGAAGTAGTCCCAACCCAGGCGCTTTTGGGATCGGTATCTTTGGTGGCCCGTAGCTCTGCGCTATCAATTGGGGATCGCTGCCGCATCGTACAATCAAGGCGGCCATCGCGACCATTTTTCGAATTTGATGCATCATGAAACTTTGGCCGTGGACTTTTAGACTCAACCACTCTGTACCGCCAATGATGATGGGATCCTTTGAGATCTTGAATGATTTGATCACCCGCTTGGCGGAAGGGTCGCGGAATGTTTTCTGGATGGTGTAATTATGGAAATTTCGGGTGCCAACGTATAGATCTAGCACCTCTTGGACACGAGCCAGACGAGCGGGGGGAATCCGATATGCCCTTTTCGCCTTGAAGTAGGCGGCCCGGACAGACTTGATGACTGCGTCAATAGCTCGGTCATCAGAATCGTGTTCAAGCCCTCCTTGATCCTCCTGGGCGGAACCGATTCCGGACGTCTCGCTCTGGTTTCCTGCTTTTTGGTCTTTGATACAGAGAGCCTCTTGCACTTTAATCCTTGTAGCTTCTGGCAAATCGCTGAGGATGGGCTTGATATATTCATTGTCAATGTCCTCCCAGTATGTAAGCACCTCTTCTTGTCTTTTCCGGTGGGCTTCAAGGTCTCCTTCTTTTTCGGCCGCTTCTTGTAACTTTTTAGCCAAGAATGTGCTGGGATGAGGGGGTATAAAGCAATGCGTCGGTATTAGATATTCATAAATCCTCGAGTCGCAAAACTGATAGCAACTAAAGCCCTTGTTTGTCGGTTCAATGCCCCATATTCGAATCTGCGGGCTCAGAATGTCGTTGACTTTCTTTACAAGGTCGGGGTCCTCTATTATCAGTTTCAACGATATGACATTCCCTGCCGCATGTACGCCTTTGTCAGTTCTTGCGCATCGAACGAAGGATGACTTCTTTGGGTCCATCGCGTTAGCCTTGGAAATTGCACCGGCAGCAACCAAAGCTGGGAATATTTCGCCTTCGATGGTCCTCTCTTTTGTGCTCCTGCATAATAAAATTGCTATTAGCGCAAAATGTCAATTCATCCAGCACCGCTCGACCTTACATTTGCATTCCATGATAACCAGTCCCAGAGTATCCAAGCAAAACCGCGACCTTCCTCTTGGGTCGTCGTTGGTCAGCCTCAATGTCTTCTTTGGAAAACTGAGTCGCATATATCGGTATATCTTCCCCATCTTCGGTCTTCCGGCGTTTAGCGGCTTGCCCGGTTTCGTTCCGCTGCCTTTTATCTAGAGGTTGGCGACTGTATTAGTTAGCTGCGGAGACCCCTTAGAACCGTAGCGCAAAACATTCTCACCTCCAAGCTTTCCCTCCCAGATCCTTTCGTTTATTTCTGCGATCTCCTCCCTTCGACCCAGAGTTGGATTGGAACTTAGGCTTGTCTGATGCCGCGGACCCAGGTGGCTCCTGAGGGGTGGTGGGAACGGTGGACGGAGAATCCTGGACGGATTCGTCGTGTGGAGCCGATAGCGAGAGAGCTGAAGGAGGCGCGTCCATGGTGAAACGGGGAGTGCACAGGCGCTCATTCTGCTGCTTCGTGCCTGAGATCTTTCACCAGAACTTCCGATATCGAAGTTTGTACTGACACTGTGCTTAGTCAGCACACAGCGGGATTTCATCCCTGGCGAGTCGATGAAGCAAGCCTCATTTCTTTTCATCAGCGCCAGAGAGGCTGCAACAGGGTGGTGGCAGCTTGAAACATCAACTCGCGGGACTACACACCGGCAGGAAATCGTCGCCAGCCTTCCCTCCCTCTCACTATCAGCTTATTGCTGTAGGAGGGACGAAGCTCGATCCCCGCCATGCGAGCAACTTTTATCAGCGGATAAACGCCCGCCTCGCACCACTCCGCGCCAGCACCTGTCATCAACTCTCTGCAACGATGGATCTCGCAAGAAGCCTCATCCGGATCGTGGCCCGTACATTCTACGAGACCCGCCACATTCTTGTGATTGATGCTCTTTTCATACACTCAGTGTATGGGCTAATGCGTTCTTGCAAGTGACTTCTTACGTTCTGAGCTAACGTGCCTTGCAGCCTCCATGCAGAGGATCTAGCTCTTCTTCTTGGAATGCAGCAGAAAGACCTTCGGAAGCTCTGTGGCCGCTTACGGGAGGACCGCCTTCTCGCAGTGTATGGCCAGTCCGCTTCCATTGGCCGTTTTTGACTAGTGGATACGAAAACTGACACAAAATTCCCTGCTCTGTAGACATTCTCGCCCTGAGCTGCGTGAAGGGCAAACGCGCCCCGTTAACCGCGAATACTACTATATTCCTCTCCATCCTGTGATAGATGCCATCAAATACCGCGTATCTCGCCTGACCTCGGCCATCAAAACCCAGTACACTCCGAGCGCGGAAAGGAAGGAGTACGTATGTCTGCGGTGCAAAGCGGAATGGACCCAGCTTGAGGTCCTGAGCCACGTTGGCCCGGATGGTTTTGAATGTCAGCGGTGTGGAAATTTGCTTTCAAGAACAGACGAGGTAGAAGGTGGCTCGGGCTCTGACCGTACCGGACATGAGAAAAACAGCAAGCTCATGGCTCAGCTGGATCCTATGCTGAAACTTTTAAAACAGATTGACTCTGTGGAGGTGCCGCCTAACGATTTCGAGACCGCCTGGGATCACAAGGTCGACGTCATCCGAAATCAATATATCAACCCATCCAGGCCTGGTATGGTTGTCTCGAAACAAGCGGCCGTTCGAGGAGTTTCCAAGACGGATGCTTCGACTCTTGAGGTTTCGCTTAGCTCTTCCGCCGAGAAAAGTGCAGAGGAGCAAGAGAGGGAGGAAGCAAGGAAGATAGCGCTGGAAAAGCAAAACGCACTTCCGATTTGGCACACCCAGTCCACTGTTACTACGGATATACGGCCTACTCAGATGAAGACGGAGACTAATGGAGTGAATATCAAGCGTGAAGTGGATATCAAACCTGAAATCAAAGAGGAACAGAAACCGGATGTCGAGAGCCTGGACGACAGTGTTGCGGCATATTATGCGGAAATGGCGCGCGAGAAGGAGAGAGAAGCCAAAGAGGACGTGAGCGAGGAGGAATCCGACGAGGAAGAAGACGAGTTTGAAGACGTTGGCGTGACGCCAAGTGTGGTGGGGACGCCTGCAAATCTGGATGCAGTCAAGGCGCCTTCGTTCAATGGCTCGTTGAAGAGAGAGCTCGAATCGGAATCTGGAAGCAGTGCGCCTCAAACCAATGCTCCAACGCCGATCACGCCAGCTGATGACGGGCCGGCAGCTAAGAAAGTGAAGTTGGAGCCAGACGTCAAGAAGGAGGAATCGGACGAGGAAGAGGATGAATTCGAAGACGTTTAACCGGGTCTGCGTGTCGTTCTTTGACGCCATGAGGCGAATGGCTCTATTCATGACGATGGCGCCGGAGCGGTTCCATCTATCCCGCCCAAAACGCTGATCAGAAGGCTGGGTTGGGCGTCAGTTACTAGGTTCTGTGCGATAAAAAGATTGGGGAAAAGTCGTTTTGTTTTTTTTTTCTTACGGAGTTGTTGCATTGCCCACGAGCGGAAACAGGTTTTCGATGGGCTTTTTCCGGTACGTGGATTGATTCCGGCACTTTCCTTTGCTTTCAAAAACATGCTCGCGGGATTCCTCTTATTCCCCCGTCGTCTATTTTGGGTTCCTTGTGTCATTTTGTGCGGGTTTTTGGGAGGGAGTTTTTGATGTTACAGGTGCATAAGATCCCTATTGCAGGGTAATTGTAAACTAGCCGAACCATTTAGACTATTGTGATCAATTCATATCCTTTGAATCATTGGTTTTAGAGCTGGACATTGTCCGTTTAATCATTTTTCTGTGTGTAGTCATTACTCTGTAGTTCTGATCTCATGTTGCTACCCGTTGAGATGATATCATCGCCTCGATATTAATCAGATGACAACCAAAAGCAAAACCCCCCAAACTCCATTCCACTTTGATACGGGGAAACGAAGAAACACACCGCTCGAGATGTCATCTGCCACGGTGAGGGGAGAGAGAGAGGGAAAAAAGAAAATGGGAAAAAAGAAGCGTTGGAACCCCATGTTGAGGAGGGAGGCTGTGCAAATCTCCACTCATTTTCGTTAGGTAGCCTGAACCCTCCTTTGAAGCTAAGATATCAATTTCCCGACAGTTGATTGATTGTTGGGGGAGAGCGCACGAGATGGGCTGCTGGCATTGCTATCTGTTTGATAAGTGGTGGTGTCTGTACTTAGTTGCATGTGCGGGTTTGGGCATGGCGATTTTGTCTGCACATGATATTGCGGGGTGAGCTCAAGGAATCGACTGTGGAATCCCATGCCTCTGGTTCGAATAAGAGTTTAGAAGCATTGGTACTCGTGTGCTAGGGCGTTTTAAGTGTGCACGGGGCAACGGGATTGTTGGCTAAATTTCACATGGATGGAAGCTTGATATGTAACTATACTTTGGCGAACGGCTCAAGGAATGGGGCCAACCATACAATGCAGCTGCTCAGCTGTTGCTTTTTCCCATTGGCATGGTTTGCCAACACTACTGGAGAGGCACCAATGGGCGATTTCGAAGAGAGAGAGAGAGAGCTGTTGCGACCTCGGATATCCCTGCCTATTGCATCAAAAATAGGAAAACCGGGCTTGCGTCGTCCTCGCCGTGCCAAGTATCTTGGAAGCGCTGGTTTGAATGGAATTTCGGGATCTGGTGGCTGAACAGGCTCAAGCAATTCGGCCCTGCCATCCCACTGCGTGAGACAGGGTCGCTGTGAAGCATACCTCTTTAGCAATCAGTCCTACATGGAAATGGGTTACTTGGGGGAAAAGGGTGACTTGATGTGCGTCCCATGCGCGAACTCGCTGTTTATGTCGTGTGCATCAACTGATGGATGAGAGGATTAGTCGCCTGGCCCGAAGAGAGGGCCAGTTAAGATTCCAGGGACCGATGCTTCCCGATGATTCACCATCGGTCAAGATGCCCAAGGGAAAGAAGGTTAAATTTGGCTTGATGCAACGACCTCGTGTCAGGCAGGGATGCGACAGAATCTCCCTTTTTGAGCCCACAGGGAACTTTCTGAAGGGTTTCTTGGTTGTGGACACACTGGCTGGTTTCGACTCAACGGAGTTTACCCGGGAGGGAAACGTTCAGCGGGCGAGATGGAAAGCCTCCAATCAGAGTGGTTGAGTGAGAGCAATGCTCGCGTTCGATTGACCAGCCTTGCAGCCGTTCGAGTGGCATGCCGCGTGCTGACTGGAGATCTGCAAGCTGCGAGTATATGAACCTGTTTCTGTTTTCGCGCAGGCAGTTGTCCCATTATTGGGAGAAAGCTGAGTAAGACGGAGTATGGAAAGGAGCTGATAGACATGGCAATTGCCAATACGCCACTAACTAGGCCGGGCCAGGATGAAAGCCCGCGTCTGGAAAGAAAAAAGAAGCAAAAAAGAAAAAAAAAAAAAATCACAATCACGACGAGAGCCGAGATCTAGAATGTGGACAGCCACAGGTGCCTGTTACCCAGGGGGCTGCTTGTGGAACCAAGGAGTGCGTCAACAATGAGCGGCATAGCTAACCCGTCAACTAGCACAGAGCATCGCATCAACAAATCCAGCAGTCTTTTGGTGTGAGGGATTTTGTTGATTGCAGTCGCTTCTTCACGAGGCCCACCAGCACGCTAACGAGATGAGGCTAATGAATGCACGGTCTGTGGAGGACATAGTTACAGTCAAGCTTTTCACTGGATGTACATACAGAGTACTCTGTAGACGCTGTTCCTGTTGTCTATCTTCTTCTTCCTCTTCTTCCTCTTCTTCCCCTTTCAATCCCGGCGGCTCTCTGCCCTGCTCTTTGTCCGCGTTCCCGCCATGTGGTCCGCCCAGGTGCTTTCATTGGGCCGGCAGTGCGAATCCTGCCCGCCGGATCTCCAGGTACCTGTGCTGCGGCTGCTGTGGCGCCGGGCCTCAAGGTACCAGCCGATTAGTGCGCTTTACCAGCAGAAACGCGGTTTCGCCGGGTCTTGGCGGGCCTCTCGCGGCGAAAAGCGGTAATTTAAGCAGTGTTTTGTGTTTTGGTAACTCGGGGGCAAAACCGTGGAAAAGCTGACATTCAATTAAGCTGCGTATTATTTAGCACTCGCAGCTCCCGCCGAACCTCCCCTCTCTCTCTCTCTCTCTCTCTCTCTCTCTCTCTCTCTCTCTCTCTCTCTCTCTCTTCTTCACTCTCATATCCTCTCTTCCTCTCTTCCTGCTCTACTCTTCTCTTTCGTCTCATCCCTGATCCCATCTCATCCCCTAACCATGTCCGGCCTGGTTTTCTGACACTTGCTTGTCCTCGACATCTGATCGTTGAGGTTCTATCATCCTTTCGCCGCCCATCCCACTGAACACTTCTCTTCCACACTCCGTGCTCACGCCAGCCGCCTCTCCGGCGAGGCTGCTCCGTCAAGATGTGGCGCCCCTCGTTCCATAGGCCACATATCAACTTCATCCGGATTCATTGTGGGTTCTTCCATCTCCCTGCCGTCTCCCCAAGTCACCGCAACACGTCCTGACTGATATGGCAAAAGCCAGATGCCTACATTCTCATGCTCAGCATTGTGGGCACCATCATCTTGTATCCGATCAAGTCCATGAGCGGAATTGATGCCTTCTTCCAGGCCGTCAGCGGCTCGACCGTCACGGGCCTCAATACGTAGGGCGTCCTGCCTGTGGCTGGTGTGGCTTGTGGTCTGACATCACCGGCTTGTTCTAGCGTTGACCTCAAGGAAATGAGCCTCTACCAGCAGATCACCGTCTGGTTCCTCCCCATGCTGGGGAATATGTGCTTTGTCAACCTCGTCGTCGTCTACGTGCGCCTCCGCTGGTTCGAGAAGAAATTCAACGACATTGGTAGCCCTTCTCTGCCAATCCCGGTTCTACGACTAGCAAGCTGACGCGCTCTCTAGTACAACTCTCGCGGCTGCCGTCTTCTGAGCGCTCACGCGCTCACTTGCTTTCTGTCAGCTCAAAAGCGGATCGGACTGATGGAACGACCAATACGCACAACATCAGGGTCTTGCATCCTGATCCAGCGGACGAGGAGGCCAATTGGGCAACCCTGCGACACAGACCTCAGGCCAGTGCGAACGGCGAGTCCGACTCGTCGACCGCAAAGGCGCCATCCCCTGAAAACGTGGAGAGGAGCGCTCAACCCGGCCACATCACCTTCTCGGAGGACACGTTCGACAAACCTCGTGGAAGAGCACTTCGAATTCCCGGCCCAAGAGAATTCGAAAAAGGTAATTCTATATTCCAAGTAACCACCCAAACAAACGCAAGGCTTGCTAAACCTTATTCCCAGGCCACGGGGTGCAAGAGGTTGATGACGAAGATGACGGTAAGACCTTCGCTTCCGTATCTACGAGAATATCAACACTAACGCCGCCCAATAGCTGATATGACAAAGAGTATCAACGATGCGTCTGGTGCCGGGCCATCCGATGCCACCCGCAAACTTCCTACCATGGAAAGGCTTCTGTCCCGTGCCGCGTCTGTCGAACATGCGGCTTCATCCGCTTTCATCATCGGAGGCTCCTCGAAAGCGAGATCTCGTTCGAGATCTAGAGCACTCAGCAGGACATCGTCGCGGACGACCATTCAAGCATTGCCTTATCTTTCTTACAATCCTACTGTTGGGAGGAATTCCAAGTTTTTAGGACTGACTGACGAGCAAAAGGAGGAGCTTGGTGGTATTGAATACCGTAGCTTGAGGCTACTTCTCAAAATTGCTGCTGGTGAGTGCCGCGGTCCTTCCCTCATTACGCACCCCTTATTTGTGTAGCGCCATCTAACGATTGACCCAGGCTACTACTTTTTCTTCCACGTTCTTGGAGCCGTTTGCTTGGTGGCCTGGATCTGGAACTCCGAGCGAAAGTATCGAGATTATGTCCGTAATGATTGCGCCATCAACCCCACCTGGTGGTGAGTTGTTTCATTCTCTCCATCTCGGTGCGATGATCTCTGACCAACATTTAAAGGGCGTTTTATTCTTCCATGACAACATTTAACAACCTTGGTTATACACTCACCCCCGATTCCATGATTAGCTTTCGAGAATCCACATTTCCCATGCTGTGGATGACGTTCTTAATCTATATTGGGAATACGGCGTATCCTTGCATGCTAAGATTGATCATCTGGATAGCTTTCAAACTTACACCTGAAGGCGCTGCGATCAAGGAGCCGCTCAACTTCCTGTTGGACCACCCTAGACGCTGTTATACCGTTCTTTTCCCGAGCAAGGTGACCTGGGTGCTCTTTGGCAGTTTGGTGGTAATCAATGGTTTCGATGTGATTCTGTTCTTGATTCTCGATCTCCACTACCCAGAAGTCACAGTGATCAAATCCGGATGGCATCGATTCTGCGCTGCACTCTTTCAGACAGCGTCTGCTCGTACTACGGGAACCTCATCTTTTGCCGTTGCAAAAGTTCATCCTGCTGCTCAGTTCAGTTTAATGGGTAAGGTGCATCTGTCTCCCACAACTTGCTCGCTATTAACAAAATTTCTTCAGTGATGATGTACATTTCGGTTTTCCCCATCGCTCTCAGTGTAAGAGGGTAAGGCTGGCCATTGCCTACTGTCTGGACCTTGCTGACAACTCACCCTTAAGAACCAATACCTACGAAGAATCGTCTCTCGGAATTTTCGACGATTCAGAGGAACTAGTCGAGATGAAACGGACGTCGTATCTTGGCGTACATATCAAAATGCAGCTTGCCTTCGATTTGTGGTATGTCTTTTTAGGGGTATTCGTGCTTGCCATCGCAGAAGGAAGCAAAATAGCAGATGGAACCGATCCCGTAAGTCGAACCTCAGCTTTTATTCTCGGAAGCAGAACCGGTGAGAATAACTGACTTGTTTTCGTAGGGATTTAATATGTTTTCCATTCTCTTCGAAGTGGTTTCCGCATAGTAAGCGCTTGTTATAAGTTTTGTCATCTAAAACATTACTGACAGGTTTTGTTTAGTGGAAATGTCGGACTCAGCCTTGGTCATCCGTCAATTAATACTGCCTTAACGGGCAAATTTAGTACCGTTGGAAAACTAGTAATTTGCGCCATGATGATACGTGGCAAGCATCGTGGCCTACCATATGAAGTGGATCGCGCTGTATGTTTATTTCACTTTTCCGTACGCCAAAACTCGTTCTAATCAGGTCTACAGATTATCCTACCTGGCGAGAAGCGCCTCGCCGAAGAAGATGCTAGACTTGAGGCAATGAGTCACGGTTTAAGCCGCCGACATACCAATTAACTTGGCCTCGATAATATCTAATGACTGATATTCAACTACTATATACATAGGTGGTTTGTGTGTTTTTGGGTAAAGAAGCAAAAATAAGTTCAAAGAGGATATATGGAGGCTGTTCTTGAGAAGTCCCGGAATCGCGATTCTTCCAATATATATATCGCCATTTACCAGGCGTTTTGAGTAGAAAGAAGGGGCACATCGTGTTTCTGAGCAGTTTTGGGTAGAGTTGGACTAAGTAGACCAGGCTTTGTTTGGGAGGCAGCACATATAGTGACAGATATAAAATAGAAAAAGTTCCTTCATGCAAAATATAGTCAAATAAATCCCCCCCAATATCTGCTATCTAATATCAGAGTTAACAGGCAAACACAAGACAGCCCACCAAGATCCTCGTAGCCAAGTGTGTTTATAGCCACCACACACAAAGTGACAAAAATGGCAAACCAACAATCGAATGTAGGATAAACTAGAACTGATGTCAAAATAGTAGAACCAGTGGAGTTTAACAGCCGTTTTCAATAGCATTTCCCCAAACCATAAACCCATACTTAATGCAAATCACTAGTTGATTTCTGACAACAAAGAACAAAAATTGGCATGAACAAAAGTAGTTACTCCCTCAAGGAAAGAGATGGAAAAAAAAAAAAAAACTTGGGCTGCTACCGTACGGCGTCGTATTCGAAAAGCTGAACCGGAGGCAAAAAGCAACAAAACAAAAAGAAATGAAAAGAAAAAAAACGCCGTGCAAATGCCTTCCATTGCGTACTCCCTTCCCGTATCATCATTACTCGACGGGTCAAAGAGAACTCCGGACTCTTGACGAGATATTTTCCTTCTTTCAAACAGACTCACCATAATTCATTGCGAAGAGGGGGCTTTTTTTTTTTCCTTCCGTTTAAAACCTGGTTTTCCCATGAGCTTCTATTTCCCGTGAAGAGGTCTATGAGTTAAATCGTCCAATAAAACGCCAGTGTCCGTTTCAGTCAGGGAAATCCCAGGCTCCTTGCGCTGCAATCGGAAGAGAGAAAAATTGGGAATTGCAATAGAGTTTCACGGTGATCCGGTGAACCCAATGTCGGAGTCGCTTCCCATCATCGAATTATCCTCCCACGTATCTGAAGGGAAGTCAGAGCCTGATAGAAGAAGCAAAAACGCACGTTAACCACGAAGCAGTACAAAGTTCAAAAGAAACTCTCAATCCATACCAGATATAAATTCTTCCGGCATTTCCACTGTCACCTGTTCAATCGCAGTGAGGGCATCTAGAGCAATATTTATTAGTCAATGCGCTCGCCATCGTATCGATGCTTCGGGTTTCATAGCTTACCTGCAGCCTGCTGAAGAAACTCCGAATCCTCATCGCCTTCATTTTCATCATAGTAAACATCCGTGCAATGATTGACCACATGAGTGATGGCTTCGAACATTCGAGCATCGAGATTCACTTGAGACGTTACTCTTCCAGCATACACGCTTTGTAGCCTCTCAACGCAAGCCTGTCCAAGCCCTCTTCCGATTTTACGGTAATATTGACGGTGAACGTCAGGCAACTCTTCATCTTCCTTTGAGAATACCAGCTGTTGCAAAAGCTCAAAGGTGGCATTGCGGATCACTCGATCGTAGAACATAAGAAGCGGAGGCGCCCAGTCTGGAATCCTCTCAAGCACAAGACACCAGAACCAGCCATCGTCATGACCAATTTTCAGATTTTGTAATTCCAAGAGGCCTCGCAAAAAAGCGATGTACTCCCGGGCAGCCTCATCAAGGGTTTCTGCACACTTGAGAGAAAAGTCCACGAGTTCTAGGATCTTATTTGCATCAGGTGCAAACTCGCAGAACACCATAGTTGCCTCAAGGAAAGGTACAGTGAGTCCGGAAGGCTCAATAGTTAACCCCTCCTCTATAGCTTTGCATACACCATCCAATAACTTGTTAGGCGATGGCAATTCCACAAGGAACTTAACGAGCTCCCTGCTTACGGTCGGATTGGCCTGCTGTTCAATAATTTTCTTTAAGACGACTAGCTCTTTATGTCTCCCGACGGGACAGATCAAGTCGGCTTCGTCCATCGACATTGCGAATTTTCCGTTCTGGCCTACCCGTGGCTGCGATTCCGATAACGGGGGAAGGTTCCAATCAAGACAAGTGAAAAGGTGGTAAAGCAACTCCATGAGTTTAACCTGCGAGAATTTTCGTCCTTTCTCCATCAGCCGAAAATAATTTGTATAGTGGCATTTTAGTTTCTTACTATCCTCTTTATCCAGCCAGATTACCTCCAGGCACCTCACCATGAACCCATGGTCCAGGATCATTTCAACTTCGAATTCGCCGAATCTAGCAATGGCCAGGATAAATTCGAAGTAGTCATCCCAGGCTCGAGAATAGAGATGGATCCCGCTCCATAGATGATGAAGATTAACCAAGATACCTTCAAGTAGAATAGTATAGTCATGTGTGTAACGTGTCACATTAATGGGTTCCAATGTCGGGCTGGTTAACCGATTCTTCAAATGTGCCAGGGAGGATACGAGTAGCGCAGAAAACCCAGCACGAACAATGGCGTTAGGGCATCTCAGAAGCAGATTTCGGAGTCCCAAGCGTCGGTTCGTCGCCCATTCAAGAACCCAGAAAGCAGCGTAAGAGTTTTCTTCTATTGCAAGATCCAATTCTGCGAACAAGGGTTCCAAAGCTGGCGTTTCTTTTGTCCGCGATACAAGTTGTTCCAAAGTATCCAAAGTAACGTATATTGCACCCTTTTGGAGATTTGAGTTCTTCGCATCCCCGGACAGGAGGGCTTTCCTACATTGCTGGAGAAGCCCAAGGACAAAGCGAGCATAATACGGATCCAGAAGGCAATAGGTTCGAAGGAATAGTTCATTTTCCATGGCGATATGGTTCCCAAGCTCCAGAGTCAGGGGAATGGTGACCGGGGCATCAGTCAAACATGATTGATATTCCCTCTGTGCTGCCTCCATGCTAGAGACCCGTTGGTAGAAGAGCATATACGCATTCCACACTTTATTAAAACGAACTTGACCCAAACCCGGTCCGTGAAATGTATCGTGCATTCCCCCAAAGCACTGATCCGGGATTTTAGAAGGATCAAATCGGCTGACGTCGGCGTCGTTAAACTCCACCCAAGTGCCAAAATTGCGGCTGGGACGTTCTTTGATGTATGAATAATAGTGTCCGGACTCCGCTGTGCCGCTGTGCACTAAAACGCCAACCAGTTCGAAAATATCGGGCTCCACAGGTGCATTTGGGTTATTTAGGTGTTCAACTTTGAATGGAGTCATATCGATACGCTCAGGAAAGTGAAATTCGTCGTTGATTTTGCTTCTCATCATGGTGATGACATCAAAATCAAATCGTTTCAAGTGGAAGATTAGATTGTCGGGAATATCTTTCAAGCATGCTCTGTTTACGATTAGTTGCATTCGATATTTCTAGGGAAAGGTGAAGTATACCTTTTCACGGCGTCAACATGCCGATTGCACGATGTGCACGAGTATTTGTTATCTGGTTATAGTAAATCAGCAACTATGTGCTGGATGGAATGAGCATAAAACTTTACCTCCTTGCATCATCTCTCCTTCCACATAAGCCCTCAGACTATCTTCGAGTCCACTTTTGCCCTTGATTTCGCATTGAATCGCAGAAAACGGCTCCAGTCTTTCCGAGATATGTTCGCACTCTTTAGATTTTATCTGCTGGACAAGTTGGCCGCTATAAAATGAGTGAAATTCCTTTTTCTGTTCTGCTGACTGGATTTGGCCTTCCCATCTATGAAACAAAAGGTTATAAAACTCATCGACATCCATCTGATTATTGATATCAATGAGTTCATTTTCAAAGGTCCGGATAGCTTCTACCGTTGGGAATGTGTCCACGCTTTTTTGCCACGTATTTTGCATATAAGCAAAGAGCTTTTTCGTTTCAGCCAGAAGGGCCTGATTCGGGTCCGTTTCTTCCACGGGAACTTGCAACATGAATTTGCGGAAGTTAATATTCATGAAGAGCTGCGTAAATAGAGAGTTAAGGTAACAAGTGTTAGACAAGTTCCTAAGCCCGGCATATCCTTCCGGTGAGCGAATGGTTTTCTGTCGGTCAAAGATCCAACTTGATTCGTAAGTATAGTCTATTGAAATAGTAAGTAAGGAGACGATAATAACGGAACTTGATGGCTAGACAAAACCAACTTTTTGGAATCACATCTTCTAGAATCTCGAGCATATGCCCACAGTTAACTTCGTCTTCGCAAAGTAGAAGAAGCACATTGTAGATTTCCTGTCGAGTTCCGCCGTGCATCACGGGTATTGCTGGCACGATTGCTGTTTTATCATTTTGCTCCGACAGGTTTGGAAACAAATAGGCGGTGAAAACCTGCTCCATGAGATCTCTAATATAAAGTTAAACTTATACCGCAGAGACTAGCTTGGGCACGGTACTACCTGGTATTGCCTGTGATCCTCTTCGGTTGTGAAAGCTCCATGCATTTCTTCAATAAATGGGCAAATCCCAATACAATGTAATCAATAGGCTCACGCCCAACGAACTATAAGCCGTTACTAATGGGTTAAAAAGGGCCCGTCGTGTATTAACTCACCTCATGAGTCCGATGATTCAAAAGTACGGCGCCCCATTTTTTCAAGTAATCACCAAAAATTAGATCTTCAGGGGATAAGTTTCCGACTGTCTGGAAAACAACCAGAGCCACCTCAAAGAATTGCTGAGAAGTCTGGGGAAATTCAATGCTGCGGGGGATTAATGAAGTAAGAGAATTCCACAGAGTACCGATGATATCAATACCAGTAGGAGTCTCGAGTCTTGTTGAAACCTTTGACTCCTTGGGATAAGCCTTGGACGATTGGTTTTGCGACGGTAACATTCCACAAAGAGCGAAAAATATCCCCGCAGCGTCTTGCCGAAGATTGGGTCGAGGGTCACGCAACAAAAGCATTAGGATAATATTGTCCATATCGGCATTCTGTTTAAATGCATCCCAGATTTTCCCGTCGTGCATGGACGCTTCAAAAAGAGTTGCAAACGAGTTTGATATCAACTTCTGAAGAGGAAGTTCCGCGAGCGGTAGTTGATGAGGGGTGTTTGCGAGTAAGACAAACTTCAGGAGGCAAGAGACTAATCCGGCTGGGTCTGTGAAGAGGGTTTCGGAGGTATCTGTAGGCGATTTGGCTGAAAGAGACGGCATTATTAGTAGTGAAAGACTACCTTGAAGGAAGCAGTTGTAAGGCAACTATACCGGTCAATGCGGCTAGTAAGCACTCAACGAAATTCGAAGCGAAGGTTAGTTTCAAATGGCTGATATCTAACGATTCGGACATTTCAGGCCGAAGTAAGAACGCAACCAAGTTCTTGATACTGCGGGTGATGAATTCCTGGTCGGGATTGGCCTGGAATATACGTTATTTGTTTGCGTGTACGAAAAAAATGGAAACATACCTACCTCCAGTGATTCTTCTCTAATGCATACTATAAGGGAACTTATAGAGTATAGAAGTTTGTACGGTTTGTTGAAAGGAAACATTTCGGGCCCGGAAGTCGTCGCTGAACGAACGCATTCTCGGATACGTTGTTGTGGTGGAAAGAGAACGAGAAAATCGAAGATCTAGCATCTTCCTTAGTCGCGTATTCACCGAGGTTCCCAGGACATCTGAACTTACCTCTTTCGATAACCTTTCGTCTAGGTTCAAGAATTCATGGAGGTCATCGAAATGTTTTAGTACTTCTGAATCGACCAAAGTCAAGGATTGCCTTCTGGCCCCAAAAGACCCCTCTAACGGATCAACCGCTTTTCGAACAATCAAAAGTCCTGTCGACGACAGTTTCAAGTCACGTAAAGTGCGATTACCGTTCATGACCTGGTCCAAAAAACGGCCCCCGGTAATCAAGGTAAATTTGGAGAAACCTGTTAAACGAGCAAGCCTTTGCGATAGCTCAGACAGGGTCGTAAGATCCCCGGTTCGCAGGGTGCGAATTTGAGTTTGAGAAGTCCCATTAAAGGCTTGATAAGAGACTTGAATCATAGTGCCTTTCATTTCTTCGTTCCTTAGTGGTAATACCGGTGGGCTGCCTTGTGGAGGAGTATATTGCGGTCGGGTCCGTAAGCCGTGAAGCAGATGCTTCAGGAATAGCAAAGAGCGGCCGAATTTCAGCTCTTCAGCCTGCGTCTCCTTCACGGCTGGAACGATCACCATAGCGTTATCTCCCTCGCTTGTGATTCCATCAGTGAGAGCTTTGAGTTTGTTGGCTGACTCTCTAAGTTGATCAACACAACGGTCAACCAGAGATACATGAGTAGCTTCTGCTGCTGACCTCGGAGCTTTTCGTATTAGCGGATGATCAAGATAGATTTCAATGGCAAAATTGATCGCCTTTACTCCAATATCAGTGGACGGTACAGTGAGGATGATATGCCATATCCGATCCATTCCAGGGACGGATATGATTTCGTGCTCCGCAATGGGTGGTCCTTCGTGGAACCGTAGGTCGTAGCTGACAGCTTGCTCAGCAAACGAGAGAATATCTCCGCTGAAATCATCGGGCAAGACGCGCGGAAGATATTCATTCATGCACCGTTCAAGGAATGGGTTCTGTTTGCCACATCTGGAAACACACCTGGACAATACATCCCAAGCGTAACTTCGATTCCGATCACCCATTGTCTTCGAAGCAAAAAGACTATCCCACAACTTATCAGCTAAACCTAGGGAAATGGTCTCCGGGACCTTGTCAATAATTCGTTGAAGAAGTTGAATCCGTGGCGTCAACTCATGGCTTAAATCTGGGCCACTGAAATTCGAGGAATCTGAGTTCAGGGCATGTGCCAGTTCTTCAACAATCAAGGTGGTGAAATCAAACTCTAAGGCCAGTCGGCGAATGTCTTGGGTATCAGTTGGTGTAACTAAAGCGCCTAGCGCATTTATACTTCCGACGGTAAACTCGTTCATCTCAGATATATCCTGAATGCATTGCCCAAATAGTTCCATCCTGTCGTGGTCGTTGATCCCAAGTTCGATCAGGAGGAAAAGATGCCGGCTGGCGAATCTTTGGAGTTGGGCCTTTTGTTCCGGCGGCATTTCCTTCACAGAAGTGATCTCTCGGATCAAACGGACACATAATTTGAGGGGCATTACATCTACAGGAGTGTAATCCAAAGTGCCGTTTCTCCCTCTTTCTGCATATCTTACTCTGAAAGAAGTCAAGAGTTGTTCGCAATAGTCTATCATCCGCGCGTCGAACCGATTCAAAGGCAATTCAATTAACTTTGCGCATAGGTAAAGGAGGGAAGGAGATCCCTGGGAATGCATGTTGAATGTGCGAGTCAACATCGACAAAACCTCTGAAACAGTACGCGGATCATGGCTTTCAGTCACCGTATTCCAGATAATGTCAGTATCTTGGTCGGTGTATGTGCCAGTGATCACAAGAAATCCAACAATATTCCCGCTTCGAGAAATTAGCTGAGGGTGTGAATCAATTCCGACAATGTAATCGACCACTTTGTTGTCCCTAAGGAACTTCACCAGAAACCTTGTAATTGGGTAATCCACTCCGGCTGGGTTGCCATTGATGTTGGTCTTCCAGACATTGACAAGGTCTTGTTGCATGGTATCCACTCCAAGAACACGTAACTCCATCCGGCCATCAGTGATATATTTCTTCAAGATTGTGAACTTCCAGCCATAGTTGATAATATTTGCATAATCACTGGGGCTGGTGCCTTCGGGGTACATAATTCCAAGGTCCTGCGCAATTTTGACTCCTAATTGTTGGTCAAATGCACAGATGCTGGAGTAAGTGGAACAAATTGAACGGAGGATCATGTCGCTCACATCGCCCGCAATCCAGGCTGCCTTTTTGGCTATTAGAGCCTGATAAGTGGAATCGATAACACGAAAGAACTCGTAAGCCTGGCTAATGGTATCGTTAAAATTCAACGAGGCAACTAGTGTTCCGTCGGTTCCGTACTTCCTTGATTCACATCCACATTCGACAATGTTTTGAGCTAGAGATAGAGAATTGGCGAAATGGGGTGCTAACGCCGGACACTGAGGAAGTGCTTCTAGTACCAAGTTTGCAAAGTCTGAGATGACCTGAAATGCGTTTAACTCTGGCTGGCAAATGGAGTTATTGATGTGAGCGACAAGGTTTACAACCTCTTGGCCATAATCATTCTCCATTGCCTTGTAAAAAGGAATGTTTTTAATTTGAATAATCCAGCCGAGGGGGCTCCAATATGCCTTCGATAGCAGCTCCGAAGAGCGTGTAGGATTTTGTAAATAGTCTCGCAACATTGTCGTATCTAGGCGTACTAAATGAAGTCCGATCGCTGCGTATGCGACGCAAAAACCTTGTAGACATTGCCAGGGACCGTCTCCTTCATCCGGAAGGAGTTCCGATCTATCACAGCGTTAGTCAAAATGAGGTTTGGCACCAAAACAGAAACTTACTCGCGTCGTAGCAGGGATTCGACTAGGGATGGAATTTCGTCCCAGAAATCACGATCTTCCACAAACATTTCGTAAGTGATCTGATCTAGATGGGTGACGCACTGATCGAGCCATCGCTTGAGGGAGATGAAAACAGGGGCAGCGCGCATTTGGCCTATACATAGTAGGCGTTCGGTTACTATGTAATTACAACCCAGACATTAGGTGGAAGCTACTTGCCTTTCTCCAAGGTGCCACGACTGTCCTCTAGAGCATCCCGAAGCTCAAAATCGCCGCGGACCCGTGGAAACATCTCAAGGGGGGAGAATTGTTCTTGAATCTGCACCACCTCTTCAACCATCGAAGGAGCTTGCAGGATCTCCCCTAGAGGTCTCCAATTTGATGAACTTGGAGCTTGATCCATATCTTCTAGTTCTGCAACTTCGATTTTAACACTCTGTGTGGGTGAGGGGGACGAAGCTATTGATATCGCAGTGTTGTTGTGGGTCGAAACTTGGGAAGATATATGGGGGTGTTGAGGTGGGTAGTCTGCCTCGATATTGGGAGTGACAGGAAGTTCCTCGGATTGTGCAGCCTCCGCGTCGGAATTAACAGGAGACTTCATGTTGATGGTCACCCTACTCGACGGACGCTGTGGGGTGGGCAATTCGGAGGTGGAAGGACGTAAAGGAGGAGTGGAAGGAGTCGAATTGGCGGGGTTGGTTCGATCGCCATCACCGCCAGCGGTACTGTGGGCGGACATGGTCATGGATTCAAGCGACTCGCTTCCACTATCAAGACGAGGTCGTTTCCGCGTAGAGCGTGGATCTGTATCTTCCATGAGTTCGCTTGGTGAGAGCAAGGGGTCCTCAGGTTCTGTGGAGGTAGCAAGCTGTGGGCAGCTAGATGCATCTAGCGGGCAAGCTGCCATGGCATCTTCCACCCAAAGTGGTTCCCCAGCGTGCGGAGTATCCGGAAAACGAGCGATTTTGGGAGGGCTCAGAGGGTAACGTGGAGAGGAGCGGAAACGGTGGCTGCGAGTATCCGTAGCCGACAATTGCTAGATAGGAAAACTAATGCAGCATCTGGTCATTTGGAGGAGCTGGAAAGTAGAAGGGAGGAATTGAGGGGTAGGGGTGGAAGAAGTGAGTTGGGATGGCAGGCAGACAAGAGCGTAGAGTTTCCAGGCAACCCAGGTGCCAGGCAAGGACGTATTACACAGAAGCGGCCAGATCTAAAGGACAAACCCTTGCAGCTCCGATGGACATGAAAGAAAGGTGAAGATGTTTCGGGCGGACATGTCCTAACGCGGTGTCGAGCCTTGTCACTGTGACTATGGGCGGTTGAGGTGATGGTTGTGGAGGTTGCTCGATGATGAACAGGCTGCTATCGATTTTATCGGGGAAGCCGCTCTGATTGGCGGAACCTTACTGGAGCTATCTGGCGCGGTGTATTTTGATTGGCCAGAAGCGGCCCACTTGTGTATTATATACGACGCCATACTGTCAGTACCGCTTAGTCATATGCTATGCTGACGTATATCAGAAACGCCGATTTTATATTGAGCGCATGAGGGCGACGGCAAGGTTGGCCGTTTGATCCCTATTACTTTTGATGGCTGGACTGCCAATGTGCTAGATTAACCCAGCTTTGTAACTTCCTGCCTGCTGAGCTATGACCCATGAGCTAAGACAGACCGGAGCTGGCGTCATCCACACAGCCAGACCGGCAAGCACCGATGTCTTGCTTGAGCTCTTTGAACACAATGATTGAACGCGGTTTCGGAAACTTGCCTCGTCACTGTGCTGTGGTTCCTCCGCGGGAAGCTCCTGTAGATGTGACTTGAAGCGAATGTTTGCTCAATGGCTTCCTCCCTTTTTCTCCGCACAAGTTGACAAGAACAGGGAAACCTAGCACGGGCGGAGATAACTAATTGGTTCAACCATTTCAACTCCCTGGTCGAATGCAACTACCCTGTCACTGTCTGGGCTGTCATCGTCAGGCGTCGTAGCAAATCGAATTCGCATGTCCCCAACACCGGAACTTGACTGTTTGCTGGTTGAGCCGTTTGTCTCCCCAAGGCATGGGAAAATGCACAGGTAGTTAATCAAGCCAGTTAGAAATCATCGATTTATCCTTCTAAACGACTCGAAGAGTGACTCCAAATAATATCCAGACGGCATCCTGAGCAGCCCAAGTCCAATTGTCCTGTCGACAAGGTTCCGCCAATGATCAAAAGCTTAGCTAAAATGAAGTTTGAGCCTCACCACAAGTCCGCAGCAAACAGTTGCGATTGACTCCATATTCACCCCTCAGACATACTAGTAGATAGCAGCTATGTCTCTGAGCTCGACGTAAATGTTCCCTTCTATAAAATCCCTTGTTTGCTCGTTTTGACTAATTTTTGCAGACCGGAGACCCCGCAGGCGCAGCAGACGGTCATCCTGGACCTGCTGTGTAGGTATGAAACTTAATGTGAATGTGGGAATGTCCAAGGCTGATCCCAGAGCATCTCAGACTGGTTGCGCCTATAGGGACTTACCGAGACGAGCGGATCCCGTCAAAAGGTCGACGCCGTAACCAGCGCAGGCGCAAGAGCACCGTCCGGAGTGGCCAGGTCGGGGTCCCTGCGACCCCCAGTCCACCAGACGTCTCACGGTATATTACAACGGGTTTCAATGATACGGCACGAGTCCTGGAAGTAATGTGCAAGACCCCGTCTGCTGCCAGGTCTGACTCTTTATCTGGCCATGGAGATGAATCCGCGGTTCAGCAGAGAGTGAAAAACCAAGCAACAAGGCCGCAGAAGCTGGCCGCCGTGTTTTTCTGCCGATCAAGTTTACCTGTCACGCTCTATGCACCTTTACCCCTTCTTGTTACAGCAGCTTCCCGGAATCTAGCAGCTGGGGAGAAGATTCAGCTAGTGTGTCTACCGAAGGATTCCGCACTGCGATTATCACGGGCACTAGGAGTACCTAGGGTAGGTGTTGTTGGCGTCGCTGATTGCACTTCAGCCTCGATTCTTATAGAATACGTTCGGCAAAACCTGACATTGCTGGATACATCAAGAAAGGTACGTGGATTGCACCCCACATCTAGAAGAAAGAACCTTAACCCCTCTCTAAGGCTTTTTCGTGACTGCACTTGAGAACTTCCCGTCTATGGACCCCGGACGTCTGCCATTGCGGTTTCTATACGGCGGATAACCTTTGCGGGGTTTCCCGCTGCAACATGAAACGAAGGCACATACTGCAACAGCTGGTTAATCACACAGCGCTAGAACGAAAGGATAAAGCACAATATACCTTCGTAACGACGCTGCCAGCACCGATAGTGACCCCTTTCCCAATTGTGACACCGGGCAGAATAACCACATTGCCGCCAATCCAGCAATCTTCCCCAATATGAACTTCTTTCCCCAGCTCGGGCCCTTTCGTCCCATTCCTCAATGCCGGGTCAAGAGGGTGCGTCCCACTATAGATGTATACATTGGGCCCGACCAATGTTCTAGCCCCAATTGTTACGAGGCAGGTGTCGATGATCACACAGTTGAAATTGATAAAAACACCGTTTCCCACTTTCACATTGAATCCGTAATCCACTCGAATGGGCGCTTCAACCCAAGGCTCGTCTTCGAAAAGCTGGTCATCGACTTCAGGGTCTTCTGCTAGGGGCGGGAGAGGACGTTCATCCTGGATAAGGCTAGGCTTGTCAGTATCTTCGTGATATTGCGGCCAAACTCAAAGTGGCTTCGCGACCAAGAGGGGGCTAGGCCTCATTGCATTTTGCGTACACGGTAGTAAAGACTGCGGGTGCCATGTCGATAGCGGCCAGTCGCACAGCTACTCACTCTCTCCAAAGTTCTACTTGCCGTCGTCGAGATATCTGGCCGGCATTGTTGAATCTATCGCAGGCGCCCTTGCACCGTGCTCGACCCGCGATGAGATCCGGCGTGAAAGCGCGGTACAACTCGCCCCGGAGCATCTTCTCCTTCTCGGTCGGATTTTGATTTTCAGCCATGGCGACCAGCTTATCCCTGCGTTTCCCGGCTGGTTCTGAGGGTGAGATGCCCGTCTGATTGACCGCTTCGGCGCTTCTCAACCAACGTCATCGGCTTGCTGACTCAGCAACTTTCCGGCCCACGTGGATCGGCGCGCTAACCCCCATTCGGCGCCTAGCCTTGTCCGCGCGGAAAGCAACAAGATCGTATTGTTCTCGACTTTTATCCTTTCTTTGTCCGGTTGCTCTTCAAATATGCGCTGAAAGATCTCGTTGACGGGGTGTGTCTATCCCATTTCCTCTCTAACTGGAGACCCGTCCCTCGAGTGCCCTCCTCTCTCAATCGAACCCGTCTTTTCAAGCACATATTTACCACAGCTTCGCAATTCATGATGGCGGCGGCTTCCACTTCGACAAATCCTAGCCCCGAGATTTCTTCTTCGACTGACTCTCATTCAGCAGCTTCCGGCTGGAAACCACGGCCAAACTTCCCCCCCGGCGCTAGCAGCCCGGACAAGCCAATCATTGACCCAGTATATCTTCCAGGCGGAAAGAAATCTCTCTCAGGAATATCCATTCGCTCGTTTTTACTTGGCCAGGCTGCAGGCACCTGTGCCGTTTTATCTGCATTGCTTTACACTGGTTCTAACCCGCTATGGCGCGTTCCGTTCTTCGTCGCAACGTTAGCCTTATTCCACTTTCTCGAATACTACGTTACCGCTCGGTATAACAACTACTTTGCAAAGATTTCCGCTTTTCTATTGACTCAGAATGGCATGGCTTACAACATCGCCCACGGATCTGCAGTCGTGGAGTGTTTACTCGCTCATACATTCCTTCCAGATCGATATTTTCAGCTGACGGGCGCAGTCTTCGGCGGAATAAAATACCAAGTGATGCTAGGGCTGGCGCTGATGGTCGTAGGTCAAATTGTTCGATCTCTGGCAATGGTACAGGCAGGAGTTAGTTTCACACATACTATTCAACATCATCGAAGGGAGGAGCATCGGCTGGTAAAAGATGGGATTTACAGCATTCTTCGACATCCAAGCTACTTTGGATTCTTCTGGTGGGGCTTGGGCACGCAGCTGGTGTTGGGAAATACCGTTTGCTTCTTGGGATATGCTGTTGTGCTCTGGGAGTTCTTTTCCTCGCGAATTCGGAGTATGCCTTCCTGCCATCATATTTTAACAAAAGGAATATATAATTGCTGATAATTTACATGTTTTAGGTGAAGAGAAATTGCTGGTTGATTTTTTTGGCAAAGAGTATGTCGATTATCGGAGCAAAACCTGCGTTGGGATCCCAGGCATACCCTGAGCCATTGCAAACTTATGAAAGTACTTTTCATAGTTGAATTAACTAACATGATTTCCCACTACACATACTATCAAGTTCCATGTCTAACCCAAGGTGCTGTTAAGTGGTTTCTAAAATAGTCGCAATGGCCGCAGTGATTCATACTTTTGAATCTTGCTTTGTTTAATTGTGTTTCACTCCTATGCCAGTTTGTTTGCCTTCTGAAAACATCATGATGTATACATGTGTGCAAACGGATGCAAATCCTGAATTCATATATTTGCATCACCACTCTTTTGTCCCAGTTCCCAAATCAATTACAATACCTCTTGCGCCGTTTTGATACGATGATACTGCTTGAAATGCTTATCACGTCACCGGCTCTATGGTTTTGCGGGTTATCACTTTTATTCCTGCAATCTTCTCATTTTGACTAAATATCACTTTGGCATCTTTCCTCAAACTTTTTTACCTACCGAGCATCTCTCTCCTCTAGCAACTTGATGCTTTTATTGCACTTGCATTCAAATCACTCAAGCCATATCCTACCTCATATATCTCCCTGCATCCTCCTCCCAGCGCACCGGCAGCCCATCCATGTGCCACGTCCGCACCCACATTCACAACATCTGCAAGTGCGAAACTCACCATATCCGCATCTGCAACACCTTTCAAATCCCGCCATGTCCCTCATACCCCGCCGGCAGCTCCCGCTTCCTTCAAGTCCGCAACTCCCAGTTCATCCCAGGGATTCTCTCGCATTGTCCAAATCTTGACACTTATCCGGATGTCGTGGACCCCTATCCGTGCTCGAAACACTGGAATATGTTAGGGGAACAGCCTTGTCTCGTGCTGGGCCCTCCCCGAACAGAATCTCGATATGAATATATTGACGGAGGATCGGAGACATTGGAGGCACGAGAAATCTCAGGAAAGAGCCACGGCAAACTAGATAAGGGTTCGAAACACTTTTTAAATAATCGAGGCGAGCGGTGCGGTTCACAAGGCCAGACACCGTCCGAATTGCGTGAACAGCGCAACCAGTCTCCTGGAAGCCGCCGATCCAATGATGAAAAGAAGTGCTGGCGAATTTGGAATCTATGGGGCCTGCTCGATTCGTGAAGGGCATGCATGCTCCGGTTTATAGCGCGGTGCGAGGGATATCAAAGCTTCAGATAAAATCACTGCAGGGAGACGGACAGCTAATACCGCGATTTGCAAAGGCGCTCTCTTAAGCAAAACTCATTTTGAGGCCTCACCAACTCCCTCCTATCGTGTGCTCGACTCAAAGACCATCCGTGCTGCTAGGGTAAAAGTACATACATCTAAAAGCCATAGGAAGATATGGATTCAGCGAAGGTACCCCTTTCACGCTAGCCCTTGATCATGTCATGAAATGAATTAGAGCTCAAAACATACTGGCTCCTTAATGTCCTGAAACATGCAAGTGAAAAGCAGCCTATGTTTCTCAAACAAGATGATTCCGTTTATTATAACATGCAGTTGAATGCTATTGCAAAGCCTAGTAAATTATTAACATACAAGTGCTCCGGATCAAGAGAGTTGAAAATGAGAGGTTGGGAAAATATGATGGTGTTTTGGGCTTACTCTTGAATGTGTAGAAGGTGATACTCTCATAACTGCACCTGCATCTCCCCATTCAAAAAAAAAAAAAAAAAAAAGATGAACCGTTGACGGCTACTTGTCAGCTGTGGAACGCCAATATACATCCTTGAGGTATCTTAAAAGGCATGTTTAATTCAAGGTAATCAATATAGATCATGCAAAAAGTCACAGTTTACTCTCCCTTGGTTCAGGATTCTCAGTTTCCAAAGCACCGCTCATGTATGGAACCTGCACATCGTCTTCAGCTCCAAAAAGCACCTTTTCTCTTCCACCTCGTGTACTCCACCATGTAACACAGAAATAAGCCCTCTCAACATCCATCTCTCCGTTGCTCAGCGCATCCCAGAGTCTTTCCTGACAAGCGCTTCTCATGGTGCGATCTTGGATCTGGCTGATCAAATGCGCTGTGAGGTTGAGCCAGTCTTCTAGCGTTTCAACCTGAAGGAAACAAAGGCAATCAATGATAGTGAGGGTAAGAACTGCTTGCTCGGAGAGAAGCGGTCCTTCAGTAGGCGAGGGGTCTGCTGTGGTAGTTGGATGAGGGAGAGGAGTTGTAGGTGCAGTCAAGGCCCTGTCGTACAGAAGTTGTAGGAGGATGGATGGGAGCAGTGGCTGGCTATTAGCTAATGGCGATGGGGGGGCGGTGATTTGCAGAATTGTCTTAAAAGCGAGTTTGAATTGTCTGGCGGACAGATTCTGGGGAAAAACCTATCCAAATTAGTTACTAGATAGTCAAATAGATGAAGAATAAATGGTCAAAACTTACATTAAACAGGGTATCAACGTAATATGGCAGGTGCTTAGCTGCCATATCGGCACTCTTCGGTGCGGCAAGTACTGCTAACACGACGCTATGAGCAGCTTCAAAGATCTCCAACAGGTTATTATTGCCCCCAACTGCGAGATACGGCATTGCCGCCGCTATCAACAAACGCTCATTCACATCCGGGGGCAGCACGAGTGTGAAATGTTCCGCTGTATTCAGAAAAAATAAATCCAAACATCTATCAACTGGATGTGCAGGTATTCGACCGTTCTCTGATGGTCGAATACTCTCCAGGAATTCTTCCACCAGATTTGGATATTGTGATAGGATATCGAGAGAGGTCAAGTTGACGAAGACGAATTGGGAAGAGGTGTTGCTCCCTATTCGATTTGTTATAAAAGAGAGGTTTCGGAGGATCTGGAGAGTTTTGAAGGCCAGGAAGGGCGCATCTATGTTTGTTAGCATCAGTGTAAAGTCCTGACAAAAAAGGACTTACTCTTGTCTGCACCCAATAAGTGGTCGTTTAGTACCCTGCCAAGGGCAGCTCTAAGCACTATAATCATCGAAAATAGAGAGGATTTCAACAATCGCCACAATGTGGGAAGCGTTGTCTTTAAAGTAATCTCATCCAGAAAATCGTCTTCTTCTGACATATCCACCTCCGATAACTTGTTTTGACGCCACTGGACAAGCGAGGTTCGAGAATATTCAAGCAAGAGATCAATCAACTCGACAACTAGAGCTTGATTGTGGACGTTTTCGGTGGCATGTGCTATCAGTCGAGACAAAGGCCCAAGGGATGTAATAAGTGGCCTTGATAATATGGTGCTAACTTGGCGGAAAGTGGGAGACTGCTCTGGCCATGCAAATCTCTTATCCTTCACTTCACGGACATCACGATCAATCGCTCCCAGGAAGTAGCCCGAGCCAAGGCCCTCCTCAGAGAAATAGGCGGAGTCGACAAGGATAGGGAGCAGAATTTCGTAGTCGATCTGGCTTCGCTCCCAATCCGACAGCAGGTCGAACGTATAATTCAAAACTAGGACAATGGTATGCGCCGCAACTCTCGGGGAATCTTCCAACTCGGCCAGTGAAAGCTGCAGTGCCTTGACCAGCGCTGACTCAAGTTTCTTTCTCCAGTGTACTGATAGAGCTTGCCGGCTCTGTCCTTCAAATCCTAGTAACACGCCACCAAGGAGCAGGAGATGTCTCCATCGTGGAGACTTTTCATCTGCACCATTTATGACGGCCTTTAACCATTCTTCCCGCTCCAAGCCACGCCGCTGAAGATAAACGGACCTTGTGCCATGCGACGATTCGTGTTGTATAATTGTAATAGCTGCACTGTTAAACACGCCAATCAACCTGCGACAGGTCTGAAGTCCAGGTTCTCCTTCCCATAAGGCCGGGCAGCACAGCAGCTGCGATGATAATAATGATACATTCAGCGGATTCGTAAGGAGGGATAGGAGGCCAGTTGCGGAGGGAAGTAATCTAATGTAACCGTATCAGCAGGGGCGGTCATCGCTACAAGGTCGGGCATGAATACCTAAAGGCATCTTCGGCGACGGATGCAGTTTGTAGAGATCGAAGAAGCGTGGCGAGAGAGCGCTCAGAACCCATTGTGAATCTAGTCTCAAGTGTCTAATTCATTAGAGCCTGGAAAGGTGAGCTCTGCGAAAACTGATGCCAGGTCCATGCTTCGTGGACCACTTCGTCAACCATCAAGCCCTCAGAGCTACCTTCCAGGAGCGCTGGAGGCCGGCTGCTTTAACCCAGCTGCCTCACCCGAGGCAGAAGGGAGATTGCCAAGCCGGCTAAAACTGCCCCAAGGGATAGACTGGCTGAAGTGCTCGGCTTTCGGCGTTTCAATTCTTCCTGCATTCAATGCTTACTTCTGTTCAAATGCTTTATCTGGAGCCGGGGAACCTTTAAATGGTTCCGAGCCCGCTCTGTTAATCAAGGACCGTTCGCTAAAATAGTTATGATGTTAATATGCTAAAGCTAAGGACTCTCCAACTCTGCCTACCTATCCCCTGGAGCTGCCAATGCTAACAGTGATTCTTGTGGCCGGAGGGTCTGAGTTATAGGTAGATACTGGGCCAAATGCCTATAATCATAGGGCGAAGGAGTTTTGGTCGGGTTCGTCGGCTGATTATGTAATATTGGACGTCATAGAGATAGTCCCTGCCGACCTCGCCCAATTCGGTGATCGAGACGACGGATTGATAGCCATTCTTAAGGATGTCCGCTTTCTTACTACTCCCTTGCGACTCGATCCGCACATATCGAAGATAATGGAGCCGATTAATCAAGTTTCAGGAGGAAAGATATCGTACTTCAATCTGCCGCTGGAGCTTCTCCTTCATATTGTCTACTATCTTCCTCCTCAAGACGTTGCCTGCTTGGCTCTTTGCAACAGGGCTTTCCTCAATGCACTCGGGAGTGAAGCTTGGTCTTCGCTCTCCCAAAAAGCACGGGATGCATTCTTGCTCACTCTTACTCGAGACTTGCCATCCTGCTACTTCTGCCACGTGTGCCTCTCTCTCCACCTTCGGGATCGCTTAGGGCCGCCCGCCCCTATAAACTGGAGCCTCTTGAAGTATGCTTGTACTGATTCATATATGGAACCGCCGTTGTGGGATTGTTTCGCCGCGCTCAAAGGTCATGTATCCGGCTATTGGCTATTCTTCGCCCATGTTCAGCTGGTTATGGCGAGACATTATCAAGGTCCCGCATATGGGCTTCCACTTGATATGCTATCGTACACAGAGGTCAAAGCGCATACGGAACCGGATGGCGCAAAAGTTACTATCCTACTATCCTTTGACGCAAGAATATGTTCGCGATCAGCAAGCTTGTGCTTACGGAATCAGCAATGGATTCTTCTACGTCCGCAGCACAAGGTAATTGATATATTGCGGAACATTATCTTCTGTCCTCATTTAAACATAGAGTCTCCCGAGCTTGCCTCTTATGTTCAGCTACCAGTTAAGCCTGGTCCCGTCGAGCTAAGTGATGTGCTCGATAACACCCCTTCACCGGTTCTTGCATGTAGTTTTTGCGACATGCACTTTCAACTCGACAAATGTGACTTGGGCGATGAAACAAAGGCGATCGTTATAACGAAATGGCTTGATGTCGGGGCGGGTCTCACAATCCTGGACCCGAAATGGCAGGCTCATGCGCTTGGGGGATCACGGGAGTTTCCAGAGGGGAGCGAGGATGTTTACCTGCGCTTTGAAAGACTGCCGGGAATATCAGGCTCGATGCTCTTTAGTCAGAATGCCTCACACCTAATGGGAAACCGGTACAAGAAAACCATGAAACGGCTTTACCGTCACACGTGGTATTTGGAAAATCGGGTGGAGTCCTCCAAGCACGGATTTTGGCCAGCAGTTGGTTCGACGCTATCATTGATATTGCCTGGAAGGCTGATGGACACATTGACGAAGCGGCGGGCCAATTGAGCCAACTGTGTTCTAACCTAAACTGGAAGTCTTGCCACGTCCAGTGACTTTCCTAGATAGGTAGTCAACAACTAATGCTATTTCTCTTTTTGGACAGGCATTCTCATACCCCACCTGCCAAAACCGAACTTGTGTTCCTCCGCGCTGCTGTTATTTACCTGATGTTTTCTCTCACTTCTCGTCCTCTTCCTCCTTCTTTTTCTTCCCTTTCTTCCTCACTTTGGACATTATTTCTGCCCCTCACTGCCTCCATAGTAAGGGTTTTTGATCATCAGCTCAATCAATTTGCACCTATGTCTGACGCGTATAATATCATCTCGCTCGTGGGGACCTGGGTTTCGGTGTTACTGGCCGTAGCCCAGGTCTTCTTTGCGTACAGGAGTCAATGCTGTTCAAATCCTATCCGGGACGTGGAACACGAGCTCTCGACCCTCGTTACGTCGGTGAGTAATCAGAAACGGATTGCTTATGAAACCCTTCAAGTTCTGAGGGATGTTCGAGGGAACCTGGAGAGGATTCAAAGAAACACTGCAGCGCCATCAATTAGTGGGTCTGGAGGCCGTTCGGCTACCAATTCCAGCACCCGTAACTAAACTGCAGGACATCCCAATGGCAAAGGGGCAACCTTGAGCCATTGGGCGTCGCCACTGGAATCCTCGGCATCAGTCAAGGGGCCCAGTTGGCGGCGCACCAGCGATGGGTTCGCACTTCTACGCAGTGCTGGTGACTAGTAGCCCTAGGAGGTGAAGCTAAGACGAGCCCTAGGTAGGCCTATAATACATTCTACCTACCCCCTTTTTCAAACGTGTCGAAAAAGCTATTATGTTGCAGTTGTTGAGAAGTTAAGGATTATCATTCTGTATTGCTTCTTGCTAAGCTAGCGGCAAATCCACACTGGTCTACTATGAGAAGATATTACTTCCAATTTACGGCCTTTTGTTGAGCCAAATATGCCCTACCCAAACGGATACTGACGCGCGAATCTGAGCTCATATATACCATTCTATCTTGATCTTCACTGTTATTCGACATTTGGAACTTTTCTCGATCAATGTGGCGAAGGATCCTGAAGTCACCCCAGCCATCTCCCTGTTCCGAGTCTTGGAGTATGCGGCACCAAAATGCCAGGTCTCATCAAGGGGCAACGATGCAAGGTCCACGCGCAGGCACGGCACAGCCAGATTTTGGCCTGGAGTACAGAAGTAGACGGCGCCGCATGGAGCCCAGCGTCTCCATCCGTCTGCCTGGGTGTAGTCTGTGTGTTATGCATCACCATTGCAACCAAAATTGAAAGATGGCACAAACACATGCCATCTCCATTTGGCGCGATGATAGATCCTGTAGCTATTCTTGAATCCAGATTCATACAGCAAATCCCGCAACAATCGTGTGGCCGTTATCGGACTTTAAGCCTCCCAGCCGAACTGGTTAGATCGTCTCCGTTGTATGTACGAAAAGAAGGTCTTGACGGAGGCTAACGCCAAATCTGCTTTTCCTCATCACTCAATTAGTGCTATATCAAGGCTAAAAGATTTGGTAGAGAAAATTACATTACTGAGCATCCGGCGCCATCGACGCGTCGCCCAGTGTTTTCACCTTGGGTCCAGCGTACCCCTTCCGCCGGAACAAATACCACAGGCTCACAAAGAGCGTCAAGCCCCCGGTCATCAGAGAGGCGTAGTTCATAGACTTAGCATCGGTCGGCAGCGCAAAGGGGAAGCAGAAAATCACCACAAACGCCATAATGTATAGACAGCTAATGCCGTTAACGATAAAGCCCATCGCCCCCTTCATGTAAAAGTAGCCCGGTACAATGCTGCGCCGGCCGGACAACAAATGCGGCAGGATGGCAGCGAGATAGGATAGCGTGGAGAGCTGCACGTACGAACCGACGAAGGCGTTGAAAGCGGTCGTCGAGCCCACGTAGATGCAGCCAAGCACAGTGATGATGGCGCCGCAGGCGAGAGAGGCGTTGAACGGGTTATGATACCTGTCGTGTACGCGTGCTAACCACGGCGAGAAGGGTGTCGCGTTGTCGCGCGCTAGGGTCCATAGTGTGCGGCCTGCGGTGATGTAGCAGCCGACGCAGGTGAAGAAAGTCGGAATGAATGCGATGATGAGCAGTCCCAGGGCGCCGCCTCTGCTGCCCGTGGCTTGGTGGTAGATGGTGGCGAGCGGGAAAGTGCTGTTTGTGGTGAGGACGGTGTCGAGGTTGGTGATGGCGTAAAAGAGGGCGACCATGTACGGAATGGCAGTTATGAAGCCCATGATGACCTGGGCCAGCATTGCTTTGGGAATGTTTCGACTGGGTCTATAATTGGGAGTTAGCTGGCGTTATCGTCTAATGGGAGTTTACCCTCGTAAGAATCATACCTCGGAATCTCTTCGGCGATGTGGGAGGTAAGGTCAATGCATCCCACACTATATGCGCCGTTGAGCATACCAAGCAGGAAGACAAAGCCATCACTGGAGTATCCTGTTGCATTGGCCCAGTCACGCCAGACGAAACTATTCGATGCATATCCAACATGGTTCACATGCGGCATGATCGCACACACTAATATAGTAATTATCACACCAGCAACGATGAAGAACATGCCGATATTTGAGAGCGTGGGAAGGGCGCGGTTGGCAAAGAGCACAACACAACAGCACATCCATGTGCAGATCAGGTAGGTCACAAAAACGTGCCAAGGTTTCGACTCGAGATCAGGCTTGAACACTGTATACATCGAAACAGCCTGGTTGCCTAGAATTGCCGATATCGATGCGGCACCAAATATCCAAGCCAAACAATTCCAGAAGCCCGCGAGAAAACCGACAGGGCGGCCATGTCGACCCGCGGTAACCGTTGCCCAATGGTAAACTGTAGCATACCTCATTAGGATCCGATTATATGGAGATAGATAGTATGGATGTTAGCTCCATTCCGTACCTCCCGCTGCTGATGGAATGGCTGACGCCAGCTCTGCGAGAGACGCCGCAATCACCCAGTAAAATGCTGCGACGGCAATACTTTATGATATCAGTGAGTATTCAGGTATCAAAACTAGCGGTCGTGGCGAGGGGCCATTGAGCCGACTCACAACTCATAAATGACGCCTGGAGGCCCTCCGTTATAGATTGCGACAGTCTATCGTCAGCAATACCCCGGTTAGCGCTCCGTCTCGCCAGCGGTTTTCCTCAGCACCAGAGCGTGGGAATCAACTAGAGCGAGAACAAAAATCCATAAGCATACAATCGATCCGCCCATTGCTAACCAGGAGTTCCCCGTAGTGATGCCAATAGCACAAATGCTTAGTAGACTGAAATTCCGGTTGAGTTCCTGCTTGTGCCCGGAGGCATTGAGCAAGCCAACAGGGGCCTGCGAATCGGTGACGGGAAACTTATCGTCATCATGTTTCGCTTCAACGACCTGCTTCTCGCCCATTATCGCTTCAGACATGTCGAGGGCCGATGTGAAGACGGAAGAAAGCACCGTCGCACAACTGTTGGATGATGCCGTTTTCTTTTCTTCAAGCTTGCCTTCGAGAAAGAAATGAAGAATCAACACGAGGTCGGAATATCATGAAAGCTTCTCCGCAAAACTCAGATAAGATTGATGACGAGCATGAGGTTACTCTCGTTGGTTTCTCAATGTTCTGCAACTTATTTTTTGCTCCTGGATTGGGGACCGCCAATGACAGATCCAGATTGTGGACGACGCCATGCGGAGAGTCAGGGATCAAAATCCGCAAATGATAGTTATGTCAGCCTCGAGATGGCCTGCTAATTCACTGTTGCACGCTGAGCGCTTCAACGCAGCCAAGGAGCAGCGTTGGAATTTCCATCCAGACAGTTGCAGAGGCCATGTTCAGATGCTGAGAGCATGGGGTTTGGGGCAAGCATCCCATCACTGTCATCCCTGATTACCTGATTCTCTCACTGAGCCCGCACACAAAACTCACTGACTTGCCTGTCAAGTTGCCATGGATCTACCAGAATGTGCTAGACATGGATACCTAGCATTGTCCTCAGCTGTGACGGGACGGTTGTCTGTTACATAGTGTTGAGGTCCCTTGGACAGGGATTGTAGCCACACAATACAGTCACGTGCTATCAGGCTTTCGACCACGGTCTCTTGACAATCGCGATGGCCGAGTTTGCATTTTAGTTCTTGAATCACCCAGATGGAAATCCGTTCAGCTGCATGGTGCAATGCCGGCGTCAGGGGACTACCGGGCTCCGCCTTTCCCTTCCCTCTACCCTCCGATCCACCCACCCCGTAACCAAGCTCAGTATCTCTTCTTCACAAGCGACGTCTGGCGGTTTACGCTCTATTGGACCCTGATACTCTACGGCGGAGCGCATATTACTGCATCTTTGTGTGCGGTGGCTACTCAATGGCGGAATTGGAAGGCCATATGGACTGTTCCTGTCATTTACATTGTGATCGCAGGCTTGGAAGGGTTGCTGGCTGGGAGTGTGGTCGGGCTTCTGTGAGTACCGGCTTCCCGGTCGACTATGTTCCTGGAAAAGGTCTGGCGTAACTGATGCGATATTTAAATAATATAGTCTCGGGGCAATCTACGAAGCTGGAAGCTTCAAAATGTCGACATGGCTGCCATTCATATGGGGCTGCATCAATACACTTGTTCTAATACTTTCTAGCTTCTCTATACAAGGCGGACTTTGATCCTCGCAAATAGGGTGCCAGCCCATGTCGAAGCTTTTCATGCCAACTCCGCATAATTTCACCCACGCCCATCGAAACACTGTATCGCTTTTAACGCCGTTACATTCCTATGCCAAATACAAAATACATCAGCGTAAATTGGGTCTTCAAGTTTGACTTTGGCCGTTTGCGCACGCATCTATAGCCCAATGAAGTATTACTTCTGCTGTTGATGTGCAAAGTGTGAAAACAGCTGGTTTGGGAGCGGCGGAAAATTGGGATTAGGCGGGAAAGGGCCTGTTATTCCTGGAATCGGAAAAGGTATCTGACCCGAGCTTTGGGGAGGGGGAGGAGGTATTGCTCCAGAAGAAAGTATTGCAGCTAAGCGGCCGGGGTCCATATGCGGTATAGACGAGGCTATATCGACCGGGGGAGGTGGTGGTGGAGGCGGATGTGCAGCACCAATGCCGGGTATCAAGCCTGGCAACCCAGTACCGTCCATAGGCGGCACACCCTGAATTCCTGGTAGCAATGAGTCCATGGGCCGCTTTTGGTCTACGAGGCCTTCAGCTTCGTCTTGGATCTCTTGCTCCTCCTCTTCTCGCATCTGTCGACGGCCATACCCGCGATTCCATGTACCTTGAGCCTCGGCCGCTTCCTCACCAATGTGGAATCTATCCTTCAAATAGGTTGTTTCACCAGGGCGAGCCCTAGACCAAAAGCGGGTGAAGTTATCCTTAGATCCAGAGGCAAGGATATGGCCAAGGGGATGCCAGTCGAGCGACCAGATCGTGGAGCTGTGTGCGAACTGTATTCGATGTGCTGGGAATATGATCTGGGCGGGAGTGTTGGTGGGATCCGTGGTGTCGTAGGGCGCAACGGTTGGAGCTTGTCCAGTTGGCAGGTTGGGTTCGTCCAATAAGTAATGATATAAGGACCCATCCTCACTTCCTGTTGAAACGAGAGTGCTATGAATAGGGTGCCAGGTCAGCGAGGAGATCGGTTTTTCGTGACCCCGGAGAATGCAGATATCGCGCATCATCCGTAGGTCGAAAATGCGCCCCGTTTGGTCTCGCGATGAGGTTGCAAGTAGATTATTGTTTACTCGAGAAAATTTCGTCGTCGTAACCGTATTTTTATGACTGTGTAAAGTGGTCAGGCATCTTCCTGTCCTTGGGTCCCAAAACTTGACTTGGTGGTCCTTCGAGCCCGATACAAGTAGCCCTTTTGTAGGATGCCAATCGCACGATTTTGCATCCCAGCCATGGCCTGTTAACACCAGCTCGCAAGACCTGGCATTGAAATCGAATATCTTGAGGGTCGTATCATCAGAAGCAGAGAGGAACTTTGTATCGTTAGGGCACCAAGCCAGATCCCGGACGGCGTCGTGGTGAGCGTCATCTACCGTCTCGACGTTATTGAAATTAGGGCGCCAGTACTTTATATCTCCTCTTTGACCACCTGATATTAGCCATTCGTGACTGTATGACCATTCCGCAGATGTAACGCCCGCTTGGTATTGATCATAATGTGCCTGTAAATCAGGGGAAAAAAATCAGCAACATATCTAGCCATTTCATGTTTGGACGAACTTAGGAGCCTTACATCCATGACAGTCTCAAAATTGAACGCCGTGCCGTTCCATAGCATAAACTCTCCGGTATGCCCGCCAGTCAGTAGGCGTCGGCCCTCCGGCGTCCATCTCACAACTGTAATGGGCTTTTTCGACTTTCCGATCGACTGATGTAGATGTCGAACAGGAATCGTATCTACCGGAGAGTGAATTGCGGCAAAGGGAGGAAGCATCTATCGCGACGACGGTTTGTTAATAGATACTCAAGGCCCAAAGACTTCGCCTGAGGATGGTAGAACAACTTACGTCCACGGTATAACTCGCACTCGGCCGTTCCCATTCTAGCCGATGCCCTCCCTTGTACTTTGGCTGCCGTACACGCATCCATTGAACTAGCGACGAGCCGTAATCCGTAACCGGTCCTAGTGTTTATCAGCGTGTGTGTATCATGGGTCGAGCATGGTTAGGTCTTTACGTGGTCTTCGCGGTCCTGACTGTCGTGGTATGAACTGATTCTCCGTAGCGCCTTCATCATGGTATGCCATCTTCAATTCTGGCGAACGGGTTGCGTCAAATTGCTGGAGAGGAGACGGTGGCGGAGGAGGAATTCGTTTGGTCGCATGAAACTTCTCAGTAGCTAATTGTGGTGGTTAAAGAGGAGCTCAGTGAGAATCACAAATGCTAACTAGCGAATATGAATCAACAGACAATAGCTTAACTGAGGTGAATAGCCGTGGATTTGCCTGCCATTTCATCCCATCATATTATTGCAGCAGAGAGCACTCAATGAGCTCGAGCTTGGTCCAAAATGCCCAATACGGAGTACTAGTGAATTTGTGAAATGCTCTGATCGCCACCCTCTGCTCTTAGCGTCAACTCTGCTCCCATGAAACCAGGAAACTCCCCGCCGGCGCCGAACTGCCTTCAAGCTTCAATTGATATCCATGGGACTGCTGCCCTTCCTTCCCGCCAGGCAATCACCATGGCTTGACCGTCTATTCGATCTGCCTACATCACGGTGACTACATGAATAGAGGCTCAGCCGCCAGCTCGTGACGATATCCCTCTTTCTTACCGGTGATGATATCAACGATGCGCCAGCCCTTGCACATGCTCGGAACTCGCACGAAATGAAAAAATTCTTCCTCCTTGAAACAATTTCCTCTCTCTTGAATATCTGATATCTTCATTGGATGTGAAGGATGCCTGAATTCGGAGCTTCAGCTATCCCGACTCCTCCGGCGCTGTCCAGCAGCAGGAATACAACTCCTACGCCCACAACAACCTCGGAAGAGGAATCCTCCCAGGGCTCAGCTTCCACGCCCGATCGACCAGCAACAGCGATACCAGAGCTGAAGCGGAGAAGCAAGTATCGCCATGTCGCAGCATACCACTCAGAAACGCGGGCTTCCTGCCTCAGCCGCGATTCAAACGCTTCTCCAAGCTTCTTCGGTTTCCGAAACCTCGTGGTTATCGTGTTGAGTAAGTTCATGAGCACGCCGGCTTCAACGTCAGGTAACAGCACTAATAACCCTCTTCCACGCAGTTGTTATGAATTTGCGACTTATTATAGAGAACTTCATGAAGGTCCGGTCACGCTGCACTCCAATCCGAGCTACAAACCTGACTGACACAAGATTTTAGTATGGGGTCTTGATATGTCTCCGCTGCCATGACTACCGCAAACAAGATCTGGTGCTGGGAGCTGTTCTCTTTTCTCTTGTCCCTTGTCATCTTTTCATCGCGTATCTGATTGAGCTCGCAGCGGCGCAGCAAGTTAAAGGCGTAATAGGCCGCAAAAAGAAGTCTGATCTTCCAAACGGCAAACAAATGGAAGAACAGCCAGACTTCCGGCGGACGTGGGTGTACATCGCCATTGCGCACACGGTAAATGCCAGTGTGTGCCTTTTATTGACATCATACTCGGTGTACTTCTACATCAATCACCCTGGCATCGGAACCCTATGCGAGATGCACGCCATTGTCGTGTGGCTGAAGAATTGCTCCTATGCTTTTACTAATCGCGACCTTCGCCATGCATTTTTGCATCCATCACCGGAGAACAACCTTCCAACGATCTATGATTCCTGCCCGTACCCTCGAAACATCACGATCAAAAACCTTACCTACTTCTGGTTGGCTCCCACCTTGGTCTATCAGCCGGTATATCCTAGAACGAGCTATATTCGATGGAATTTTGTGGCCAAACGAGTTGCTGAATTCTGCGGACTCGCCGTATTCATGTGGATTATATCTGCGCAGTACGCGTCGCCAACGCTGCTGAACGCGCTGGAAAAGATTGCGCTGCGAGAGTGGGCGTCCATCGCGGAACGTGTGATGAAGCTATCGACTATCTCCCTAGTTATCTGGCTGGCGGGGTTCTATGCTTTGTTCCAGTCGTTCTTGAATGCCCTGGCGGAAGTTTTGAAGTTTGGCGACCGCGAATTCTACAAGGACTGGTGGAACAGTCCAAGCGTGGGTAGATACTGGCGGACGTGGAACATTCCCGTGTATCAATTTATGAAACGGCACATCTTCTCGCCGCTTATTGGGCGGGGATGGAGTCCTTTCGCGGCCAGCGTAACCGTGTTTACGTTTTCGGCCTTGCTGCATGAATTGGCTGTCGGTATTCCTACGCATAACGTCATTGGTAAGTAGAAAAAAAACCCTGTATCGTAACTTATCTCGCAGAATCGTCTTCTAACGTGCTGGCAGGCGTCGCGTTCGGTGGCATGATGTTACAACTTCCTCTGATAGCAGCAACTGTACCACTTGAGAAGATGAACAGCCAGGCTGGCAAAGTCATGGGCAATGCGATTTTTTGGTTGAGCTTCTGTCTCGTTGGCCAGCCCTTGGGAGCGCTTTTGTATTTCTTCGCGTGGCAAGCCAAGTATGGCAGTATCAGCAGAGGCCTGAAATGATTAACCAGCGGGTTGGAATGCAGCCGGGAGTTGTTGTTGGTTTATAGAAAGCGTATAATCAGAAACTTTGTTTTTTTGCTTCGCGAAGGGAAGAGGCCTGGATACTTAGTTAACCGCAGTCAATTGAATGAATCATTTCTGGGGACACGATGTTTGTGATCATCGGATGAAAAGACGCGCCTGATCCCGAGCGGAGCAACACAAATCACCGCAGCACCAAAGCCAAGAAGAACGGCGCCGCGGCTCTCATGGTTCTGGTTCATTCCAACGCGGATTTGAATTGGATGCATGCGTTTCCAAGGGTGCCGACGTACCCCAATGCTGCCTGTGAATCGCCGAGGGGGCCCGGAGTTTCGGAACATCCTGGCTGAAGATTCTCGCGGTCGAATGTTCGGTCAAAGGCCAAGTGTCTCATTCCAAAGCATGCTCTCATATATATAACTGTTGAGAGGCGTATCTATCTATCTTTGTGTTCCACAGCTATTATCAATAATTCGATCCTCTAATATCAACGTCTTTTCCTCGATAGAAATTGAAGCAAAGCAGAACAAAATGGCGCTTTCATTCACAGTCCCGAGCAACTACGGGTATGTATGCGGCATCTTCGCATTCTTCTCTTGTCTCTATCAGCCTTACTTTGTCCTGTCGGACAGCTTGCGAGATATCGTGACATATAGACATACAATTATCCTTTGCTAACCAAGTGACACAGCAACGTCGTCGCCATCGCCCTCGGCGCGATCCCATTCCTCGGCTTCGTCCACGGATACATCACGACAGGCCTTCGTAAGGCGGCAGGCGTCCCATACCCGCACTCATATGCCACTCCCGACCAATGCGCCAAAAACGTAATATTGCATCTCCCCTCCCACCAACTCGCAATATACTAACCCTCTTTTCTCTTTTCTTAATAGCCCAAAGCCCATAAATTCAACTGCGCGCAACGCGCGCACGCCAATTTCCTGGAAAATATGCCCCAGACGATGGCGTTTATCCTCTTTGCCGGCCTAAAGCATCCGAATACCGCGACTCTCCTTGGAACCACGTGGGTCGGCCTCAGAACGTTGTTCATGCTGGGGTACATTTACGGCGGAGGGCAGGGTGGAAGTGGACGCTATATTGGGATTCCTTTCTGGTTCGTGCAGGGCGCGCTCTGGGCTGTCAGTGTTTTTGGAATGGGGCTCCCCGGATGGAGCTGGTTCATGAAGAATTAAAAGAGGACGGGATCAATTGGACTGTACGACTAGGCAGCGCATTGCAATCTTAATGATTTAATTTGAGATGAGTAAAATCGTGCTGTGACCGAGAAGTAGATTTGTCGCAATCATGGAGCTTGCTTTGCCCCGCGGCCACCGTGTCTCACCTCAATGCAAATCACCGCGACTAGAAAGTTACAATCAACGAGAGCTTTCACGTCGCTACCAATCTCATTGTCCACTGGTTATTGACTCTACTAGCCATTCATACGCCCCTCGGCTAAGCCCAAGTGCCTTTAATTGCAATGGCTTCTAAATCGCAAATTCCGTACGAAGTTCGCGGGCGGGACCATCCCAACCCGCTCGCACGCCGCCTCTTCCAGATCGCAGCAGAAAAGCAATCGAATGTCGTGGTTTCGGCGGATGTCACGACGACGCAAGAGCTTTTAGACTTGGCCGACAGTATGTTCCACTTGGCCTATCTCCCCTTTCCGTCGTATACGCATGATCAACTGGCCTTCCGCTACCCCGCCAGCACCCCCTCCCCCAATTTTCTTTTGCATATTGATATCAAACTAATACCACGGCACAGAACTCGGCCCCTACATGGTAGTCCTAAAAACACATATTGACATCCTCTCCGACTTCTCCTCCGAAACCATCGCCGGCCTCCAATCCCTGTCCCAAAAACACAACTTCCTCATCTTCGAAGACCGAAAGTTCGTCGATATCGGAAACACGGTGCAAAAGCAGTATCATGGCGGTGCATTGCAGATCTCACAATGGGCGCATATCGTCAATGCCACCATGCTTCCCGGCCCAGGGATCATAGACGCGCTGGCACAGGTGGCTTCAGCGCCGGACTTTCCCCATGCGGCGCACAGAGGGCTCTTGATCCTCGCAGAAATGACGTCGAAGGGCAGCCTGGCCACCGGCAAATACACGGAGCTTTCGGTGGAGATGGCGCGGAAATATAGGGGCTTTGTTCTGGGGTTTGTGGCTACGAGATCTCTGGCGGATGTGGACACGGCTGGCAAAGCGGAGGATGAGGATTTTGTGCTTTTCACGACGGGGGTTAATCTTGCCTCAAAGGGCGATGCGTTGGGGCAGCAATATCAGACTCCGGAATCAGCTATCGCAGGTGGAGCGGATTTCATCATTAGCGGTCGTGGGATATATGCCGCCCCTGATCCGGTTGAGGCTGCGCGGCAATATCAGAGCGCCGGTTGGAACGCTTACTTGCAAAGAGTGCGGAAATGAAATAGTATTATACGCTGTCTCTAGATGAGTCAAATCAAACGAGGTCACAGGCTCGCGAACAGCTTCTCAAAAACTCTGAGCAGGCTAATTTCCATGTCTTCACCCTCAATGAATTAGAAGACTCGAGTTTGCAGGCCATTTTTTACTCCCGGATAACTATATCATAGAACATGCGACGAGTTTCGATAATAGCGAGGAGCAACAGCAACCCCTGCCTCTATTGGCTATTTATATGAGCCATTCAGTCCTCGTTTTGAAGCCACCGGTGCTCTTATCCCTGTAACTAGGTCTTTGCTTATGATCGGAAATAATAATGAACCCAACACGATCCATAGGGGTACCAACTATCCGAATAGAAGGGAGAATCTTGGATACATTTGAAAGTGGCATAGAGTTCTCAGCCTCTCGATAACAATCATCTAGAGTTTTGATAATCGCCCCTTGCGCATGTCAGAAACGTGCCGAAAGCTTAACCACAGCATCAGAAAATATAACCACATATGATATCTCTTTGAATACATTGTTCTTGAATGACTTGTGGATATACACATAAATGTATTCTGCCCGTATATGACCCGTTTCCAGCGAAAGAACTCATCAAAGTGAAACTGCATCTTCTCCAGGGGCCAACATGAATTGTGGGCTTTGGTGATAGTTGGCCCCAGTCGGGATTCACTAGTTAAAACTATAGTAAATCCCTGCACACGATCCAGGCGACATTTTTTAGGGCTTGAGCAGGAGAAGCGCCACTGACTTCAGAGAGAGATGACTTCCTCATCCCCAAGTACATACGTTATGAACCGCAATTCTGAGCCGTTATGAAATCTCCCACCACATGGAAATGGCTGCTCGCGCTGGCCGTGGGGATGCTCCCAGCTGGTAGGTTCTCTCCCCTGAATCCCGCTTCAACGTAACTAACCCGTCCTCGTCGTTAGCCGTGGCCGAGTTGTGCACCCCGACCTCAGGGGACTACGGTCGTGTCTTCTACGTGTACAGTCAATCCGACCTGGACACAATCGCGGCTAAGTGTACGACGGTGGATGGCAGCATTTTCATCGGAACCAACTACACCGGCTCGTTCCGCCTGCCAAACGTCCGGAATATTACTTCTGCATTTCAGCAAGAACCTAGTTTTCCGCACAAATCTGATCCGGCGCCAACGTCCATTGACATCCCCGACCTGGAGTACCTGGGAGGCAGTCTCATCGTTGACTTTCCGACTGTGGCTAAACTGTCTGCTCCAAAGCTGAAGAAGGTGCACTGGGAGTTAAGGGTCCAGGATGTTGCGACGGTGGATTTTAGATCGCTGGAGGAAGCTCGGTATATTTCGGTCTCGGGAAATATCACCAGGTAGGCACTTTACTGTTGCAGAACTTGTATTACATCGGCAACCCGCTAATCTATAACACTACATAATAGCCTGAATCTCGACTCACTGCGGCGCTTCGGTGAAAGATGCAAAATCTGCAACAAGGAGTACTGCGGGCCCACCACTCCTCCCAATTACCCCCCATTGGATCTCTCCCTCCCTTCACTACAGACTATGGGTGATCTAACGATCGAAGGGAGGCTATCGAGGTTAGCCTTCGCTAAACAACTTTTAACATTTCCAGTGCTAATAAGGATCAATAGCTTTAATATTCCCAAATTGTCAAACCTCACCGCTTTAGATGAAGGCTACATCAAGTACAACTTTGATCTTCGTCTTGCCATACATGGAGACCGGCTCAATGTCTCCTTTCCCGAACTGAGTACCTCAAACTTAAGTTTCTTTATCAGTGGTGATATTGCAAGGTATGATCTATCTTCTTGCGGAACATCAGGGGCTGTGGCTTACCTTCACATGCGTATCAGCCTCTCAATGCCTAAGATGATCGATCGTGTCCCTTCGATCACAGTGACCTCTTCCACTCCACTTGATATCAACCTTCCATTCCAGAAAGCTGAGTTCATTGGTTTTTTTGGCAATATATCAAGGTATGTAATAACTATAATATCAAATAAGTCTGTCATATATTAATTTAACTGTACAGTGTCCAACTTCCGAACCTGAAGAATTTCACGGATCTTTCAGTTGACTCCGAACTTGATCTTGACTGTGATTCCGTTAAGACCGCATTATCAGCCGCAGCTAATAGAACAGGGGGTGTGATACGGTGCAGATCCTCTGAAGGCTTTCAGCTTACTCCCAGTAAAGTTGTAATTAGCATGATAGTTGGTGTTGTTGGAATCCTGTTGGCTCTCTGAGAGGCTTGTCATACAACTCCTTGGGTGGTTCTGGTCTTGTTTTTGATATGAAGCTATGTAGGATATAGTTACTAGTGTAAGAACTTATATGTCACATACGACCATAGGAATTGGAAAACAGGGCTTCCCGTCCGCTCAGCCGTACTTAAACCACTTGCCGGCTGGCTAGTAGTTGGGTGGGTGACCACCAGCGAATCCCAGCTGTTGTATGTCTTTTTGATTCTCCTCTCTTTTGTTCATAGAGCTAGACATGGATACAACTACCAATGCAAGAGAAGATCTAGCACATACGACCACAGGAAGTGGAAAATAGGGCTTCCCGTCCGCTCAGCCGTACTCAAGCCACTTGCCGGCCGGCTAGTAGTTGGGTGGGTGACCACCAGCGAATCCCGGCTGTTGTATGTTTTTTTCCAATTTTTTTGGACCCGCTCCCAAGTAATCACTCTCCTTCTTAGACTGGCGCCGAAGTTGATAGCGTCCCGGAAGTTGTTTCTCTCTGAATGTCCGTCCGAGCAGCCCACGCCCGATATCATGGATGGACATGACATAAAGGAAGAGAAGACTGCGCCTGTTGGGCGTCGATGGGAATATAGCCTACATATGCTTCAATACCGAGCGCCCATTCAATTTGGCATGAACTCGCAGATAAAATGCCCCGAAACGAACAGCAGAGTTGGCACCAGGCAAAACCACAGAGTAAACGGCAATACGTGCCCCTTTCCCAGCCCATGCTCCTCGTCCAGCGTCTGAAAATCCTCATACAGCGCTTGGATAGTGTCATACTTGTTTCCCCAGCACTCTTGGTAATCTCCCCGTACATGATATTGTCTGTGTTGGGGACTTCGCCGGGCTCAGGCCATTTTTCCTTTTCGAAATAGTCGTAGCTGTACACAGTCCACTGTGCGATGGAGTATAAGACACAACCAATCCCGAGGAGGTCAATGCGGGACAGCGGGTCTTGTGCACAGATCTCCTCCATGTCTGCATCTAGTGGGAATATGGCACCGTTGGCGAAATCGGCAACTCGAAGTGAGAGGTCACCATCGACAATAATGTTGTCAAGCTTGACGTCTTGATGCAGCGCCCTGCAGGAATAGATGTGGTAGAACGCTTTCACTAGCGATCGGATCCAGGCGGCACGAAATAATTGGGATGGAGCCTGGTGCGCTGGGATATATGCTCCTAAATCACCATTCTTTGCATACGCCAGCTTAATCGCCCCCGAGTCATTATAGAGTCCGTGGTACGGAAGAATTCCCTCGTGAAGGCCGAGGCGTTCATAGATTTTTCGCTCGACAAACATGAACTCGAGACGAAGCTCGTTATATGCAGTTTCGCCAGGGTACGACCTGGGGTATTTGACAACGTCAGAATCGTTGATCTTGCAAATCTCGCCGGTTAGGCCCATTGCAATACAGCCTGGACGTTCGTAATAAATGCAGACTATCTCCGTGGAGTCTGCCATGTTATCCTCTCCTGCTGAGATGAAAAAGACGTGAACTGGAGATTACCCGGCATTAGTGTTGGAGAATAATAAGTTGATCTTCCTTCCGCGTCGCGTCACGCGCCGGAGACGCGCCCTGCCTCACCAACCCGACCTTTTCTTTTTCTTGGGAGAGATCAGTCTTCCGCTCAAAGAAATCAATCAGGGGAAGGACAAATGGTTTGTTATTGGAGAAGCTGGCGACACATTGACTTCTCAGCTCCGTATCCCTCCTGGGAGCTCCTATGGCGGCCTGGGATGCAGCCTATGCACACCGGCGCCAACTCATCCCTGTGTCTGGCATTGGTCCATGAAAGAAGGTCAATGTTCAACGAGAGGGGAGAGAGGTTGCTATTGAGAGGTGCCGCTGCCCCTCACCCTCCCTCTTTCTCTTCGTCTATTCATCTATTCATCATTGCGTGGGCTCCTCCTTCGCATCTTTTCCGGCTACAGATCCCCATCCACTGGAATACCCATCAGAGATGTGCAGGATCGAAATCGCAAATACCTATACGTGGAAATGCGGCCATACCGCCCCAGAATTCAACTACCCTCGAATTCATCCCTGCCCTGAAGCTCGCGAAAGAGGGTCCCAGTGCCCAGAACCGGAAACAAGCTTTTGAATTTTCACATGTGCTTTCAACAAAGTATGGCTGTCAGAAAAGCACCAAATGATCACCCCAGCGCAAAATCTCAAGATGTCGCTAGAACTACCAACCTTGTAAAAGGAAGCATGACATAATCTGTTCCTTGTATGGTAATTACGTCAAAGAGCCATTGGCAATTGCCAATCCGCAAGCAAGTCTCCGTGGCGCAATTGGTTAGCGCGTCTGACTGTTAATCAGGAGGTTGGAAGTTCGAGCCTTCCCGGGGACGAAATATCCTTTTTGCATTTTGCATTTCTGTGTCATTTATTTAGGCGCTTTAAGCGCCGTTTTTTAACATTTTTGGTTGGTATTCGGTCGAGCGCGCATTTTGCCTCTGCGGAATCAAACTTAGGCTTTGCTGCTCAGGAAATTGTCGGTAGAGCCCTGTAGTGAGATGAGCTGTCTTTCAGAAAAATTGTTCGATGCCAGCCATTGACAACGTCTCCGTGGCGCAATTGGTTAGCGCGTCTGACTGTTAATCAGGAGGTTGGAAGTTCGAGCCTTCCCGGGGACGCAATATCTCTTTTTCATTTTCTTTTTGCCCTTCTTTTTGCCCAATTGGACGGACATTATCATTCATTCTATGCCCGCCACGATCTCCAACCAACCCAAGCATTACAATCACACCTTCCAAGCTCACTGACAGATACAAGATTTGGGGAAGGTTATCACGAAGCAGGTAACCTTCGCCAGCTTTCTATCAACGCAGCCACCGGACCCCTGCAGCGCTTCTCCGGAGAATAAACCAAATGGCAATAGAAAGCCGGTTCCTAAACTCTACAGCACGGGGTTAGACGTGGCTCTACAATTGGAGGAAGAACGCTCTCCGTTGTGCAAGAAGATGGGGCCTTTTCCCTCGGGTTCTTTGGTGTCTCTCTAAGTTAGCATTTTGAAGCCTGTGTATGTATGGCACGGTATCCGCTCTGCGAATTTTGCTGGGCAGGTACCTGCAGTGACCAGTCAAGTCTCCGTGGCGCAATTGGTCTAGCGCGTCTGACTGTTATCCCGCGGTTTCATCAGGAGGTCGGAAGTTCGAGCCTTCCCGGGGACGTTTCTCTTTTTGGCGTTTTCCCCCTTGCACCGGCACAATGAAGTCCGTCTGTGTTTCAATGCAAAAGGTTTGCATCCAGATAGGCGGTACATAGATCCGATGCGGTCAGTATGTCTTGAAATTCCCTGACAGAGTCCGGACCTTGAGATGTCCAGCGGAGTTTAGGGTATGGTTGGAGAAGATATTCTGATAACGGCTTTTTGCCATGGCTACCTACCTATTTGTCGCGGATCTGGGTTAGGATAGGCTGGCACATTACACCAGGGGAGAGTAGAAGCAAACTCACCAAGATATCTGTCATTTTTGTCATGCTTTAGAGTCCTCAATGACTTCACCATGCCTGCGAGTTCGGAGTAAATAGTTAGTTTCTCATTTTCGTTCATATCACCCCCATATCAGCTGCAACTCCACTCCCTCAACCAAAGACATGTAGAAAAATGTATTCGCCTGCATCGTTCGCCCAACCAAAAACTTCAGGGTACTTGGCCACGGAGCTTCTCGCGCACCATGATCTGAGTCGGGGCTTCGATAGTTGTGACATGGTTTCCATACTTGACAAATAACCCAAGTAACGGTATTTTTACCTGCGGTGGGAGCCCACCTTTCCTGATATTCGCGTTGATGGCTCTCTCGGCGGGATGTTAACTGGCTCATCTTAGGCCGGATTTTTGTTACTGTATAATGGTTGACGGTGCACATGAAAAGCGTCTTCTATCCGCGTCAAGCCCAACCAAGTCAAATGCCTTGCCAACCTCACATTTGATGAGAATTGATGCGGAGTATTGATCCAAAGCTCAAGCTTACTGTCATTCTCGCCTCAGGAGACTCACTTCAGATAGTTAGTTAGAAGAGATCTCTGGATCGTCATTACCTCCCTTTTGAATGGTACAGTTCGTTTGACTATCCCCATAGTTTTCCCGATCTACAAACACTACTCCATACTGGACCCAACTTCCACTTGCATAGGACAAACAATTACTCCGTATTATGCACTCTTCGACGTTCGGGCACTTGGGAAATGCCTCGGCTGACAGCCAACTCCTCTCAATACCGACAGTTCAAAGCCGCGATTGAGAACTGCGCCATCATGAGAAATCAAAGACAAAGAGCAGACCCCCTTCAGCATGCCCAGGTATTATCAGTCATTAGCTCCATCGCCTGAGAGTACGCCCAAGCGACTAGCTGGTTTAGCTACAATTAGCCTCTTGTGGGGGAGGCTCGTCGGCGGTGGGAGGCCACTCGGCCGGGTCTGGCTCCGGCGCGGTTTTGCACCCAGCCGCCCTTAAGACTTTCTCCTCTTCCATTCACCAGAGAACTGGAGAATTCACTTGTCAATACGAGGTAGCTAACTACTCTTTGCGACTCGAGCTCAGTTGGTCACCATCTTCACGGCCCAGACTGGCATGTTTTACCAAGCAATGGGTCCTGCAGTACGAAGCACGCACGTCCGTGCCAGTATGACGGCAGGACAAGCAGCTACTCATCCCCAGATTGTACGAGGTGTTGCAAGGGAGGGCCCGATGGGATGGCTTGTCATGAGCTATGCCAGTTAACTAGTTACCAAGGCAAAAGCGACGATCGCTCCTGATACCACCTTGTCGGCCCAGGTTAAAACCCCGCACATTTCCCACCCGGAAAAACGCGAAATGAAATCTATCTTCGTGAAAACGAGCGATACATGATGACGACCGACAGCGACAAACAAGCTGCAGCTATATCCGCCGAAGCTGCCGTGGGAGCCGATGTTGAGCCCCAAGATCTGGAGAAGAATGACCCAGAATATCCGCCGGAGAAGATTCTGAAGCCGTCGCGCGATGCAGACGAAGCATTGCAAGCTTTTGCGGACACCGATGGCGAACAACTTGAGTTGACTGAAGAAGCTAGCAAGAAACTGCTGAGGACCATCGATTGGCATCTTCTGCCGTTGATGTGTGTCATTTATGGCATGAACTACCTCGACAGTAAGTGGATGCAGAAATCACTGTCTTGCATATGCCTTTTCGAGCTACTAACGGATATTTGAACGACTTGAATCGTAGAGACCACTCTATCATATGCGAGCATCATGGGTCTCAAAGAAGACATCCACCTCAAGGGAGACAACTACCAATGGCTTGGAAGCATGTTCTACTTCGGTAAGCAGTGTTATTTTTCCACTGCCTTAGAACAATAACTATGTGCAGAAGTATATTTGTTGACGAGATCTGAGAGTGAAGGGTATTTGGCCTGGGAATGGCCCACGACTCGCCTTCTACAGCGCCTGCCGTTAGCAAAATACTCCGCCTTTTGTATGATCATTTGGGGTCTGGTGCTCACATGTTTTGCTGCTGTGAAGAATTTCTCCGGTGCCGTTGCACTCCGATTTTTCCTGGGAGTATTTGAGGCTGCTGTAACGCCGGGTTTCGCTCTCATCACATCACAGGTACGTCACAACAACATAGGATGTTTGCCAACAAGCCACTAACACGGGAGTAGTGGTATACCAAGTCTGAACAGGCAATCAGGACAAACCTCTGGTTCTCCTTCAACGGCTGGGCACAAATTTTCGGTGCGGTGCTCGCATACGGTATCGCGGTGGGATCACGACGTTATGGAACCGCCATTGAGCCCTGGAAAACGCTCTTCATTACCACCGGACTCTTGACCATGACCCTAGGGGTGCTATTTTGGTGGATTGTTCCGGACAGCCAGCTCAATGCGAGATGGCTGAGCAAGGACGAGCGTAAACTGGCAGTTGAAAGAGTTCGAAAAAACCAGCAAGGGATTGGAAACAAACAGTTCAAAATGTATCAGCTTAAAGAAGCTTTGACAGATCCGGTTACTTGGGCAGTCGTATTTTACGGCATTGTCTCATCAATCCCGAATGGTACGAAATCAATGCTGAAGAACGAATCCATAATAACTTACTGACTGCGAGCAGGGGGAATCTCGAACTTCTTCAGCCAACTGGTGAGTGCTAGCCAAGGGGGGAGAAGGAGGTAGACGGTTTCCATGTTAAACGAGTCGTTCGCAGATTGTTAGTTTTGGCTATACACCAGAGGAAAGCTTGCTGTACGGTGCACCTGCAGGAGCCGTCCAAGTGATATCGCTCATGCTCAACGCCGCTGGAATGCATTATTTCAAGCAACGGCTTATCGTTTCAACGGGAGGGCTATGGGTGGGTATCCTTGGCGCAATATTGATGATCGCCTTACCTGAATCACAAAATACCGGAAGGCTTGTGGGATATTCATTGACCCTTGCGGTCACGACTGCATTTATCAGCATGTTGGGAATCATATCGTCCAACGTAGCTGGTTATACCAAAAAGACGACGGTCGCGGCGTTGTACTTGATGGGGTACTGTGCCGGAAATATCATCGGTTGGTGAAATGCAAATGGTAGTAGGTTGAATTCGACAAGCTGGCTAAAAGCTTCGCTCCTAGGTCCGCAAACATTCCGACCAGAACATGCACCAGACTATGTCCCGGCAAAAATAACAATCATGGTTTGTTGGGCTCTTTGCATCCTTGATTGTTATTTCATCCTCTGGTGGTACCGGAGGAAGAACGCAGAGAAAGCTCGAGTAAGAGCGGAGCCCGGATATGCTAGATTGCCAAACCAGGAGTATGTAATATTTCTCAATTGGAAACAAATGGTCACAGAAACTGACAGAAATATAGGTGGTTGGATCTCACGGACAGAGAGAATCCCGAATTGATATACGTGCTATGAGTCTGGAGAGGAAGGGGTCTGCAAAGCTGGCGTAGAACGCTTTGATTTTCCTAGTTTACTCCGTACTCGATAACGAACGTAGTTAGGCAAATGAAGGATGCAAATGCAAAGAAGATTAAATTGGAGTTAAAGAAAGTTCAAATCCATCTATTATATTTGTGTTCTGTGGATTGATTGCACGAAGATGTCTGCTCGAGAAGAACTCAAGGCTGGGGACTGAACTATATCACTGTCCTCCGCAGTCGCACGCTGATCATTTTTATCCCTTTTTTCGGGTTGCTGGTCCACAGGCTCCAGTAGACGTTCGCTCCAATTAGCATCTTCTTCTTCATTGAGCGGTGAAGCTTGGAGCAATCGCAAGATGCGCCTTTTTAGTCTCCCCGCTGCATCGCGCGAAATCGGAGTTTGACTGCTCGGAGTGGAAATCTGACAAACGGGAAATGGGTCCAAGCACCATGGGCCCGTTTTCGTTTGAGTTATTAGTTAACGAGGCGTGCAAAAAGTCCCACCATAAACAATGGTGAGCGAGTCTGGACTTTAGCCAGGGTGAAGGGCATTTTACCCATCCATATGATGACTATGAGCCGTCCTGGGATTGAAAATGATAATCTGCTCCAGAATCAAGAAGGATGTTGATGTTGAATTTTGGTTTGAAAGGGGCAAGAGAAGAGTTCTTCTATCTGAGGGACATTCCATCGTTGACCTTTGGAAGCTTTTCTCGGTCAAGATGATTGGGTTTGAATTTCAACCACCGGATCTTCGCACTGTCTGTGCTTTTCCGCTCATGCAAGAACGACAAATAATAGTTGAGAGCTGTGCATCGAGATTGTCTTCGGGTTCTGAAAGAAGCCACCCCATTTGCGAAACCGATAACTGACTCCCTCGTTAATGTCCATATTTGTTTCACAAACCACTCTCAGTATTCCGTAAGAGAGACGTAGCAAGGCATACCATCCCGAAATCTCGCACTGGATACCTCTGCAAATAAAGGAGGATCGATAAATGCAATTGTCGCAATGCAACGAAAATGACAATATTGGGGGCCTCCTGCGTGCCGTAAGCCGAAGACTGCATCGAGTTGACCAGCAAGCTCAACGCTAATGCAGAATAGAATTCAGCAACAGAGATCTTGAAAACCTTTGTGAGTCGAGAATGCGCTTCCAGAAGGCGAGAAGTCCAATTCCGAGCCGGAGTCCGGAGTATTTATCCTGGCTTCAAACGATGAGTTACCCTGGTTCCGTAGTTAAGCGCCAGGATTCCGCAAGTAATAAGGATCTCAAACACGATGGCCAGAGGAGCAGATGGAGTAGCCACACCAGAAACCCCCGTCCAGGCCTTTGCTTCCCCTGCATCGCGGACCACGTCAATACTCGAAGATTGATTAGCGCCTGCAAGGACCCATTGTTGGGCGGGAACTCAATGGATGATCTGTTCCGGGGCCAATGCGAACGCTGCCCGCCTTCACTTCCACGGCGGGTGATTCGTCACAATTCGTGCTCGGTGGCTGCCATCACGCTTTAGATTGGCGAGAATCATGTGGCCCGTCCTGCTCAGACTTCGGGAAGAGAACGTGGTGCTCTTGTTTTGACAGAAGCCAAGGGACAAGCAATCAACGGGATATCCATCAAATCACCGCAGCGGATGGAGTACCCCGCTTGAAAACCTGAGGCAAAAGCATGAATATCGGGTCACCGCTCCTGGTCGCTTTGGATATTAAAAGAAACATGGCGCCTATTTTTGGGCCGTCTGCAATCTGCTTGCCTGGGGAGCAAAGCGCCAAATGCTTGCTCAAACTACCGTCTCAACGGGGTTTCTGCGCATCTTAAAAAGACATTCTATCTCGAGCCTGATTGACTGCTTTGTTTTTGTTATCCCTTCAATGTCACCAGTTGCTGGACTTATCATGTTGGGCTGTCATCTCAGCATGAAGTGTGACTGACCTCCTCCACAACTTCACATGCAGAACCCCCCTGAGCTCTGGTTTGCCTTTTCGCTAAAAAACAACATCGACATTGCTGTGCCTGTTGACTGTGGCCAGGCTCTCTGCAGTTCAGTGAGTGTCTTTCTTTTGAATGTGCCGGAAATCACATGTTTGACGGCAGTCTGCTGACTTCACGGCAGCCTTCTTTCTTGTTTGGCGACGCTATCAAAAGGCACTCGCCGCTTGACCGCGAGATGAAGGGAGATGCCCTCACATGCCCTGGCAACGACGCACACAGACATGGCTCAGGCTCAGGCTCAGGCTCAGTGCTCACAGCATCTGCTCTCGCATCTCAGTTTCTCTACATTCCCCAGCATCATGGTGCGCCAGATCGAAAACTCGACATCACCATTTCACCCCTCCTCATAGCTCGCGGCCTCCCATCCCCCTTGAGTTTCGTCTCCGACAGCAAATCCTTTTATACCGCGTTCGAGGTGACCGATATCAACGCTGAATCACTCACCCCCACAGACTCGCAACCGCCCAGCCCCCTATCATCCGCGACCACGATCGACGGTGAAGAGGATATGGAGGAACAGGTAGAGCCAGCCGGGGCCAGCTCTCCTATGCTGGATACGGAACTACCTTCAACTACTCCACAAACACCTTCGGAGACAGAGCCAAAGAAGAGCAAGAAGACTCGGCGGAAAGGAGCAGCCTCTTCAAAAGGATCCCAAACACCAACCACGTCCAGATCGTCATCCGTCTCAGGTTCAAAGTCTACTTTACGTCGCAACCAAACAGGGCCCTATCGTCAGCTCCATTTGTCGCGGACTACTACTTCCGAGCGCCAGTTTCCACCACACCGAGAGGAGCGCGATTTAGTTGCGCTTCATCGTGATAGCCGTCGCTTATTTGAATCTTTTGACAACAATACGCCAACCTCAAAAGTGGAAAAGTCAAGGGACCATCCAAACGACATTGGTTCTGGGCAGATGGAGCCTCCACAAGAGACTTGTTCAACAACGAACAAACGTCTTGCACGGAGTAATTCGGCGGGATCGCCATCGCTGGTTCCACTGTTACACCCTACCCGGTCTCCATCAACACCGGTAAGATCCGAAGATCTTTCGCGGGACACTGAGGAACGAAGCCACTGGGGACCTCTTTCTAGAACCCAAACGGCGGACGAGATACGGCCTGTCGATTCTGTCCCGGCATACAAAGTAATCCCACCCACCGTGATCGATTGGACTTCCCCAACCACTCGCCGGCGCGAATATGAGAAAATTGACCGCTCCACCCGTGGGATCCGTGGAATGTGGAGGCGATTTGCGCCCAAATGGTGTCAAAGCAAGGACCAACGCATCCCATTCTTTGACGAGACCAAAGAAGGGAAACAAAAGTACGAGGGTAGTGTGAGGCGGTTCCGTATGGATATCCCCGATGACGATGACGAGCAACCAGGAGCCGAACAGACCTCAAAAGCTAAAGGCCGGTTAACGACTACTAGAATGTTGACGGCTGATGATGATTCCGACCAGTACAAAGGCGTGAGGAGTCGACTCTGTTTCGGCCGACGGCCCTAAAAATCATAGCTCTATATTGACCTTGAAGCTTTTTTATCTTTTGCCTTCATGAGATACCCCAAGTTTATACTATGATCAAGCGTTTCTTGTTTGTTGCCTTTGACATTGTCAATGCTTTCCTGACGGTTGATATTAGCTGGTACCTTTTCCAACGGCCTGAGACCCTTCTTGCAGTCGTTCCATACCAGCCTTCAGCCTAGCATGACATGTTTCGTGTGTTTTGGAGCATATCGGCGCAAGCTGCATATTCTGGAGTTGATGGCATACATACTGTTCTTTGTCCCTTAGCCACCTTTTCGCGACCGTGAAAGCGAGTACTTTCAATTCCACATAATACTCGATATGGTATTATCAATGATTGAACCGTATAACAATAGAAATATAATCATATCAATGATTTGATAAATTGACATCCGGTGTAGAATTCCATTCCATATCATTAAGCACCCCAGCCCTGCAGAAAGCTTTCGCCGGAAACGCCCGCCACATATTTTCTCTATCCAAGGTATAAAAACACCGCAAGTACTATGCAAGCCTGGAAAAATTTCCGCGGGAGCGTTGCCAGACAACGTCGATTGCAAACAGAATCGATTAAACCCGCCGCTGACGCATTCCGCAAAACATCATAAAAGGTCGAAATCATCCAACTTCTCCCGATATTGGAGAATATTCCGTTTTATCTTGCTCGAATCGACCCAAGTCACATAGTCCTCCAGGTTCCTCGTGACCAAAAACGCCGGATCGGTGACGACTTCGGTGCCAACGCGCACATGGCCTTGCTCGATGAACTTGACAGCCTAACCAAAAAATAAAAGAAAAAAGTTATTAGCTCGTGTTCTCCCACCTCCGGTCTGAAGATCAAAGATCAAAAAAACTCATCTACCCACCGCGGAAACACTCTCCACCATCCCATTCCTCGACATCAGCACGCCCAACCTCCTCCGCGCAAACGCGCTCACCGTCACCTCTCTCTCCACCCTACTCAAACCCGCGCCCTGCTCGCGATTCTGCTTCAGGATGCCCATCGCCCACAGCTTCTCCAGCATCTGGGCCTCCATCTCCCGGCGAAAGGGCGACTCCGGGTCCATGGCGGAGAGTTTGTGGGCGAGTTGGCGGACGGAGCCGCAGAGGGCGTTGTATTTTTTGTAGTCGAGGGGGTCTTGGAGGTGGTAACGTTGGCGGATGGTGGTTTCGCGGTGGTTGTTGTCGGATTTGTAGGTGTAGAGGTCGACTTTGCGGAGGAGTCTGGGGGACGAGGTGTTAGAAATGTTGCTGTGGGAGGGAGTATGGAGAGAGTATTGGTGAGGTTTTTCCGGCTTACCTTTTCTCGTGATGCTTTAGTTTGCGAACCATTTTGGCGAATGCGTAAAGAATTGTCCAGTGAGAGGTATATAATCACAAAGCTACGATTTGCGATTAATTTTCGATTATTTTTTGGAGCGGCAGTTTGAAGGCGGTGAGGAGCTAACTAACTTTATCAGAGCCAGTGCTATTCTGGGAAATCTTGGCACCTGAGCTGCCCCCGCCCCAATTTGGCAAAAAGGATGCCTGAAGCACAACTGATTCTCCTGACGAAATCTACGAAGCGTTATTGGAAGGAGACACCAAAGGAAATGGGTAACGGGACTAAAATACTAGACCCCGCTGATTTTATAGTCTCGCATAAGATGAACCCTCTAGACTCCGACTATCCCTAAGACGAGGCACAGAGGAGGGAGAGAGAGGAAACATACGTGTGACATGAGTGCCCTATAGAACAAGAAAATTCATATATATGGAGGTATAATATTTATCGGATTTGAGTGTGCGATACATAGCATTCACAA